GTTGGAAGACGAAACATAGTAGTGAAAGTTGAGTCAATGTGAAAAGATGCAGGAGTGGAAACTGAGAAGTCAGAGAGGGTTCATATAATGACATTAACAGTCAAACCATCAGGATATTCCTCTGCTCTGATGTCAATGACCATCTCAGTTTTTCTTCCTTTTTCAGAACTCTTATTTTTCTCTAATTTAAAAAAAAAAATGTAAAAGAAAATCTATTTAGATAAGCTCTGGAACATAACGTTCCCTCAAGGGAAAAATCCGGTTACTCTCAGATTTAATTCTGTAATGAATCATCAAAGACATTGAAATACAAAATCCTGAATCCAATAGTAATTTCCTCTGAATCCTAGCAGGAAATGGAAAAGACCTCAGGCTGGAACTCTGTTTGTAAACAGTTCATCTGCTGAGAGCAAACTGAGCTTTTATTTAGGAGAATTATAAAAAGTTTCCTGGTTGTTTAGAGACTTGAGAGGTTTTGCGTCATCCTATTTGTTGGTGACACTCTAGGAAAATTAGTGAAGAGGCACAAATATCTGTCATGTTGGATTCACAATTACTTTTTTGGCCATCGGGGCGTCTCTACTGTCCAGTAATTAAAATCGCAGTAATTATTGCCATATATATGCAATGTATATTACCACCAAGAACTGCTTGGATATCTGTTTCCCTCACAATGCCTGTCTGCCAGTATTGTTGGCTGTAAATGGGCAACATGTCTTGCATTACATATTTTTTTGTGACATTTTGTGTAATTTGAAATAAGTTTGCACAAACATCGGTCACGTTCGATTTATGATTCTTAGTTTTGTGCAATCATTCTCATGCATGTTTTTAGCTATTGTGGTTGTGTTTCTCAGTGTTATATAAAGCTACTCCATATAGACTCAGAAGTCATCGAAACGAAAGCTTATTGGAAAGTTTTGACAGTATTTTTTCCATTGCAAGGCTTTAGTCTTTGCATGCTGCTGGACTTTCTTTTCTACTTCCTATGGCTTTGTTATTCTGTCTGTATTGTGCCGCTTATTTGCATCAGTTTGTGGAAATTAATCATTCTGTCTCTAGTTACCCTTTTTATTTAAGTGTTATATTGCAAATAAGAAGCTAATTTCAAGCTCCGCTCCGTCCAGAGGCCCGATCTGCCTTCCTCTGTTGAAGTGCGTGAGTCTTTGTTTGTGTGCGTTTTTCAAGGGGGGCCATTAAAGGCTGCAGCGTGCAATAATAGGAACTGTTCTGTGAGCGTATACTTCATCTCCCCTGATGAAGCCGATTCACAGAAATCAGGCCGGTTGTTGCTCAACCACTTAGACATCTGTTGAATGTTTTTTCTTTCTTTTTTTTCACTCGCTTTTCTTTTTTCTTCCTTCTACAGCCTCAAATGGTTCCTCTAAGGAGCTCTTAGAGTCATTCACATTCTTACAGTAAAGCTGTCTCAATGAGTCACTCATTCAGAGCAAGCATTGGTCTGAATCAGGGCTTCGCGTCCTATAAGAGGTCACACATCCGGTGCAATTGCGACAGCGAAGCTTTTTGGTTGCGTTCGTTGATTGAGCTGCACCTGTGAATCACCTGTTGGTTTTTTTCTCAATGAGTTATTTGGACTAAAGGTTATGCTTCTGATTTACTCCGTCAAACTTCAGATTCAGCAGTTAGTCGTTCATCTGAGTTGTAGACCACCAGCCCACATTAGGATGGCATTATTTTTGCTTGGCGCCCTCTGCAGACCTAATTGAGTAGAACTGCTCTAATTGTGCACAAAATAAAATATGAATGTCACAACTTCTAAAAGCAACAAGGTTGAGCCAAACTTTGTCTCTAAATTAATGACTAAATCTCTTTACTTAAACATCTTCTGTTTTTCCAGCAGCATAACACCCTCCTTCCTTCACTGTAGTGTTGATTTTACCTTTTTTTTTTTCTTTCTCTTTGCTTTAAAACATCTGCGGAAAATTCTGCTGAAACCAAAACTTAGTATTTCTCTAAGAAAATACAGCTGTAGCAGCAATTTTGGTTCAGGCTGAAATCACTAAATGAGTCACATCCCTCTCCGTTCTGTGTCACTTTGTCCCTTATTGATAATATTAGTCGCTGTGGTTGAATCAGAGAGCTTTGAAAGTTACGAGCGAGGACATAAATTGTTCTTTTGATGTGTGTATGTGAGTAAGGTAGCCCTCCTCTGTCTGTTTTTTATGCATGTGCAGGATTAACAGACATTCCTCAGGCTCACACACTGTCACATAGACTCAAACTCATCCGGTGCACAAATCCCTGGAATCTGTCCTCCCTGCCCTTACTTCTGCTCTCCATCTCTCCCCTTCTCTCCTGTCCATTGTGTCCTTCACTGTCTCGTCTGTTTCCTTCTGCTTCTGCTCATCCTCTACGCTTTTTTTTTTTCTGCTTTCTTGTTATTCTTCTACTAAAAGGGTCTGGTCTTCTCAGCTTATTTATTTTTTTTAGCATTAACGAATGATAGTTTAGATTAGAAACAAACCGATACATCAGTCAGCCGACATCTTTGACCGATGTTTGCATTTCGCTTTTATTCCTGCTCCCTTTATTTTTAATTGTTAAAACTTTGTTTGATTTAAAAAAAAATATTTTTCACTTTTTGTTTAAATTGGAACTTACATAACATATTTATCATGTAAAAGGAGGAAGAATAAAAGTTATATCGGCTTCAAGAATTGGTCGTCAGAGAATCGGCAGCTCATAACGAGGATCACTTAGACCAGGGCTGTCCAAAGTTGGTCCTCAGGGGCCGCTGTCCTGTACGTTTTAGAGGTTTCCCTGCTTCAGCAGAGCTGATTTTCTGTTGTTTACTGATTAACAGGCTTTTGCTGAACTGCAATCATCAGAATAAGCTGTGATTAAGCAGGGAAACCTCTAAAACCTGCAGGACTCGGCCGACTTTGGACATGCTTGGGTTAGACTGATGTCATATAATCGCCATCGGCCTTTAAAAAAACTGTATTGGTCAACCTCAAGTATAAATAATGTTACTCCAACTTTGAGGGAACATATCAGAAGTTCTTGTTGCAAAATGGTGACGCACCAGAGAGGACAGCACAAGCTTCACTTAAGGTTAAGTTAGAGAAAGAGATCGTCCAACAAGTGTCTGACCCCAAAATGTGTAAATGTGCTTCTGCAAGCAAACTGTTGTTGGACGGTCTGTGCTCCTTGTTAAAGGTGGATGTTATGAGGTTTAAACATTTCTAGAAATTGTATAAAAAGCTGTACTGGAAGACATAAGGCTGCTGTTGCTGCACACATCATTTTAAAGTGCTTCAAAAAAGATTTTTTTTTCAGTTTCGGTGGATTTGGCTCCACCCAGTGGACAACAGCTGTATTGTTTTACTTGAAGGAATACAGTATTTCCCATGTGGACCAGCGCATAGCTGTGGTAAAATCCTTCAAGTGGACATTTCGGTTTCCAGTGGCTTTTGGAAAGATGAATCGAACTGTAGCAAAAAAATGTCATATGCCGATGTTGAAAGTAAACTTTTACCTTTGGGCCACGACAGATGTGTCATTCATCTAGTTGTTAGTTGACCTATAATCACAAAAGTTGTGAAAATATTTTATGAAGGTTGAAAAGTTACTTTAAACTCGGTATGAAGCACCAATTGTCACTTAACTTCAAATGTATGTAAAGGCAGAAAAGAAAATACTTCACTAGAGTTTGGAGGTTCCACGTTTATTGGGTGTTTTATCCATATTAAATGAAACAATGTGGGAACACAGATGTGACTGATTAAATATGAATCATTGAAGAATTGAATAAAAATGTGAATTTAGCTCCTAATATTTAGGTTGGACTCTGAGTGTTGATCACAGCAGTGTTCTTGTTCTTGAGCTGAAGGGTAAACATATTTTCCAAAGGCTAATAGATTATAATAGAGCTGTTCCTCTACAATAAAAGGTGCCAATCAAATATTAAAACTACAATAAAACATTTTCATGTTTGCGTTCACGCCGTCACCCACTTACCAGATGTTTTTGTTCTTCTTTCCACCTGTTATCTCATTCATTCACTGTAATGAATTCTGAATAAAAGGGTTTATCCATCGTTGTTCTATTTCCCTGCAGGGAGTCACTATGGTGACTGAAATATAACATTTGCTGTGAATATTTTGAAGAACGCCAAACGTGCAGCTCTTGGTGAAGCTTTGAAATTAATCCAGTATTTGTTTTTCAGTTTTAGTTTATGAGTAAAACATTCAAATAATTATATCATACCCCAAGGCGATGGATTAAATGCAGAGTGCAAATTTCTCCAATGTAAGATCAGTAACGTTCATTTATGTATTTTATTAATATATTTATAGGTCAGCTAAAACACTTTTCCCTCCGTCGTTTTGGTCAATCTATCTCCTTGATCATTTTATTCACATCCACACTCTGTTAAAGTATCAGAACATCCCTGTTTGCGCTGCAGGTGAACCAGGCAACTGGACCAGCCCTCGTGTCTCATCTTTTTATTCAAACAGTTGTGAGCGATCAGACCTCGGAGCTCTGCCACAACAGACTCAGTTACGCTACAAGCGGCTGCTTTGTTTTTGGACTGAGGGAGGCTTTAGAGGGACTCACACAGTAAACACATTAGACAGACACTGCCTCTGTATTACTGCCTGAGCGGCAAACATCTGGTTCTTATTAATTATGTGTTGAGACACTAAATGGCTTCAACGCCAGCTACATGTTAGTATAAACTACCTCTTTTGGTGTCTGTAGCTTAATCAGTCAACTTTGTCCTAATATCTATTACTCTGTTTTCTCTTTAATGCATGGAAGCTGTTTTTGCAGTTTGATTATATCTGCCTGGGTTATTGCTGTAACAATGTGGGAGAGTTCATTATTTTGAATACTTTTTCGATTAACTTGTCTTACATCGAGACGTGCGTCTTACCCAGTAGAGGAGGTTTCTCTGTGTTTAGAATCAGCACCTGGTGAGAAACATGTCTAATCCGCTGCAGACTAACAAGGTTATGTTCTTTTTTTTTCAGGCCTCAAGTCCCAAACTGACAACTCACTGCTCAGATATCCAAGAAGTCCGTCGCTGCACCCGACTGGAGATGCCTGACAACTTAAACACATTCGTTTTAAAGGTATCTAACAAGTTTCCAGCCTGCAGCACACTTAAGATGGAGCTTCAGAGGTGCAGGGATCCTCCTCTGATTTAATGTGTGGTTTTACACAGAGAACTTCAGCTGAGCTGGAAGATACATTGGCTGCTCTAGTGACAACAGTTTTTGATATTTAGACGATTGCTTCCACGATGCTCTTATTGTATTTTAAATATCAGTAAACTCAGATTAATAGTTTAGATATTACAGATGATGTCAGCCCACATCGCAGGGGTCACACATCCAGGATTGAAAAAGTATTGCAATCATTTTTAGCTATTTCCATGTAACCACACAAGACAGTGAGTTATTCATTGATCCAATGGAGCCACATGCCAGTGGAGAAGCAAACGCTGCAAGTCGATAACGGGGTGAAATCTACTGGCAGTCCTTCAAAAACTTTTCAAACTATTGGAACAATTAGAGAATAAAGAATATATATATATGATATAAAGAAAAATAAATGTAACTTTGACAGCACCGATGGTTAACTAGGGTGAGTCTGTATGATGAAGAGACCATGTTATGAGAATTGGCGTTAATAAAGTAAAGTGAGTTGAACTGAATTTTTATTTTTCAGTTTAAAACCTGAATTTATATATATTTTTTTAAAGTAGACAAATTTAGTTGCATTTCTGTTTATATGTCTAAAGTTCTCAGGTCTATATTTAATACAGAAAGTTATGCATATTTCATACTTTTAAAACATTTAGTCCCTATTCTGCAATCGAGTCTTTAAACCCTTTTTTTTTTATTTTCTATACGACACAAAAAGATTATTAAAGCACCTCAATATCTGACAAAATGAATTAAAAACAGCTAAAATCACAAGCTGTGAGAGACGTTCAAAAATCAAAGACTACAACTTTTGGTCTGAATTTGTTACTGTAATAAAATTTTGTGCGAAATAAGATGTTTGAAATCAGTAAAAATCTGAATGAAGCCTCATGTCAGTTAACATTTATCTATAGGTGTCTAGTCATTTAACATTTATTTATAGGTGTCTAGTCAGTTAACATTTCTCTATAGGTGTCTCCTAATAGAGAACAGATGTTAAGCTGACTCTTCCTAAGTAATGAAGGACATTTTGTTTCTGCAGGTTAATCGAGGGAGTCTGATATTTGAGACGGATAACGACCAGCAGGTCAGCTCCTGGACCACAGAGCTAAAGGAATGCATCAGCAACAGGTGAGAGACACCATATAATTGAAACAGTTGTTTTATTTGAGTGATTTATTTCTAATTTAATTGTTTTTATGTAATTCTAACAGAATATGATTCCAGTTTTTTCCCTGCTTCTATAGATGATTGATTACACCTGATAAGAACCCAGTACTTTGCTCATCAGAAAATACGATAGTTTACGTCAGACCTATTTGAAGTACCAACTTTTAATACAAAATTGTTATTTTCTGGTTAATTAATGAGGAGGACTGTTGGTCAGGAAGTAATGAAGCACTAAATGTCATAGCAAAGAGAGCGGGAAAGTGAAGTGGAGGGAAAAAATGTACAGCCAGGCTCGTCTCAGGCAAAACACCTGTGGTGATTTCATTAGTTTGTGACTGTATTAAGTTGATTTTCTACAGCCGCCACCATGGCTGTGGGAAGTGTCGAGGGAAATGTATAAAAAAAATACTTTGCACAAGTTATTAATTTCTTATGAATATTTTGGGAAATGATTTGACTTTTTTATTTTAGTATTACGTGTATTTGGATTTTAATTTAATCATTTTAAGCCCTAATCAACCCATGTTCATGGAAGTTACGTTGTCATGGTAATGTCAAGCAAGATAGAGTGTGGTCTCCCGCTTTCAGCAGCAGACTAGCATATGTAAATAGTCTGACAGAAACAAGAGGAAATATGGCACAGAAACGCATTTCCGATTTTTCTGCTGATGAGAGACTTTATCTCCACGGCTGAGCATTTGGACACAGGGCACCCTGCCAAAAGCGTAATGACACAACAATAGGCCTGTAAGCAACATTATCTGGGTGGGCCCCATACATACACACTTCATCATTCTTCACCTTCACTAGACACGGATATACTTTAGTATATTCTGCTGTAAAATGAGTATTATCAGGGTACCTTCAGTTTTACAGCCCCCCTCCTCACCCACGCTCTCTCCATTCATCTCCTGGTCGCAATCTTTACTCACTTTCTCGCTGTCGTTCTGGCTCGTACCACTCGCGGTAGAAGTCTGCTTCTGGAGGACCTCTGCATTCCTGTGCCTGCGGTTACCGTACTTGTGTGTTGAAGCAAATGTGGATGGTAGCTGTAAAAGTCCATAAATTAGCCGCATTGTTATATAAGCCGCAAGGTCGAAAAATGGGGAAAAAGTCGCGGCTTATAGTCCGAAAATTACGGTAATTAAAAGTACCACTGCCTGCTTTGCTATTGGTGTGGTGCTTAAACTGCTCACCATCATGTTGAATTCTGCCATGTGTTTGGGTATAAATACAGTCCGGTGCGGTCAGACACTTCAGGATCAGTTGGGTTTACGGTAAGAGGAATTTTTCTCACCTTTGCATTGCAAAGAGACATCTTAGTCCACAATTACATAGGGGGCCCACCAGGTGTCAGTGACGGTGACAGTCTCTGCTTACAGATATTTACGGATATTTACGCCACTGCACCCTGTCTGTAGCTCAGAGTAAGAGAGCTAAATGTAACCATAGTATTTTAGTGTTATTTTGATCCTGGGTTCTTTATCTAATGGACGTGGAGAACTGTTCAATAACGTTTAAATACTATAATAATGTAATTATTTCCTTGTGGTTTCCGTAAAAGGATTTTGGAGCTAATAGAGTCTCGTGTGACATTAAAACAGTGGCTATGGTTCATGCCAGCTGACTGAATCTGTGTTATTGTGAAGTTTAATTAATAGCACATATATTCACCTGAGAACTGATACACATCAGTGCACATGACAATAAAGCAGTGAATCTCAATCTATTTACTTTTTTAAATTTTATTGTATTTCTTATGAATATTACCAATGACCCTATAGGCTCATAGGTCTTTTGTCCCAAAAAAACAAAAACATTTTCACTGAACCCCGTTCAAAAGTACTTCCAGCGGCCCTGGCCGCCACACAGGAGTATGGGTCACGACAGACTTGGGTCACAACTAGGGAAGATTCGTACATCTACACATGGAAGCATCTTTATAGGTGTAGAACGTAAAACTGGGGACGATGTTTAGAACCTACACTTTCTAATAAACTGTGTTGTCTGGGTAAATTATCTGTAAGTATCAATCATCAAATCAATACTTTAAATATAGAACTCTTTGTTACTTAAATCTACACAGGTTTCACTTTTGAAATCAGTACACTTTCATAATATAGTACTTTATTAATTCAAAATACAGGTATTGGTTGTCAAAGCTGCATCATTAAAGCTTTAAAAATCTATAAATTAAAGCTAACTGAATGCTGGTTAGCTGTTAGATGAAGACATTAGGAGCCCTGAGGCAGACATGGGCAATGTGGAGTCAACGAGTCATCTCCATGTCATGTATTTGTTCTACCCAGCCACTGAAGCAGGTGAGTCCAATCTTCACCGTGAATTAACCTGTGCAGATTGGACTCTCCTGGTTTATTGGCTGCGTAGATTAAATACATGACATGGAGATGACTTGTTGACTCCACATTGCCCATGTCTGCCCTGAGGTGGTTTTTAAAGCAGCATTCCGTTCATCGTCTTTAAACGCCAGTTTGTCCTCATGCAGCTTTTTCCTCTGCATGAAGAGACCCTGAGCAGAAATAACTTATTTTTCTTCTGCTGGCTGAGCTGGGTGTTTATTCATGCTGAGGTATGTGTGTGTTAAGTAAAAGGGCTCTTTAAGGCGTTTGTGAGGACTGTTTAGAGTGCTCTTCTGTCCGTTTGTTCGTGCGTCGGTTTGATTTGTGGCTCTTCAAACCGGAGCGGGTTAAAACTGGGTTCTGTTTGGAGTATTTCTCCAGCTAAGATTTAGTTTTCAACCTTTTAAAAGTATCTTTAATGAAAAGTAGATTGTTTAAACTTGAACTAGAGGAACAATGTTGGTTTGGATTGGCGGGGGGGTCAGAAATGAGAGCTGCGGGAGGATCCAGGAAGTTTTTCCTTCATTCTGTTAGAAACGCTCCGACTCCCTACATGACTTGTAGTTTCCTCGCATTTTTTAGGGTAATAAAGACAGATCATGTGTGTGTTCATTTACATTAACTATAGAAACCTGGAAATTGAAGGCTTTTTTTCTGCAGATGTTTAGATTTAAACTCTTAATTTGATGACTGCTAATCACTGAGTTTGGATTTAGTTTTTTTATTTTATTTTAAGGTCAATATTTGCTGTAATCTGAATCTGTTTAAGGTGTGTGGGAAATTCGGAAAGCTCAGTTTAGTCCATCGGTGCCAGTCTGTGGGAAATATCCAGTCTTTGCAGAGTGTTTGAGGAATAATATCTGAATCTAGATCCAGGATGCGTCACCATTTTGATGCATCTTACACTTTGCAGACTGATCAGCCTGTTCTTCTGTTAACTTTGTGATGGAAAAATCCCATCAGTTTATGGTTTACCTTTCCAGAGTCGTGTTAGTCTGAGACAATATTTGACATCTGGTAATCCCTGTAAAGCAATAGTCTGCTGGACAGCTGGGCCTCCTGGATTTGGTCCAGTATTTACAGAAACAATAGAGCACCTTTAACCTGGCTTTAACATCTAAACATGTGGACAACCATGTTGTCTGTATGAAAAGTGCTCTTTAAATAATGTTTGGCTGACCTGCTGGGAAAGAACCATGAAAATCCTAAATGTTGGGTTCTTTAAGAAGAAATATTAAAATATAGATTTATTTTCTGATTTAAAAAAAAAATTATTAAAACTAAACAACTTTTTTTTTACTTAATGACATCAGCAAAATGTGTTTCATGTAATTTCATGCAGCCATCTTAGTCTCTGACGACACACTGAGGAACTGCTCAGTTTTTCTTAAGTTGTGATTTCCTGGTCATTTTTAGTGATACGGATTTGAGCCCAGTGGAAGGTGAGGAAGATGTTGAGAGGAAAGAGAAAACCTGTGTTATAGGGGGTCATATAAGGCTGGCCATCTGTTTTTGAACACGCCTAAATGCTGCCGACTGGCTGTGAACAGGAGCGCCTGACTGCTGCTGTCATTTCATTTTACTTAAAATGAAATCAGAAGCTAAAAGCTGTTAAACTCTATTTAAAATACTATATTGTTTTTTTTTTCTATGTATTTTTTATTATTTAATTTATTTTTATTTAATTTATAATTCTTTTTTATTTAATTGTTCAACATTTTATTTTTTCATCTTAAGATTCTGGAAGAAAAGAAGGGTTTATTTTAGGGCTGCAACTAACCATTATTTTACAAATCGTTTCACCTTTTGTTTATATTTTCAATTAATCGATTAATAATCAGATAGTCAAAGTTTCCTTAAAGAAGATGTTTTTCGAAATTAAACCAGGTGAAAATAAAACCTTTCGACTTGAGTTCTGGATAGAGCATATAGACAATCTAAAAAGCAAAATGTTTATATACTTTTTTACAATCTTGATATAATTACTGGTATAAGTGGTTGGCTCTGTCAGCTAAAGGCTTGTTTTACAGTCTCTATACTCCAGTTAAAGATGAATGGATTACTAAATTACCTGATGATTATTTCAATAATCGATTGTGATTAATCCAATTAATTGTTTCAGCCCTAGTTTATTCACTTTATTTATGTTTTTCTTTTTAATCTGCTGTCATACACACATACATGCGTATTACTCATACCAATGTAAAAAAACTTCAGCACTACTGATTAATGGAGAACATCTAAGACCTTCTTTATATGACAAGCAAAGAGACTTTAGTGATGGGATGATCAGCAGCTGCTGGTGAGGTGATTGATGCCATTACATATGAAGCCTGTAAAGGCAAGTCAGCTTTATTTGTATAGCACATTTCAGCAAAAGGGCAATACAAAGTGCTTTACATAAAATCAGTTAAACAAATAACTAAAACACAAAAGAAACAGTAAAAAATAAAAAATAAAACACAAGAATAAAAATGACAGTGCAGTATAAGAGATTAAACAGTAAAGAAATGAACGTCGTTTAGAGAAAGGCAACATCAATAAGAAAGGTCTTCAGCATTGATTTAAAAGAACTGAGAGTAGCAGCGGACCTGCAGGTTTCTGGGAGTTTATTCCAGATGTGAGGACCATAGAAACTGAAAGCTGCTTCCCCCTGTTTAGTTCTGACCTCAGGAACAGAAAGTAGACCTGTCCCAGATGACCTTAGAGGTCTGGGGGGGTCATGGTGTACTAGCAGGTCAGAAATGTATTTAGGCCCTAAACCGTTTAGTGATTTATAAACTAGAAAAAGTACTTTGAAGACACAGGAAGTCAGTGTAAGGACTTCAGAACTGGAGTCATGTGATCCAGTCTCTTGGTCTTAGTGAGGACTCGAGCAGCAGCATTCTGAATCAACTGCAGCTGTCTGATTGTTTTTTTAGGGAGACCTGTAAAGACGCTGTTACAGTAGTCAAGTCTACTGAAGATGAAAGCATGGACAAGTTTTTCCAAGTCCTGTTGACACATAAGTCCTTTAACCCTTGATATATTCTTAAGGTGATAGTAGGCTGACTTTGTAATTGTCTTAATGTGGCTGTTAAAATTCAGGTCGTCGTCCATGTAAAGAACGACTGACTGTAAGGTGGTGGATTCTGGGAACCTTAGAGGATTTCTCTGTTCCTGGAGCTCCTGCCTGAAAAGTCCTCAGTGAGACGCAGGAAATGGCCGGCAGATTGTCCCGCAGATAGAAGAACAAAAACACAAACGCACTCAGCGAAACATGAGGAGACTCTGCTCTTCCTGTTATTCAGAGCAACACAAAGTCAAGTCAGCATTTCTACAGGATTTTCTCCAACTTCCCTCTTTAACATTCCCATTTTCTCCTGTAGATCTAAACACACACAGCAGGCAGACTGTGTGTGAGAGCGCTGAAACAGAGGAACAGAGGGTTTCAGTTCGAGCTGAACCGGTGAACAGGACAGACTTCCTGTCTGATCTCAGTGTCTCTGTGTTCCTGTAGCCTGCTGTTTCCTCCCCATTAGCAAAGGCTACCAACATGTGCATTAGAGTGGAGGATAGTAGAATTGTCAAATCTGTAAGAGAATGGATCGATTGAACTAAATCTGATGCAGAACCCAAACATCATTTAGTAGATCGTTTAAAAAGAAGAATGTATACTGATAAAACTGAGTCATGCTGTCCCTCTCAGGCCAGGCAGTGTGGATCTGGAGTCCCCCCTGTCTTCAGCTGACAGCTCTGTTCCAGCCAATCAGAGGAGGAGCTCAGATTCAGGAAGTCAAGGTCAGTAGCAGGAGCGTCTTATAATCAGGATGTTTTTTAATAAAAAGCTCACCAATAGGTCAAAGGTTTATATACTTGTGGATTTAAAGCTTTTTTTTTTTCCTTTCTCCAGGTCCTGTCACCCTCAGTTTGCCTGAGCAGGTCATCCAGAAAGCCGATGACTTCCTGGTTTCTTTCCCCTGGTTTCACGGGCCCATCTCTCGGGTCAAGGCGGCCCATCTTGTCCAGAGCTCCGGCCCTGAAGGTCACGGCGTGTTCCTGGTCCGGCAGAGTGAGACGCGAAGGGGAGACTTCGTCCTCACGTTTAACTACCAGGGCAAAGCGAAGGTGAGCAGACCTGAATGTCCTCCACTGAGGGAACACTCCGGTTCTCCGTGTTAAACCGAGGTTTGTTGTTTTTATCTCCCTGTTATGCAGCACCTGCGCCTGTCTTTAAATGAATGGGGTCAATGCAGGGTGCAGCACCTGCGCTTCCCCTCCGTCATGGACATGCTCAGCCACTTCCGCCTCTACCCTATCCCGCTGGAGTGCGGAGCAGCCGGAGCCGTCACGCTATCCAGCTTCGTACTGGCCGGCTCCATCCCACCATCACACGGTGAGAAAGAACTCTGACTGGATGCAACACTTTCTAGATGCATACACCTAGAATGTGGATGATGCAGGAGCACATAGGAATCCAAAGTGCATTCAACTGGACATGACCAGTCCATTTTCTTTCTTCTTTTTTTTTTCTAAATCCACAAGAATGAAGTTATTTTAAAACGATATGAGGGGAATAAATGTTGCCTTTGCTCATGTGTTGCCTTCCCTCCTCAGGTCAGCTCTCTGGTGCTCTCCTCGTCCCTTTCTCCCTCCATCGGTGGAGCTCTGAACCCAGCTTGGCGCGCTGCAGCCTGGCCAGCAGCTCCGGTCCGCCCCCTGCATTCTCCTCCTCCACCACCAGCACCACCTCCACATCCAGTCCCAGCTCCTTCACCCAGGTGGCCCGCGCCGCGCCAGAGCCCGCTCCATCAGCGCCGGCTCATCTGCGTCGGAGCGAATCGGTGGGGAGGAGGCCTCTGCTGCGCAACCCCAACCCTCACACTCCCATCATCCCTCGGCGGGACTCGGATTATGAACTGGAGCCCGACCGCAGTCGCAAGCGGGCGATAGACAACCAGTACATGTTGCTCTGACGCAACCTGCCAGGACAAGAGAGCCGCTCCGACATGGCGTCGGTGGCTCAGATTCAGAGCGTCGCCTTCAGGAACAGAAACCTGCTTGAAAGAAGCCGATGGACACGAGGGAAAGAATCCGAACAAGTCCGAAAAAATGCAAAACACACTCAAAAACAAGTTTGCCTCACCCTCAGAACCTCCAGCGTCCACAGTGAATGTATTTTTAGGAGTTTTTTTAAGAGTGTTAACAACGATGAATAGTCTTGTTTTCAATGAACGAGCTTAGGCAGAAGAGGAAACCTTTTCTAACACCTGTTGTTGTGTTTTTCTTGAAAGTGCACTTGATGTCACTTCTTCAGCACTTAACCTGAAATGATGGGAAATCGCCATCTGCTCCTTCGGGAACGTTTAGGGCATGAACTAGTCGAAAAAAGTTCCCCAAGCAGAGCGAAAACCTCCACCTTGGAACACAAGCAAGCTGCGCTCCTTTTCTCTATGGGATCAGATTCTGTTCTTCCTCATTGAGCGTTTTTTAAGCATCAAGTGCGCCTCACCTTCAGTGCACTTTGTGTATTTTTTTTCTATACACAACCTTTTGTAGAAAAATAAAATAAAAAGTTAGAGGAAAAAAAGGAGAAAAAGTTCTAGAAAGAGGTAGTTTTAGAAACCAGATTGCTCTTAAAAAAACAACCACAAATTCAGGATGGGATTGTCGGCGCCGCTGTGGTCTGCTTGTGTTCACAGTCTGGGTTTGTGTCGAGTCAAGCGGAGTCTATAAATAAGCTTTGATTTTCTTTTTAATCAACCAAATAAATTATCCAAATCAAAGAAAATGCCACAAAATCAAAAAACTGGAGGGACAGTGATAATTTTAAAAGTTCCAACCAGTTCCTGTTCAGAAAAACCTGAGAAATGAGGCCCATATGAATGGAGTTTATATATAAGCCATTAGCACTTAGACACATACAGCCTCCAATTTCTTCAAACCAGAGCAGGAATGTGTTCATTTTTTGGTGTCTTTCTCCCTACTTCGTGTCGTCAGTCAGGTTCTAATTTTGAAGAATTTCCAAAAAAGTGAAATAACAATCCACCGGACTTTTATTTTCCAAGTTTAAAGATGTTTCGCTCCCCATCCAGGAAGCTTTTTCGATTCAAAATGTCTGGATTAGTGTTGAGCTCCAGGCTTTATAGCATTTGAATTGGAAAAAGTTTTCTGGATGGAAAGTTAAATGTCTCGAATCTTGGAAAACAAAGTCCAGTGGTTTGGGTTTTCTTTACCTTTTTTTTTTTTTTAAGAAAGACTATAACCTGGATGACAGAAGATGTTCACCAGCATGTGCAGCAGAGAGGCTAACATCTGTCTCTGTAATCAGGAATGTTTCCAGGAAATCACTTTGGATAAATTTAATCCCAGATCTTTCAGGAAAAAAAGAAACTGATCAATTTTCAGCCTTTTTTCAGGTATTTAAAATCTTGTTTAGACTCGAGGTTAGAGTCACCTAACCCTGAGATAAGCTGAAAGATGGTGCTGAACTCTGATCAAAAACGGACAAATAAAAAGGTACTAAAATCCATTATTAATCCGTAAAAAGGCGACTCCAGTTGATTGCTTTTGTGGCATTAAAAAAATGAGGGAATTCTCCGAATGACCAGAAAGCCTTCACTTCCAGACCGAACCAATGATCGGACTGAATTCCAGTTAACATTTGACTCAGTCTGCATGATTTGTCCAGTTACCTGTGAAGTGATGCAGCTCAGCCGCTACCACCACATCAGGCACCTTTTTTCCACATTCTGGTAGCAGCGTTGTGTCTTAGCTTTACTTTTTACACTTATAGCATTAATTCTTTGTATTTTCTCTCACTTCACAGCAGCTACAATCAAAAGGGCTGCAAAACTTTTGTTTTGTTTTTACACTAGATGTATTTTCTAATTGATTTTTATTTTTTATGAAGTGAGAACGTTTTCTAAACAAAGCTTTGAAGCTGTCTAAATGTGGCGTGGGATGTTGCAGAACCACTAACATTGGTAGTTAAAAAGGTGCCTTTAAAAGGTTTCGAACCGTCACAGCAAAACAACTCAGGTGTGGGTTTTAGTCACTGAAAGCTGAAGCGACTCCTATAACCAAAGCCCGGAGTTCTCCATCCAGTTTGTCGTGGTTCCTCTCCATCCGTAGGATGTCATCTCAAACTTTAGAGAACCAAAAAAAAAAACAAAGATGATCTGTAACCCTTCTGAAGAAAAGAAAAGCAGCTTCCCTTCCCGTCACAGCCGGATGACTTTGAGAATCATGTCTTGTAACGTTGCTTTAACACTACGTCAGCAGATTTATTTTAGATTTGCTTGCAGTCAACTTTTTCCTAACATTTGCCGTCTCTCCGCTGCCTGATTTTAAATTGTAATAATTCAATTTGCTTTGGGTATTTTTTTTTTTCTACCAAAGTAATATTTGTTAGTTTACTAATGGTTGTCGCGTCCTCTTTAATGTATCATCGTGATCTAGACTGACATCTGCTAAGGGGAACAAAAACAAGGATGTTTTTGGCAAACGTACGGTTGGTCTTCCTGCCTTTATATCTGATTAGATTCCTTCATATTGTTTCATTTCTGCTAAAGCAGAGCAACGGTAGAAACAAAAAAAAAAAACTCTTCGTTTTGTTTATTGTTTTTTTATTATTATTATTATTCCTGGGAGAGTGGCTGTGCCTTTGCCAGAAAGCTGCTGTTGCTTTTTCCCCTTCTCCAAAGCTCAGGGTGTGATCGTGCCGTGCAATAAATGAAAGATGCTTCACACCGTGCTAAATGGAGGAATCAAGTGCTTAAATCCGCTTATACACCAAAAGAAAATTAAAAAACATTTGAATAAAAACAAATCAAGAGCTGCCACATTTTTGATGCTTTTTTTTTTTACCCATCTACATTTATATAGCAGCAAAAAATCGAGGCAAAGCTTGAAGCGTTATCATGGGGTCATTGGCCCCAAACAGCTCCCCCCTTTCCCCACGTGTTGTTGAATTGAATGCGTCCAGTTGATGAATGTAATGTGTTTTAAATACTGTTCCTCCTGTCTGTTAACTTCGCACTGTAAACATTTTCACATCAACGCAACATCCCGTCCACAGCAGCTTCTCACACGGCTCGTCGGGTAAGCATCCCTTTCAATTATGAGCATTTAAGTTATAGTATAAATATATATCAACTGTATATATGACTTTTTTAAATAAACCTAACCAAAAAAAAAAAAAACGTGTTTTTTCCTCCTTTTGTCATTTTAATTAAAAGCAATACCTAAAGCATGGGTTTATATATTATTTAGATTTACTTTCTTTTTATTGGCTTTAGTCAGATGTATATTGTCCAGTTGGAAGAGCCATTGCTTCCTACTTTGTATTTTTTTCTTTAAGGTGCCCCCAGCAGTATGATGCTGCCACCGCCGTACAACACAGTAAGGATGGTGTCAGCAGGCTTGCAGGAAAACTGCAGAGAGAAATGCTAATCAGAGGCCTTTGAAACCTTTCTGTAATAAACTGGAACATAATGTTTAAAAGCAGCTGATTAGAATACCCATAACTCAATTCAAAAAGAGAAACCTGCAAATTAATTTGAAGATAGATTGGTGTATTTCTGCAGTACATTTCTTTTTATTTCATTAAATACAGGTCCTTATCAAAATATTAGCATATTGTAATAAAGTTAACTATTTTCCATAATGCAAAGATAAAACTTGAACATTCATATATTTTAGATTCATTGCACGCTAACTGAAATATTTCAGGTCTTTTATTGTCTTAATACGGATGATTTTTTTATCATTATCATTGTGCTTTAAGGTTTATAACTGATGGTAGACATTAGATGCATCATTGTGATTTGTATGCAAAAGCTGATTGGCCTCCTTTAAGTGTTCGAAACAATCATTTGATGATCCTTATATATAAATCTCTCCTTGGACTTACACCAACATACTTAAGCTCTCTTTTGCATAGATCTGGTAGTTCACATTTTTTACGCTCTAATGATTTTATTCTTCTACATGTTCCTCGTGTTCGAACTGATAAAGGAAAGAAAGCATTCAGTGTGTTTGCTCCTACAGCGTGGAATCAGCTCCAGTCTGAGCTCAAGATGTCAGACAATATTTCATTGGACTTATTTTGAGCGGTTCTTAAAGATAGACGGCAAGCTTCTATGAAACAGCGTTGCTGCTTTTAAATTGTTTTTGTTTTATATTTGTGCATATGTATTAATTGGTTTTATTTTTTTGTAACCAGGTTGCAGCATATTGCAGATCTCTGCACAGGTCCCCCTTGAAAATGAGATCCAGATCTCAACAGGGTTTACCTGGTTAAATAAAGAAAAATTTAAAAAATGAAATGAAAATTTTAACATACAGCTCATGAAAACCCAAAATTCCTATCTGACAAAATTAGCATATTTCATCCAACCAATAAAAGAAAAGTGTTAATACGAAAAAAGTCAACCTTCAAATAATTATGTAGTTATGCACTCAATACTCAGGAATCCTTTAGCAGAAATGACTGCTTCAGTGCGGCGTGGCATGGAGGCAATCAGCCTGTGGCACTGCTGAGGTGTTATTGTGGCCCAGGATGATTCGATAGCGGTCTTTAGCTCATCCAGTGTTGGGTCTTGCTTCTCTCAACTTTCTCTTCACAATATGCCACTGATTGTCTATGGGTTTCAGGTCGGGAGAGTTGGCAGGCCAATTGTTCACAGTGATACCATGGTCAGTAAACTTTTTACCAGTGGTTTTGGCACTGTGAGCAGGTGCCAGGTCACGCTGAAAAATACATTTTTCATCTCCATAAAGCTTTTCAGCAGATGGAAGCATGAAGTGCTCCAAAATCTCCTGATAGCTAGCTGCATTTACCCTGCCCTTGATAAAACACAGTGGACCAACACCAGCATCTGACATGGCACCCCAGACCATCACTGACTGTGGGTACTTTACACTGGACTTCTGGTATTTTCTTCTCCCAGTCTTCCCCCAGACTCTGGCACCTTGATTTCCAAATGACATGCAAAACTGAGCAACAGTCCAGTGCTGCTTCTCTGTAGCCCAGGTCAGGTGCCTCTGCTGCTGTTTCTGGTTCAAAAGTGGCCTGACCTGGGGAATGCAGCACCTGTAGCCCATTTCCTGCACACGCCTGTGCATGGTGGCTCTGGATGTTTCTACCCCAGACTCAGTCCACCGCTTCCGCAGTTCCCCCCAAGGTCTGGAATCGTCCTTTCTCCACAATCTTCCTCAGGGTCCGGTCACCTCTTCTCATTGTGCAGCGTTTTCTGCCACACTTTTCCCTTCCCACTGAGGTGCCTTGATACAGCACTCTGGGAACAGCTTATTGGTTCAAAGATATATCTCTGTGTCATTCCCTCTTGCTTGAGGGTATCAATGGTGGCCTTCTGGTCAGCAGTCAGGTCGGCAGTCTTACCCATGATTGGGGTTTTGCGTGATGAACCAGGCTGGGAGTTTTGAAGGAATCTTAAAGAGTTAATTTGTTGATTCAGATGATCAGGTGCATAGCTCGTTTAGATTCCTTTTTCATGATATGCTAATTTTGTGAGATAGGAATTTTGGGTTGAGTATGTATGCCAAAATCATTATGACAATAAAAGAGTTGGTGTGCAATGAATCTAAAATATATGAATGTTCAAGTTTTATCATTACATAATGGAAAATAATGAACTTTGTCACAACATGCTTATATTTTGAGAAGGACCTGTTTGGTTAAGAGTGAATGAAAACCTAACATTTCCAAGTGACAGAACACAATCCTGTTAATAAAAAAATGTCAGCTTAATAGAAAGGAAAGGATGCCAACGTACTGCAAACAGTACCAGGTCAGGACTTATTTTACTCCATCGGGATTTTAAATATACTGATTGATGCACATTTTCCTTCCACTAAACTTTCCAGTAGCATTCCTGGATGAAGTATTGAGCTAGCTTCTTTTCCCTGAAGTGTATATTGTTATGTATTAAAAGTTTAATTTAAGATCGAAAAAAAAAACCTAAGGTTTTGCTTTCAATTTACTGTAAGGTATAATTACCTAAATTTCCAGAATAGTCTTCTAATACACCATTAAATTTCATATATAATCAGAATGTAGGTGAAGAGATAAATCCACTGAGATGCTCCAGTTTTTAAGTTTGTTTCTGCCTGTAAACCTTATTAAACATTTAAAGATGCTCCTCTACGTTGGACCTATAAACAAACCACTGAGACACCATCCAGTTTTTAAAACTTTTTTATTGTTTTTAAGTTTTTTTGCTCATTTTTCTAAATTATTTATATTATCTACAAAGTAAAAGTTTTAACTTAAAAGTTACATCAGGGTCAGGTGAGATAGTGGGATCTGATCACCTCAGCCGTCATAGTTTTATAAATAATATTTCTCCTGTCCTCTGGGCTGCTTTATCTTATTTTTTTTCCCCCTCAAAAGAAGTTTCTGGTCATTTTTCGGTTTTTAGTTTGGTTAGAAACTTGTCTTGTAGTTTGGAAACAAATGCAGCACTTAGCAGCAGCAGTAATAAACAGTAAGATTAATACTGTCTAAGGTTGGAAGATTTCTTTCCCATAACAAGGTGCAGACAGAAAACACGTTCCAGTTCTTAGCAAGGCTCTCATGTTTTACTCAGCAAGCTGACTCTAGTTGACCCTTTCTATAGCAGGGGTCGGGTCTGAACAGGAGACGTCTTGTTCTTAAAAACTTGTTAAAACATGTCGCTGATCAACTTGTTAACATTCACTTATTGCCTAGTCTGACTGGGAGGGAGAAGGGAGAGAAACGCTGACGTGAAGCATGTCGGGTGAAGGAAGAGAGGAGGGGGAGGCTGTTGTTCCCCTTGCCGCCTTGACATGGAGGCTCTGGTTGAAAAGCAGGAAGCAGAGCGGGTCCCCGGGCTCACTGGCGCCCCCTCCCATCTACAGCTGCTGCTGGTGATGAGCCTGAACTGCAGGAAGGGGAGACAACGATGGAGAGGAGTCAGAGGCAAAGGCATGAACTTCAAAACCACCTCAGTCTCTAGATAAACATCTTTACACTGGATCTTTTTTTATTTTACATTTTGTTGATATTTATCAAGTGAAACGTAAAGATAAATCTATCAACTCTCCTTTGGACTCTTTGCTCAGCCAGTTGCTGTAAAATAGTGGCTCACAAACTTCAACTCCTCTCATTTTAATCTCTCTCAAATGTTAGTTTTAGCATTTTTTTCATTGAATATTGACAGTAAATTTTCATGTAAAAATGACAATTTTCTTAGGAGCTAATATCTCCCTCCCATTTTCAACAAAAACATCCATTAGAAAAAAAAGTGTCCATTTCAAAATTGAAAAGAAACAAAAAATGGTTCTTTACAGGTTTTAATTAGGAAAAAATTACATAATGACTACGTGATAGCCATTTTTAGCTACCTGAGGACAAAAACAGGTCTTTGGCTGTCTGCAAAGTTTACAACCCAGTTTAGTTTTGACTCAGTTAAGATTACTTTTGTTTTGTTTTTTTGACCTGCTTTCTGCGTTGTTCTGTCACTGAACTTCTGTAGTTGCACAATTACATACAGAAGGACTTTTGAATGTAATGTGATTTTATTTAGTGTAAAAAAACTGTTTCCTTGTTGTTCCACTTGATAATCAGCCACTACTCAGTGTTGGTCTATTATCTATAATGCTAATAAAGCTACAGCAAGAAGAAGAGTTAAAACATAAGAGCATTTAACACAGAGGTAATGGACAGGAATCCAGCAGGTGTCTGCAGGAGTACCTTGTGGATGTGCCAGGTAGGAGAAATGCGTAGTGGAGGAAACTGGGATGGCGTTCAGGGCAGTTTGTGGCATCGGTGGCTGTGGACCCCCTGGATGACCTTGCGTGGCCATGAGCATCATCGGGGGGTGGGTGGGTGCTGGGTGGTGAGATTGCACAATACCAGACTGCATATGGGCCTGAGACAGATGGAGAGAGAGAAGGATTTAAGGCCAACAAACAAGGAGCTTTCAGGACCACAGAGCTCACAGCTGTCTGCTGCAAGCAGCTCTGAGGAGCAGAAATAACCACAATCAATGGGAATGAACAAAAACAATCACAGCTAACAGAATGCACACAGCGGACTAGCACCACGATCAATAACCCTGGTAGAGGAGCGTTTATGGGGATTTTTGACCTCTCCTAACTGGCCTGTTTATTGCTGGCAGTTCAAAACCTCAGAGAAACCCTGAGCTGATGGTGAGAACTGAGGTTCCACAAACACTAGAAAGCACTTGGTATTCTGTTGGAGAGAACATGACAAGGGTTCTCCCACTGAGTGCCTTCTTCACGGTAGAGAAATCAGACGGGGAAGTCTGTCCCCTAAAGACTGCAGTCCAAAAGCAGAGGGTTACAGATATGCATGACTCTGAATAGAGCTTAAAAAATAAAGCTGGTTCTTAGGCTACGCAGCTCTTAAATGTCCTACAGAGAGGACAGAAAGGATTCAGACGCATCAAATCCACACTTTCAAGGATGTTTAACTGCTTTAATCCATCTTTGTCCTATAAAAACAGAAACTACTAACACTCAACTTTCCAGAGTTTCACTACTTGGGGTGAATTCTAAGATATGACAAGAGGGGAGATACTAAAGAGATGGAATGTGTGAAGTGGAAGGAGAGAATCAATGAGGAAAGAACGAAGGATGAAATAGAAAAGGGAGGAAAAAAAAGGAGAAAAGGGGAGGAAGGAGGGAAGAGAGAAGGGAAGAGGAAGAAAGGAGGAGGAAAGAGGAGAAAAGAGGGGAGGACGACAGATGGAAGGGAGGAGGAAAGAGAGTGAAGGAGGAAAGAGAACGAAGGATGAAATAGAAAAGGGAGGAAAGGAGAAAAGAGGGGAGGAAGAAGGGAAGAGAGAGGAAAGAGGAAGAAAGGAGGAGGTAAGAGAAAAGGGAGGAAAAAGAATGGAAGAGAGAAGGGAGGAGGAAAGAAGCAGAAAGGAGGGGAGGAGTACAGATAGAAGGAAGGAGAAAGGGGGGGGGGGGGGAGTGTAAGGAATAAATGTGGGAAGGATGAATGAATGGAAGGACAGAACCTCAGAATAAAAGGAACCTTCTGGTTGTGAGCCAGTACTCTCTCCCACGGCGGCCTACCTGCTGCATGTGTGCCATGTGGTTGGGGTTGTAGCCGTGCGGCACCTGCTGAGGGTGGATGTACACAGTCTGCTGAGCAGAGGGGAACGACGCCTGGGGGGACTGGGGGTTAGGCGTCATGGAAGGGGGCGTTGGGGCCATGGCTGAGTAGATCTGCTGCTGTGGGGGGGCATTGGATAGATGGAGGGCCTGGGCTGCTGCCGCCGCTATAAAACACACAGTATAAACACGGTATAAACACAGCTGCAGTCATCAGACAGGATCCAGCTACTTTTAGGAGGATGTGATCACCTGCTGCTGCCTGCTGGTGCTGAGAATGCTGGACCGGACTGGCTGCAGGGTGGCTGGGAGGACCCCCATGCTGCGGAGGACCGCCCTGCTGGGCTTGGCCTGTAGGGGTGGCGGAGGGCTGGGGGTGCTGAGGGTGAGGGTGTAAGGTGGCGTTGGGGTGAGCGTACTGTTGAGGCATCGGCCCTTGAGAAACTGAACCCAAACAGAACAGAACATATCTACTGATTGAACTTTTAAAGGTTTAAGTTGTCTGAGTTTATCTGCAGACCCACAGGGCGCCTTCACTCTAGATCCACCAATGGGCTCATATCTAGAGTAAGCATAGCTACATACCATACATGGTGTGGGTCTGCTCTGCATACTGGGTAGTAGAAGAAGAAACCAGGCCGGGCTGGCCATGCGTAGGAGGGCCCATCATCCTGGCACTGCCCTGCATGACCGGACTGAACACATGCTGGGCCTGGAGCATCACAGGTGTTCAAAGCAGTCAGCACCCAGAGAAGAGCCTCACTTCTAAAAGCTCCTCAGCCTGAAGCGGAGACCCGTACCTGTGACTGGTAGTGTGGCATCTGCTGAACCAGTGGCTGACTGGTGAACTGCTGCGGGCTGCAGGTGAAGTACTGCGCAGAGTAGGCCGGGTTCTGTGCTACGATGGGCGGTCCTGCTGCAGTCGCTGGGTGCATCATTGTAGGCGTTCCAGGCGGGTGGTGCTGGTCAGACCTCTGCTGGGGCATGTTGGGAACTACAGTAACAACAGTAGATTAGATGGAGAGATTATTACCTATAATCCAGGTTAAATTAATCCAGAACAACTGAGACACAAGAAAGAGACCCATGTGGAGACTAATTTTCCAATTTATGATTTTATATGAACGGATAAAGAATAGGAGGAAAAATTTCACAGATACCAAAGATATAACACTTGATCAATGAGTTTAATGCATCTTTCCCATCTGAAGGAGTGGAACAGATATACTGTCTAATATTGAAGATCTAAATGGTCTGAAAATGGACCTCAATCAGTTCCATGAATTATTTAAAAGTTAGAAAATCCACCAGGTTAACAAAAATATCCAGAAATATAAAAGTTTAATGATCTGATGCAAATCTCAAATTAAACAAATATAAAAACATGACGGTTCAACTTTTCCTGAAAACACTACTAACCAGAAAGAAAAAAAAAAAAAACTTTTATGACAAGCGCAAAACATTTTTGCAACTTATTTTCTCCATTTTGGGTCCAGTGATAAAAGGCTGCTAACCATCAGATCCACTGCACCAACTTTCTGCTTCACCATATTGGAGATAATGACCATGCAAAATGTTCAGAGCAACATTGGTAAAACTTCAAACTGATTTACAATAATATGTCAAAATTACTACATCTGGTTTTGATATCTCCAGTTACAACAAAATCTATAAACTGCATGAGATTCAAATCACGGCTTCATAACTTTGTTTATAGAAAGCAGAGAATATTCTCACCTTTACCTGGTCTGTAAGGTTTAGACTGGCTCACGGCCATATGAGGCATTTGGACCTGGTACACAGCTGGAGACTGGAAGGAGGACGGCAATTGGAGAACAAAGACAAACCAAAACAACAACAAAAAAAGTTTATCTTTTATGTTTTCAAAAAAAAAAGAAAAAAACTAAACAGAAACATAATTAAAATATTCAATAAAGTCCTGCTTATTTGCAAAACCCATCTGGTTGCCGGGCAACATCCATAACATCCAGATATGCTCTTCTCTTACCTTTGGTTGCATGCATTTTCTATCATAAACTGCATCACAAACTGATTCCCTACATGGAACAATATCTAAAAAATATTCATCATGCATTCCTTTAAAAAAAGAGCAGTGCATCAAAAAAGAAGCTCAAGAACCACCTTGTTTGTTGTTTGTGGTCAACAGAATAAACCAACACAAATGGGATGATGTTAAAAGGTCCATCTGTGATGACCGTTCAAAGGAATTGCAATAAGAAGTTGGCAAACCAACATCTGATGGCCTTAATTCAACAAGCAAGCAAAATCATCTAAATATCGATCGAACTTAAAATTAACAAAAACAAGGGTTGAAAAAAAAATAAAAAAAGGAGAAATCTTAAGAAAAATTCACAAACCTTCCATATTATGCTTTTCTAATGGAGCGAGAGAGAAAGAGAGAAAGGAGGAGGAGGAGGAGGAGGAGAAGGAGGAGGGGGAGAAGGAGGAGGAGAAAAAGGGAAAAAGAACCACTCTTTAGTTGTTATTGTTTGCACTTCTCTGATGTTGGATCACCAAGTATTTCTTAAAGCAACACAGGATATAATCATTACATGAGAGAAACACACTCAAACCCATAAATAACTGTTATTTTACTGTAGCTCTAAAATGATTTTATCATTTTGAAAACAATCCCAACAACAAGCATTTTAAATGCATTCTAAAACATCATGCATCCTGGACATTGTCTTAAAACGTCATATTTCACTGTGCTAGTTTGGTCCTGGCTGGTTCTTGTAGATAAGGCGCATTATGACCACTGATCAAACTAAAATAAAGACAGATATATTAGCTAATGAAGTCATATAACCTAAGCTCCTAATAGCAAGGTGGGGGTTTGAATCTATAGACCAACTCTGAGCCACCAGCTGTGAACGCAACTCCAGAAGAATGCATTCACTGCCCATATGGACAGTTCTTGGATCCTGCATGTCTCACCTGAACTCCAGGGCTGACGGGTGTCAGCGGGTACATCTGAGGAAAGCAGCCGTAGACCGTTGGGGGCTGCTGGACCATGATGGAGGGGCTGGGTTGGCCTTGTGGTCGAGGAGGCGTTGGGGTGTTGGCCGGCTTAGGCTGAGGAATGAGACAAACAGATGAAAAGAAGCCGTTCAATCCAAGTTTGGGAGCGTTTCTTTGAAGTCACTGGGTCAAGTTACTACATGCAGACATACTGACCTGTGTATTAAACCTGGGTTTGAATTCATTAGCATTTGGGTTCAGGGTTGATTTTCTTACTTGACTGCAAAAACAGATAGTAAGGTTCATATTAAAAAGATCATTTAGAACAAAAATATGGTTGTTTTGCACACAAAAAGCTGCTCTGTAGAGAATTTAGGGTTTTTTTTCCATTGAAATGCATTTTCTGTTCATCAATTTATTTATTTATTTTTTTTTTTTATCTTCAACCAGTCTGGAACACATCAATATGTACCAGAAGTGAGCAATATGTACAATATGTACCACAATGAAGTGAGCATTTTCCTTTTAATAAACTGTAGCGTGTCTATGATTTAATTCGGGATGCCAGATGCTAAGACAGAGAAACTTTCAATAAATAACAGCAATGGTAAACATAGTGAAGCCTAATTGGGCCCCAATCCAAAAACACTTTCAGAAATCAGAGGATCTACATTATCTAGAACATAAACATGGAGCATTTTTTGTGATGTAAGATCACTAACCATTATAGTTGCTTACACAACATGCTAAAGACCATTCAGCTCTAATCTCGTTCTTTGGAAATGGTAAAACCTGATTTCTGCAGCGACTGATCTGCTCCTACAGTAAGTAAAAACTACTGACAACAGGGGGGCTAAAAAAGCTGCACTAGGGTTTTTGCAGGACAACCAGAAGCAGCTCTGGGTTTATACCAGCAGGGGGCGCTTTATAAAAAACAGATAATGGATATAAGCAAGCGGACTCCATTCAGGGCTGTTAGATGGTTTCAGTCTCACTCACTCCTGTACTGCCTCTTTCTTCTCCTCCTTTTCTTCATGCTTGGATCCACTCAGTGTGGACGTGGGTGTCGTTTGAACTCCTTGTGATGTCACATCCTGCCCCCCTCGCTTCTGGTCAGGAGCTAAGGGAGACGGGGAAGGCGCTGCAGGGCTGCCCGGTTTACTGCTGATTGTGGCACTAGTGGATGAAGCGGGCCCAGCTCCTGAGTTGCCAGCAGCGAGCGCCGCAACCCCCTCCTCAGTGCCATCTCGTCCCGCTGCAGAGGCTTTGTCCAGTGTGAGATCTTTTGGCTTATCTGAGGGGTCTCTGATGGGCTTGGTCATAATCTGGTCCAAGGCAGAGTCTGGATTGGAACTAGGTTGCAACTAAAAAAAAAATAAAAGAGATGCTTTTATTTCATCTGGAAACGTAGCTTAAAACTAGCTTTTTATTGAGCATCACAGAAACATACTTACTCTAAAATCTACACTAAATCTTTTCAAATTATCTATTTGCTTTCTGTGGTCAGTTGCCATAGAAGGAGGTCCTGGAGGTGAAGAAACAAACTCCAGTTACATTCAGAAAACAGCAGAGCTGCCTAAATTACTTCATGCTAACACTGAATGTAACACGTTTGTAATGATGAAGCATAAAGGGACTGAAATCGGCTCAGCTGAGGCGTGCGATGCACACTGTACCTTTACAGAGTGGTCTTGTGATGCTTGGAGAGTTGTCCAAAGGCTTCATGTTCTCATTGTTTGCTGAAGGAGATGATTGTCTCGTCTCCTGGACACGACATTCTTTAGCTATTATGAATAAAAACAAGTCCAAACCAAAGAAAAACGTCAGTGTTTGTAAAATCATTTATATTTCAAGTTTTCCATGAGATTGAAAATTTACATTTTTAGGAAGAAAAAACCTTTGAAAACTGTGGCTCTCCATCAGTCCCCTATCACTCCAATACCCCTAAATAACCCGTTTTTAATACATTTGACAACTTTTAGTTGTGCACCCCCATAAAAGTGGCAAGAAGAAAGCAATTTCTTCTTCTTTCTAAAAGAAAAAAATCGTAACTTGCATTAACCCATCTCAAACATTTGAAAGAATACTCTGTGGCAGAAGACTGTCTGTTGTAAGCTGCTTTTTAAAGCAGAGGTGTGAAAGTTAGATGCATGAACCTGAATAAAGAATAAATAAAAGGCTGCTGCAGCTCATTTCATTGCTTTTCTTTTCCCACAAATTGATGCTGATGGATGGGAAGGGACTCCTGAAGGCATCCCGTCTTACAGCGGTTCAGGAGCCGCCTCTGACTGAAGCAACTATATGAACATCTAATTATTAGGATGCTAAAATGTCCCAGTCAAATAAATGATCCAATTGGATTTTTTTTTTTTCTTTAAATAAAGTATCTTTGAAATGTATTCACCATCTCCTAATGAAGAGGCGGCGGTGTTGGGGGCGGGGCTAGCAGCAGCAGTGGAAGCTGATGTCAGTGACGTCACACTTTCTACAGGAGCTGCTTGCTGAGGTGAGGAGAGGGAGGAGGAGCCGGGAGAGGCTCGACCCACATTGTTCTGGCGTGGAGACCGAGGTCTGTGAGCTGAGGTGAGAAGACAAACATCCTTCAATAAAATGGCCCCAATCCAAAGTTTTCATTAGGAATCAGTTGGTCCTCATCTCCAACATGAAAAATATTCTGTACCTCCACTGACCACCGAAGACCAGGTCCCTCCAGAGGAGCTACTCCTGGTTGGAGGTGTTGCTGAAACCTCCACCGGTGGATTATGGGAAGCCAAGTCCACTCCGGTGGAGACTGAACTAATTCGTGAAGGTGGAACTCTGTGAGCACGAGGGGTTCGCTGCGATTTTGGAGACATCCTCGGAGGACCTGCAGAAAAAGGCACGTCCTGTTAGGCCCCTCACATCCAGCTGTTAAAAACTCCAAAAGACTGCATGGTGATCCCCAAGACAAAGGTCACATCAAACCATAAGGACATGCATGTTAGTAAAAAACAAAACTACTTCAAGTGACAAAAAAAAAAAGAAAACACACCAACAAAACATTTTAAGGCCCAGATAACTAAGGTGGGGGATGGGGAGAGAAACCAGAGGAAAGCAGCAGAAGTGCGAAACCATGAGTACATTTAATTCAAAAGAAACCAGGTGAGAAAATGTGAACAGAGCTGTGCATATAAATACCAGCAACTACAGATCAGTCAGCAAAGCAAATGAAAAAGTTGCATCTCTGACAATTTTAACACCAACTCAAAGCTGAATGAAAAAACAAACAAACTGGGGGGTGATAACTTTGAACGCACCACAGTCATCCACAGGTTTTGGGGCTAATTGTTTCCAAATGTATTTGTTTTATAAATATAAAGGGGAGTCAAATATACGTTTATATCTTGGTAACAAATGAAGCTTTTCTTTAAAGGACCAGCTCCTGGCTTTTTTGTGCCTCACTCACATGTTCTTTAATTTTAGAGATAGTGTAAAGAAACAGGAAACCAGCACACACACACACACACACACACAAACCTCGGAGCACCACATGCTGAGGTGAAATGGCCTCACACACTGATAAGGACGCAGCTTAGTTTACTACCAAACTCTTTAGATGGAAGCTCTAGATCAGATTCCAAATAAAAAAAAAAAAATATTCCTAGATGTTTTGGTTCCACAAAACATCTGGGCATATTTATCCATGAAGGGATTTTTAAAATTTTTCATCTTTACTTTCTACAATTTGGTCTGGAGTTCGAATTCAATTTAAAGTCGCCCCCTCAACCTCCATTTCCTGCTTTTGCACAGATGGCCTCAGCCTATGTGGATACCTTCTGAGGACATGCGTTTGGGCAGAGTGGAGGCTAGCGACGTGGGCCCGTGTTGAGGAAATGAGGATGAGGAGGAGGGATAGGAGGGGTGGGATGAATGAGAGGAAGGTCTGGAAGGTCGAGAGGGGGGTCTGGAGGGTGGCCTGGCGGGCGAGGTTGCCCGAGGAGGCAGGTAGGAGGAGCCAGACTGGTAACGAGAGGGGGGACGGGAAGAGGGAGACGGACAAGGTGAGGGCCAATGGGATGAACCTAAAAGAGGCAAGGATAAAATGATCAAGAATGACAAAAAGTGGGAGAAAACCAATGCACAGCAGCAACAGCGAGGAAAGGGGTTGATAAACATGACAGCAGCAACATAGGAATATAATTTAAACCAAAGCAAAAAAAAAAAAAAAATCCATTAATGAAAAAAAAAAAACAAGATTCCAGAAATTTTCAGATCACAAGATAAAAAAAGGAAAAATATTTTTACTGTTTTTCTAAACAAAGAACAACATGTAATACCTTTCATTCATCTGAAAATGCATTTCCACTGAATCAAACTGTCAGGTCAATGTGACCTTATACTATGTGCTAATTTAAGATGGCTTAATTGATAATTAATATGAAAAAACAACAAAAATGCACCATCGGCCCAACAGCATCATATAGCTGCATAAACAGTGCTCAAATATTAGAGATAAGAACTTTAATTAAAGCCATTAATAGTATTTACGGAGAGTGTTGAGTGTTAAAATTCAATGAATAAATACCTTATGAAATAATTATACAAATGTGTTATTATTAAAACTATAAATCAATACAGAAAGACCTCAAAACCTCCTCAAGTAGCTAATTTCCCCTAAAAGTTACAATACACACCACCTCTGAAAATTTCAGCAAAATTGATCCATAACTTTTTAAAAACAGAGACAAACTAATGCTGATGAAAATACTACCTCTTTAGAGGGGTTAATTAATTATATAAATTCTATATAATGATTTCATTCTATGAAGTAATTATATTTAATAAATCATTTCCTGTTCTGGCTCTGAAACACACCATGAATTATTCTAAACTGTCAAACATCCATCAAAGTGAAAGAGGCGAGACTAGGGCCCGTTGCTATAGAAACCCTGATGGAAAGGTGGGGCTGCCATTGCTCACCTAAAGTGCTGGATATACATGGCAACACTGTGGAAATTTATTTACAACTTTTCTAGGAAAAAAAGTTGATATCAGAGTATAAGAAAACCAGGAAGAAGTTATCTTATATTTCTCAGAGAGAAGCAGCCAATCAGACCTCAGGGTTTCAATGGAAGCGGACCCGCCTCTTTGAGTTTGATGGACGTGTGGCAGTTAAGATGAAATCATCACAGGAACATGAAAAACTTCTTTTGATAACATACCCTCTTCGTAAGATAACTCTATATATATATATATATATATATATATATATATATATATATATATATATATATAGCCCAGCAACTTGAGCCCGTATAATTCATTATATAGATATTACATTTATTCTGTGTTTATAAGATATAAAATATTTATTGCATTGCTGCACAGGTAACCCTCTATAAGTATCTAATATCAACTGTCATTGTGTGTCTGCATTTTGTGAAAATGACTGATTTTGAAGCGACTCAGACCCCAGACATCGTGACTGTAGATGTCACGATGGGCCAAATGCTGAATAGGATGTCACAGATGTCTCCACCCAGACTTTTTTTCTGGGGTTAAAAAGGTCAAAGGCCCCTTTTACACTTCAAGGTGAAAAAGATGGCTGCTTTCTGTGCTTGCAAGGAGAGTGACATTTATGCCCGATGGTTCGTACTCCAAGATACTTTCTAAACTACATGAAAAGACGGTGAGGTATGCAATTGAAATTTGAAGCACTTTTCTAAAAAGGGCGGGCAGAGAGACTAGCGATACAGACTGTAGGCCTAACTGGGACTTTTCTATCCAAACATTTTTAAATGTTTTCTGAAAAGTTTAATAGCCAGCGGACAACAACCTGCAATGTTTTAATAAAAGCAAAAACATTGCTTGTTTATTATGCCATCAGTGGTACAAATTTATTTTACTGCTGCCCATAGACTTTATTTCTAAAATAGTTTAACTCTTCAAATACTGTTAAATTGGTTATTTCAGAGTTACAATCTCACCGCTGCTGCTACAGAACGAGGTTTTATCACAAATCAAAGGTGTTTGATGTTTCAGATGCACAAGTTAAAAACTCTCTGAGCAGTCATTGAATAATCCGTAGTGGTCAAGTACCTCCGTTCACCACCCTCTGGTCGGAGTTTGGACTGTAGTCATGGGGTCCCGGCCGAGAGGCTGATGCTCCAGCTGAGCTCTGACCCAGACGTGTTGAATTCTGCCGTCCTGCACCCCATGACATGGCCTCCCTGTTCCTCTGACCCGGAGGAATGTACTTGTTCTCTCTAAACAGACACAAACACACATAGGACTTAAACTTGTAGCCATCCTCTTTAAATTGATTGCTTATGAAGCCTAACATGCGGTGCGGTAAGCGGTGCGGTTGTGCTTTCCCTACTCTTGATTTGCCAGTCGTTGCCCGGTCAACTGAACATTTATCTAACCTGTCCAGAAGGAAGAAGGCTTCCTCTGCCTGGTTTCTGAACCCCTTTGCTACCTTATGTCGGCAGTAACATTCAAAAATAAAGGATCTTCAGCCTTTTATGCTGCTTTGTTTGTCTTTAATCTGACAAACATAACTCTGAGAAGAAGCCATTTCTCTGCTCCATCATGGAGCTCCTAGGATCTGGCAGCATTTAATCTCTCTCTTATCCATCTTCATTCCACTGTGGATGTTGGTGCAGAATCCTTTACTGCCAGAATAATTATATATAATTAACCTGTTAAAATGTATTTAAATGATTTATAAACCATAAATCTTTCAGCAATATAAATTCTGTTATTCTGCATCACTCTGGATGTTTGGTGGATGAATTATTTTAGGAAACTAAATGTTTCCTTTGACCTTTAACAAAATGTTTATCCCCCTTATTAGCGTCATCTCCCCAGGTATACCCAGTAAACGTGGCCTTTGGCCCAGTGAAAAGATGCTGCAGTCAAAAATTACAGAATTGCTGCTCCTCATTTGTGGATAGATTTCCTAAACAGTTGATTCATTCATGAATGTAAAAACCCTGATAAAAAGCTCTCTGATTTAATTGACAAAGGCAAAGGTCAAATAGTTTAGTATAGATTTTGAGCCTTTTGTTTTATAATTTAATGTTGCAGAGGACAAAAAAACAACAGGGAACAATTCTCCCCTGATTTTGGTAAAAACTGTAGCACATTTTACAACAAGTCGGAGCTGTTTGCTGCAGGCTGAATCGATTTATTACCTGCTCACATGTGGCTCCAATCATTTTGAGTCACAACATTGTTTCAGAGGACTGTCGCTCTGTCTCTACAAATCACATCTCTTGGGATTTTTAGTCCCCCACTGCATAGGAAAATTAACCGAATAATAGAAAAGAAACTGAAAACTGCAGCTAAAGACAAAACAAAACAAAGTTCTTCATGTGTGTATCGTCTCACCTGCTGAGCATGTGAGTCTCCCTCTCCCCTCGTACCACAGCTGTGTATTTTTCCTCCTCGGAGCGCTCATCGTTTTCCAGAGCCACCCGGGCCTTATATGTAGAGCTGGCCTCTATCTCCTCAGCCAGCTGGGCAGCACGAGCTTCCCTCTTCTGAAACTCCTCCGAGTCATCCCGCTCCAAGGGGACCCTGCAGAGCGGCGTAACAATGACTGAACAAGGCGGGGCTTAAAGAAACTCAAATCTGATTAGCAGATCTATGACATGTAGATTAATGTAGAGCGGAAGATGCAGTTATTTGTTTAAAATATTGGGAGATCTTAGGTGAGAGTTACTGGGCACTAAATGATGCTTACGTGTATGTGGACAGGCTGCTGTCATAAGTAGACAGGACTCCATATTTCTCCTCGTTGTATTTGAACATGTCGTTCGGGTCCCATCCGTTTGACTAAAAACAAAAGTGGGAAAGAGAAGCAAATTCATTATTCAAATATGGGACAGCTGTTTCCAATGCAATGTGCATGTGTGAACCAGCGGATCAGAACCACTGTTAGGGCCCACATAACCAATTACCAAACGATGAATTGGATATATAGTTTATCACGGTTTTGAGGCCTAGGAAAAATCTGAAGGATTTAGCCAGAACCCTCCTTCCTATTGTCTCTTCTTTTAAAAAAAGTGCTTTTTCTTTATGCATGTCCCCCCCATTTATGCTGAGTGGGCTGGATCATATCAGTCTCACGGAAAATAAATCCTGATGGTTTATAAGGATTGACTCCCTAATAGCATTATTTCCTTCAGCCATTTAGGAACCAGAGCTTCTGGTTCATCTTGGAGTCACCCTAAAGCTCGTCTCTCCTGGGTTGTCTATGCCTCACTGGGTCCGTTCGGATCAGCTGCTGGATCATGTGTAATCTAGCATGTCCTGTGTGCCTTAAGCAGCATGGAAGAAATAAGCAAGGACCACCTAATGAAACTGACAAATATCTAAAGAAGTCAATTCAGGAGCTGAGAGCGCCACACTTTGAACCCAAACAAGTCGAGATTATTAAAAACTATCTAGTAACTGATTACATAGGAACTTTAAGGTTTTCCATATGAACCGATGGAGCTACTTGCACTTAGATTATGTCCTATGTGATTAAGACCATTTTATATTAAAGATTATTGTATGAGACACAGGTGATTATTTCAGCAATAACAATCATTAGGTAGACAAAACTATAGGTTAGTGATTAACTTGTTTTAATTGCCTATTACGTGATCTTAATCCAGTTTGTCAGGTTTTGCTTTTACTAACCTTTACCATAACCCTAAAAAAACAATATCATAATATAAGTAAGAAAACCAGAAATTCTTCAAGAAAAAAAAAAAAAAAAAAAAAAAACAATATTTGCATCCTGGGTGAAAAGATACTGAATGGCTGATAGACATTATGTTCAGACCTTAGCCGTCTGCTACAGTTTGTTAGAAGGATCCAGATGCCAGGAGTTACTGCAATGTTTTTCTGGCTCCAACCCACCTTAGGTTATAGAGCCCATTTAATTTTCTTCCTCTGTCATTTCAAATATGTTCAGACTGACAGCGAAGGCCCATTTTCTCCTTGACATAGTCATCATGTCTGCAGCCTGCAAGCTGCCGTTTCAGAGCAATTATTTGCAGCATTAGTGGATTATAGAAAAATCTGATGATACTTTCCACAAAGAATTTAAACGTGTCGAATCTTCCGGTTCAGCATATTCATTATGCAAATGTGTTGACTTGACAGCAGAGTTATTTTGCGCTATGACCTTATCACTGGTGTTATTAAATCACTGCTTTTTTGCAGTTTCTTCCTACTCATAAGGGCCAAAACCAATCCATAAATGTAGACAGACGGCAAAGGAGCAGAAAAAGGAGGAATAGAGGCTAGATCGGCACAAAGTCAATATATAAAGATGAAACCACCAGGATTCTACCTTATGCTACACCAGAGTGCAATTCTTACTGTTGTGTTTTTAGGTAGACAATTTTAAGATCTGTCCAGGGACAAAAGATGAAAAATAGCCTCTAGGCTAATTCTGATGCATTTGCAGCAATGCTAATTAATGTATATATATATATATATATATATATATATATATATAAGATGCAGTATGTAAAAAAAAAGTGATGCAGAAGAGAGGAAAAGATGGAGGAGCAGCAAGTTGAAAGTGTAGAATTCAGGTTGAATTCAATTTCTCCTAAAAGAAACCCCCAAAGAAATTGTTGTTTGTGTCAGCACACACGTGATAATGGTGGTGGTCTTTAACTTCATCATGATAGGACCTGAAAGATCTTTATATAAATTCAAACCCAGCTTAGTCAGGTTGCCCTGCATTAATGTTTAAACGGAGTAAAAAGCGGGGTGGCTAGTTTCCCGATACCCCCCCTATTCCAGCACCACTGTTTGATGGAAACCCGTCTCTGATGAATTGTGTGATTGATCTCACCACATCTGTATCCAGGGACTCAAGGCTGTCCGAGTTGTGAGTGTCCCCCCCGTCCCAGGGCTCCAGGTCTTTCTCTTTATGTTCGCCATTAATTCGACCACTAACCGCCGCATCAGTGAAGTTGTCTGTTACACAAAAAGAACAAAATTACAGCGCGTACAGGACAACACTGCTCACAAAACAACTCTCAATCAGTGTTCAGTATATAATGTTAACACTAAAATAGTGTTCTAACATGAATCAGTTATCATTTATGTTGTTTTTTTTCTAGCTTTTATTATTATTTTCTAGGATCTCAGCAGCCCTACAAGGTACAAAGTTCCTGACAATGTAAAATCAAATGTTTGCATTCGCATTGTACAAGCAGGAAAGAGGTCATGCCTTCAGAGCTTCGGCCATAAAGCCCTCACAGCTACGACACAACAACAGACCTTGGCAGGTCAAACTATAAAGGCTTAGCTAATATAACATTTTTTTTTTCTAAGTGGTTTATTACAGTGACTCAATTCAAAAAGTGAATCTGAAAGAATCAATTTCAACATGATTTAAAAAAGAAAAAAACCTGGGCTTCCTGAACACGCAACACAGCTGCATTCATTCATGCAAAGCAAGCCTCGATCAAACAGCGCAGCAACTGTACACTACAAGGACATACATAGACTGATTTATTTTGTCATTATGTGGGTAAACACTAAGTGTAAACATAAGAAATTTCGTTTAGAACAGCTTTCTAGACAATTCATTTTTAAAGAGCAGCCTTGATAAGGTGAGCAGCGCGTATCATTCACATTTGCTTGGCAGCAGTGATGTCAGACAGATCTGGATAGGATCTTAGCATCCAAATGGGATTTTATATATTTTTTTTTTATTATATAATAAAAATATATAAAATAAACATATTAATAAGCCTGCAGTTCTTGATTATACAAATTAAAACAATTGACATTATCAACTCCTCCAAAAAAAAAAAAAAAAAGTAATAAGCAAAGAAAGTTTTTAATGATATTTCAATATACTGGTATTCACATAGCCTTAAAAAAAACCCCGGTAGAAACAACCCAATGGAGAGTCACCTTATTGTTAATAGAAATGAAGCTCGATTTAGTATTTATACCGTTCTACACGAAGACAAAATTAATCTGAAAGGAGAGCTCATCTTATGTCAGCCCAAGTCTGGCCCTATATTCTTGTTCTATAATCAGAAACCAATAGATGAGCATAAAGTGAACCATCTACCTGAATCCCCAATATAAACATTTGACATCCCAAATCATCCAATGTTAATTCAGAGAAGACGAAACATTATAGACACTGAGCTCACGGGCTGTGATGTGCTACAGGGCTCTGGCATGGCTTGTTCTTTCAAATTGAGGAAAGTGTGTAAAACATTACTTTTAAAAAGTAATCAGATCTTACAAAAATTTCCTTAAATCATAACCAAGCCAAAAAGTTATTTTTCAGGGGGGTTGGGGTTATTTGATCGAGCAACAAAGTGGTGAATCTTCGTGGAGGAACTGATATTTGGTTTTCAAGTAACTTTAAAGGTTTGCCACAAGCCACATCAGGGTCCCAGTGAACACTGTAAATCAGTTTTTCTGGTCTGATGAGAGAATCACTGAATTTTCTGGGCTTCATCAAAACGTTCAGGTTGGTGGGAAGCCAACACTGCACTTTATGTGGGCCTACCATACAAAATTGCGATAAAATACACGGAGGTTTGTGGTTTCAATGTGAGCAAGTGACAAAAAAACAATTATAAATAGAGGTGTGAATACTTTTATAAAGACTTGATGATCGATTGCAAATACAGAAAGTTTAAAGAAATAAAATTAAGCATTCACTGTAGTCAATTGTATGACCTACGAGTTCAAAACAAATCGCACATCCAGGCAATGCTATATTTTCAACAAACATCTGTAAAGAAAAGGTGAGCAAAATACCAGTTTCAAGGTGTCACTTTCAGGTCATTTTTATACTAATGGGTGAGTGCAGTAAAACTAGGCTGATTTTTATTTACATCTAGCAGCTGTTTGTTTTTCAAGGGGGGAGGGGTTTGTCTGGTCATGTGACAGTGACTGGGATGCAGCAAAGGGCTGTGGGTTTTTAAATAAAGCAGAAAACTAATTAGCTATAATGTCAATTGATATCAGATATCAATATCCACCCAGACAGAGTTAATCCCTAATTTAAAATGGAGTTAAAGAGCCATATAAAAGGCGAATGAAAACAATCGTTATACTTGTAGCTGCTTTTTCAACAAGAGTAAAGAAACAATCCTTCAAAACAAACATTTTGGGAGCCCATAATTCACAATAAATTTTTTTTTTTACTATTTAGATCATCTCATATTTTCTAGCATTTACCAGTAAACCAAGCACCTGAGTCACTTCTTATACAGGTATGTCAGGCAAACAGGACTTTGCCACTTAAAGCAACATCTAAACCAAAGACTGAAATGTTTTTAGATAGAAAATGCACCAAGAATGACATTCATTAGATTTCCCTATTTAGTTAAATCTGATTTATTCTCAGATTAAGTAACCTCAAAATACACCATCTACTAGTGTTATATGTACCCAAGCTGATATGTTTAATCATAGTCTAATCTGAATGTGTGGATGTTTGTGTAAACAGAAATATCTGAGAGAAGGAAAGCTTTTTATTACCTGCGTCAGCAGAGACTAGACCATTGGAAAGAAGAGACACACAAATGACAGAGTCAGAAGATGGAAGACAGACAAACAGACAGTTTCTTGACTAACATGCAAGATTCTTACCCAATGGGTCAAAGCTTTAAATGAAAACCTTCTCGTTTTCCTTTTGTTATCAATAGTTATCTGACAAAAATGCTACGGAACCAAAAAGCTTTTTCTTTGTTCCTTTAAATCTACAATCATCAAAACAATATATTACACTGAAAATGCATATTTTAAGGAATAAGATCAGTTACAAAAAGCAGACTTGTTCAACCCAGGATGTCCTTGATGCACTCTCCCAACCTTCAGAAAATCAATAGATCAAATGGGTTTGCAATGCCTGGCCATTCAGTAGCAGCAACACAAGATGTAACTCGTGACAAAGTCACATCAGGGCAGAGAAGACAGACAACAATCCACTGCTCATATGTCATAATAGCGATTCATTGGACCTTATTTTGAACATTTGGCAAATAAAAGCTCATTTGATCAATTTTGGCTATCTATTCAACAAACAAAAAACATTCAATACCTTTTCTGGCGAAATTCAAGTCCACGTCTTTGAAGGTGACCACTACAACATCAGAAGCCTTAAAAATGATGCTTTCTACAATATCTTCCTTCCTGGGGCCTATGTTGGACTCTGGGCTGTTTCTGTGGGCTGCGTCCAACACCAGGTCACACTAGAAGAGACAATCCGAATCAAATCAAATATCAAGGATAAAGCACAAAAAATGAAAGAAAAACATGAAAAGGGAATTACAGGAGTAGCTACTTAAATTAGAATTGAATCAAAGACGTATTATATTGAGGAAGTGAATTTAAAATTCAGCATTTTTTTTGCATTTTTGGAGATGGTGACAATTTCTCATGAGGATCCCTACAATACGAAAGATGAAGTACCCCTGGTAGACAGCTGCTCAGACACTGGGCCTCTAGAGGCCCCGCTTCCAGCCACAGCCTGGTAAGTCTCCCTAAATTCTTTAATGGGCTTTGCTCACAGTCCTCAACTTCATTTTTTTTTATCCTTTTACTCAACTTTCCGTTAATATGCTTGGACTCTGCGAGCCTTTTCAGCAGCGACCTGTTGTGGCTTGTACTCCCTGTGGAGGCTGAAGAAGCATCCTGATCCTACAGGTCTTATATATTGTTCCTTCTATAATATTTGCATACTGGGGAAAAAAATTATTTTCAATTATTATTCACATATTCCGGGATACTGAATAGTTTATTCATTGCTTGGAATGCATTTGTTTCAAATCGCTAGAATATAGAACAACTTAAAGATAAGACAGCAAGAATTTCAATATTAGCAAGTTAAGAAAAAATACCAAACACTTTTAATTGGTCCATTTTTTAGGATTTCCATCACCATAATCTAAAAATGTCTTAAAATGAGAAAAACTGACCAATTAAATTGTAAACATATGGGAAAGCAAGACTACTGCATTATTTTCTGGAGAAAATCTAATAGTTAAAACTGATTTTAGTACCAAGGAGGAGACCATTAGGGGATTAAATATTATTTATCTTATACACCTTTTAAAGAGGCTGAGGGATACTAGATACAAACATGGACAAAATAGTTGATAAGCCTCGTTAGTTGATAACCCTCATTTCAAAAGAAACTCATAAAAGAACAGGTCTGGGCAAAAATCATTAAACTCCTATAAAAGAGTCACTACCTCTGGTCCATGTTGTGTACCACACAACATGGACCAGAGGTAGTGAAGGAGAGAGTTCACTCAGGAGATTAGAAATAAAATGATAAAGAAACATGGTAAACTTAAAGGCTATAGGACCATCTCCAAGCAGATTAATGTTCCTGTGGCTTCAGTTGCACAAATTATTTTAAATTTTAGATCTGTGGGACTGTAGCCAACCTCCCTGGATGTGGCCACAGAAGAAAGATTAGTGACAAGATAAAGAGACAGAAAATATGAATGGCAACAGAAGAAAAACAGGAGAAAAAACAGCACTTTTTACTAAGGCACATTCACTCTATGTTCACAGATGGAAAAATGAAGCATATCAAGAAAATATCACCGTCCCTACTGATAAACATGGAGGAGGCTCTGTTATGCTCTGGGGCTGCTTTGCTTCTTCTGGCATAGGGTGTCCGAATCTCTACAGGGTACAATAAAATCTCAAGACTATCAGAGATTCTAGAGAGAAATGTGCTTCCCAGCGTCACAGAGGTTGCTCTCAGTCGTAGGTTATGGGTACTCAATGACCAAAAAACTCAGCTAAAAACAACCAAGAATGGCTAACAGAAAAATATTGGACTATTCTGAAGCGGCCTTCTACGAACTCTGATCTAAATCCTATTGAGCATCTTTGGAAGGAGCTAAAATATGCTGTCTGGAAAAGGCATCTATGCAAACCCTGAGATGACTGAAACAGTTTGCTTATGAGGAGTGGACCGAAATACCTGCTGAGAGGAGTAGAAGTCTGATGACAGTCACAGGAATAATTTAATTGCAGTGATTGCCACAAAAGGTTGTGTAACAAAATATTAAAATAAAGGATCCATCATTTTCGTTCATTAGTTTTTTTTTTATTCTATCAAAGCATAATTGAAAACCAATTTCTGACTCATTCCATTTTCATACCATTTTATTTATTATTACTTTAGTCAGTTTCCAGTTATTTCTGTGACCATTGTGGGTTTTGCATTAAAAAGGGTTATCAACAATGTTTTCTACGTCTTTACATAACTTCAGGATCTGTAGTTGCATGTAAACAATCATTCAGATTTAAGCTTATTTCTATAAAATATTTTCTCATTGCTGCAAATATTTGCAACACAACTCTGAAATAAATGTTATGGAGTTGTATCTATCAAAAATAAGATAGAAAACTACTTTACCCATAAAGCTGCTTTTAGGCACTGTAAAGTTGGTCTAATGATTAATCTTAAAACATGTTTTAAAACTACTGAAATATATCTATTATAACAACAGATGTAGAGGCAGCACAGAGAACTAGAGAAATTCCTAGAAGATTTTCGCCAACTTCCAGTCCAGATGCAGTTAAGAGACCATTAGTGTCACAAAATCTTAAAAAAAAAAAGTGATTTTCCTTACCTCTGGACCATATGTCTTAAATACTCCATCATATGCTGCTCCATTTTTTACTTTCAGCTCACATTTGGTCCCCTGGGAACAAATAAGCTGGTCAGCGGTCATAATATAAAAGAATGATTCGCTCAGAGCTAACGTAAATGTACTCTTTGAAATAAGTTCAACGAGCCCATCTGCTTTAAGGCAAATGATTGATCTGCCTTCCTTATGGTACAAGCTGTCCTGAGTGTTGTTTACCGCAGTGTAGACATTCTGAACTACTAGCATGTGGTAAAAGAGAAAGTGCAGTTTTGCTGACTCAAGCCATTTACAGTAAGAATGAGCCCTGTAGCTTTTCATTTGTACCTTTAGCTGCTTAAGTTCCAGTAACATTACCAAGGAAAGAAATATTACATATTTTATATAAGTATACTTTAAACTTACCACCACTGAAGTCAAAACATGGACCATCCTCATATTTGCATACACACCATTGAAAATCACCTAAAGAGCAGAAACAGTTTTTGAAATTCTGGAAGAGGATTTGAAATGGGACACATGCCATTTATCTAGTCCTAACCAGACTTCTGAAAATGCAGTATTTTTTGGATAACTACCTTTACTATAAAAACAGCTTATAAGGATAAACATAAATAGAAAAGTAGTAATTTTAAAATAAATGAAGAGTTATCTTACTGCTGCAGGGCCTTTGCCACTGTGTCTTCCCCTAAAAAGAAAGAAAGAGAAAAGAAAAGGTAATGAAATACCTGCAACATTTTTCCAAACACAAAGCTGTTTGAAATGTTTAAAATGAGCTATAAAACCATTGCAATTACAGAAGCAATCCCTTAATCCAGTTTTATCTCAACCTACTCTAAACGACAACCGTAACTATGGATTTATGATTTAACCAACAAAAAGGTTTGAGTGATGAATTCCTGCCCTAAAACTACCTTTTTTTATGCTTGAAGCAATTGAATGACCTAAAACAATCTAGTCAGGATCTCCAACTTAAAAAACTGCTTTTAACATAAAATCTGTTTCTTACAATCACAATGATGTCCCCATCGCTCCCCGGAAGCTTTACTCTCTTGGTTATTAAGGATAAAGCAAGTCTATCCAAGAGGCCAAATTAATTATTTCAAAGCAGAGTTTTAATGACAGTAAACCACTGCAGTCATTTAGAAGTGCAGTAATCTACTTAGTATCGATGCAATGACTTCAATTTCAATATATAATGCAGCTTTACAAATAGACAAAAACTGCAGGTGAGCATGAATGACTCCTCTTTTTATTTGTTTTGAAGTCAATGACTGTAAATTACAGTTCATATCCTGAGGTTCCATCAGATCAGGAGACTCAAACTCCAGACTTTGGGGACGAGTGTCCTGCAACACTTAGATGCGATGCTGGGACATCATGCTTGAATTACTTCCACAGCATGCAGTCAGGCTCTACAAAGTCCCTCTAAAGCCGCTTTCAAACTGAAAACCCAGGTTTTTGGCGTTTGTTTTTTTTCCCATTTTGACTGAAAAGCCGAGTCTAACCCCCTGCTGGCAAGCTGCGTGGACACGTCTCCCACCACTGCATGTCTGATGACGGCATCACGCTGGGTGAGCATAGCTCATGTCGACAGTGCAATGGAAATCTGTGAGGTAAATAATGGAGAGCAACAGGGACGTAGCATATTCTTCTATCATTTCCCTATGTTGTCCCTCCTGAGGACACTAAATGTAAACGAACCTCCTCTTCTACGTGGGTTATAAGGAGCTCACAAATCTCTTGATCTTGCCAGGGCTATGCGGCATGTTTCTTGAATACAAGCAGTTGTTTGGGGTTGTTATTTAACATGTGACAAACTTGATGCGACGTACGTACGCTGCGCTCAAAGTCATCACATAATTTAGCGGGTTGACTCGGGTCTGATGTTCCCACAGCATGCTGATCGGAGCTGAGTCGCCCGAGTCATTTGATCTGGATAGACACGGTCAGTGAACGTTTCCCACTGCCACTAAAAGCCAAATATTCCAGGGTTAAAAGTGGTTTTTCGGCAAGTGTGAAAGGGGTATCAGTATGTCATTATTTGATCCAGGTATGCTGAGCCGGAGTAACTGTGAGTAGGTGTGAGGAATTGCCTTAGAGTCAATGAGTCCATGCAATCATTTGGTTTTCCCTAAGTAGAAAACTTTGAATCAATTTGACTGCATGATCTGGTTGAACTGTAAAGTGCCTTGAGATGACATGTGTTGCGAATTGGCACTATATAAATAAACTGAAATTAATTAACTGCTGGAGGGCAACTGCAGAGGTGGACAGACAACCCAGCTGAAATTCAAGCAAATCATCCAAATGTAGAAGACGGAGAATTTCAACACGCCTGGTCTGAGTATTTCAGAAACTGCTGACCTGCTGGGATTTTTACACACAACCGTCTCCAGTGAGTGACAGGTGTGTGAAATGGATAGAAAGCCAGCAGTAGCATCACTGAAATCACAACAATGAGGCAGATGAAGTGGTAGCAGCAAAAATAAACACAAAGCCAGAAGTTAATCCTGTCAGCTAAGGACAATTCACCCCAGATTATCATTGCTAGACCATAGGCTGGGGATGGGCTTCATTTTCAAACTGCAACATTTGGACGGCAGGGTCTAAAACTTAATGCATCATGCTTTCTTGAAACAACAGTGCAAGCTGTTAGCTTCCAGGTTATAATCTCAGATGAATGTGTCAAACCATCATTCTTTATCTCTTTGACACACAAAAAAGTAGGTTTATCCTGGTACTCGTGAGGTGTGCCTAATAAAGTGGCCTGTTTGTGTTGATCAGACAGGAATTAGCTGGAGATATGTTTTAGCAACCATGTCCCTGAATGCACCTTTTACAACTGAGGGTTGTTGTTTTTTTATATAGAGGGCTCCGTTAGATTTGAAGAAAAAAACACATCCCTACGTAGTAATGCTGCTGGGCTTAATGAACCACACAATTCAGAATGAATTGTAGTCCGCATTCATCTCTATAGCTCAACATTGCGTTACAGCAAAGCAAGCCTGCGCCATAAATGGGCAGTGGCTCCAAGTGACCGGTGAACAGCCGCCCACAGAAATTACAACAAAATAGAAATCACAGCATCAAGGTGTTGTATGTAAGCCTCGTCACAGAACAACACGTGGACAAAAAGTCATGCTTCAAGGACACTAATTTCCCACGAAAAGCCACGCCAAGGTTGACAGCCGGTCAGCATAATGACACCCCCCCCACACACACACACACACTCCTTCCCCCCCTTTATTTCAGTTTAGTGTCAATGTTGCAGTGATGTTGCGGTAACGTAGGAGTCCGCTATATTACAACAATAATAAAAAAAAACCCGCAAGTGTCCTGAATTACAAAACCACGAGCTGTCAGGTGGCTAATTAATACCTGGTTGATCCAGTAACTGATATCAGCAACTTTACGGACCCCGTCATTACACACATGGGAAAGGATGTGGTTCGTGGTTGTGTTCGTCCAGATATGGCTAAAATGCGTAATAAATGGTCGTGACATTTCTTATTTAACATGCTTCGGGTGAAACGTTATCCTGAAGTTGCAACATTACTGACCAGTGCTGGTAGACAGGCCTAGCTAGCAAAGCTGCAGAACGCCTCGCGGCCCGCATAGCGTTCTTAACACGCGTACTAATTTTGGACCACTTACCACGAGTGTCATCTCTTCAAACTACCGCTGCGGGACGCATTTGTGTCCGTAGTACGAAATGCCGACAAAACCACCGCTATTCAATGCGTTTTTTTACCTCCACTTTAGATCTCATACAGACCTGCCCAAATTCTGTCTTCCCCCGCCGCTTCCTCCAGCACCCGAGGCGGCCGCACCAGCCGCGTTGCCCCCACCGGGCTTGCCTCGATTTCCACCGGCCTTCATTGACATGGTGATCCCATAAAAGTCGACGTCTTAAAAAAAAAATCAGTTGAAGGCCAGAAACTTCTTAACAATGCGGCCGCGTGCGGTTATGTGACAGCTCGCTAACGTGGCTAGCTAGTTAACAGTGTCTAGCCAAATTAGCAATTTCTACAAATCTTATTAAAACTGAGGACAATTTTTTTTTCTAAAACGACACACTTCAATGGATCATTCCAAATTACACATCCGTCACACCTCTTGTCAATGTGATGTGAAATCCTAACAAAAAAAAATCGATTATTTCAAATTGGAGTTTACAGCTAGCTCGGTTCCTTTCCGTGTTGCTAACAGCAAAAAGACCAAAACAGTCTGAAAGCGGACAAAAACCAGCGGAGGGATATATGGAAGGTGCAACGACTCCTAACATTCAACTCATTATGCACGCACTTCTAGAACTGCTTTTTTATTATAAAGCTAAAAACATGTTTAAATTGAATATATATAGCCAATATATGGCTATAAATAATACATTTTCAGAAGATTTTAGAGACATTCTGGGGACTATTTTCAGGAAGTCCGCGTGTCTTAAATGGCTGCTTAGCTGCATCCACGTGAGCCGGCGAACGAACGCACAAAACCCAGATGTATAAACAGCATGTACAGCTGTCAGGTACTACTTGGCCACTACTGAACAACTACTCACAGCTAGTAGGTTTATTAACTTAATGAAATTACCAGAGACATGTAGGCATCATTTATCAACTTTATGACTAGGGTTGTGAAACTAACATTTAAAACTGATTAAAAGAAAATATAATTAAAGGCATGATTTTTTTTTTTATTGACTTAAAAAAACAACCCTTTTTCAATCCCAAGATTGAGCATGCTTTCTCAACAGATTCACAGATGATATTTAACTAAGTGTGCAAATAAATGAAAAAAAGAGAACCAAAATATAACAAAATTTTACAATATAAGGTTTTCAGAGGTTTTATTTTTTTGATGTGAAAATAATCCAGAAATCTAAATAAAAAATCTAAATTAAACAATAGCACAGAAATGCAAACAACACTTTAGTATTAATTCCATACTACATTAATACTGTATTCAAATACAGCTACTAAGCATTTCTGAGTATCTGTGTTTCTGACAGCCCTTTAGACTTAGACAGATTTATTTGGTAATTTTGTATAAATTAGTGTAAAGAAAAATACATTTCGTTTAAAATAGCTCTGGACAATTTCATTTTTGAATGTGCAGCCTTGAAAAGAGTAATAAATACATAAAAAATAGTAATATAAACACATAACGGTATATTTACAGTTCTAAAATTTTTTATTTTATTTTTTATAAATAAAATAACCCATTTTACACAACATTCAACAGTCTAATGGCAATGGGGAAGAAACTGTTATGGAATCTGTTGGACCTGCATCGGATGCTTTGAAGCCTCTTCCCAGAGGGCGGCAGGGAGAACAGTCAATGGTAGGGGTGTGAGGGGTCATTTATGATGTTACGGGCTTGGGACACGCAGCGCTGGGATGGAATGTCTTCTCTGCTGTTCTTACCACTCTCTGGTCAGAACGCTCTCTATGGTGCTCCTTTAGAAGGTGGTGAGGATGGGTGGGGGCAGGTGGGCTCTCCTCATCCTCCGCAGTAAGTACATGCGCTTTTGTGCCCTTTTGATCAGTGAGGTGGTGTTTACATTCCAGGTGAGGGTGTCTGTGATGTGCATCGCCAGGAATTTGGTGCACCCCCAGGAAACTCTATTTTTAATGAAGAATGAAAGGAACATATTACCAACTTGAATTAAACCCAATATACAAAACCCAACAGAATAAAATTCAATTTTCTTCTACACAGTCAAATTCATGCAAAAAATAAAATAAGAGATCTATAGAGACAAAAGAGGAACTACACATGATCTAAATATTTTTTTTTTTCATGACTTTACTTGGCCAATACAAATCCTTCCTTCTCTATCAGTCATTGGATTTAAACTTGCTTGTGTGTTCACTGTCCTGCTTTATGACCTATAAGCATGTGAAATATTAGCTTAAATTCACAAAATTAAGATCAGAGTTTGTCTTCAAGGGATTTCCTACTAAAGAGAAGAATTCATGTTTCCATCAGTTATGGCAAATTTTTGGGGTCGTGCAGCACGTCGGCTCTACCGGATCCCTTCCTTCAGTCTCTTCTAAACTGTTGAATTTTTAACACATATCTTAACTGAGGCAAGAGATTTGCTTTAGATTTTGTCGTGGATTTTTTCGTGACCCGCTGGATGAGTCATTAAGGTACTCTTGCACTAATTTTGGCAGAAACCTTCTACACTGTTATATGAATCCTTAGTTTTTTAATAGTGAGACTCTCATGAGGTTCTTGTCTGAAAATCTTGAAAATTGCTTGGTAACAATTTACAGACTGATCAGTATTAGTGACTTCATTTTTTACTTTATTCTTGATTTTATTTTTTTTTATCAGTACATAGTGTGTACCTTTCCTGTAGAGATTGTTGCGTTGATTGATGTTCTTTATTCTACAGGTCTGGCCATAATTTCTACTGAATGTGTCTAAACCACTCAAGGCATTTTAAAAAATTGTGGGTAAACCCGGTTCATTTTAACTTTGCCCTCCAATTACGTTTCATCTGCCAAAATAATCCATCCTTTAAAAACTCATCTTGCACTGTATTTCACTGATAATATAAAACATTTGTGAAATTAATTCACATGCAATGTAATCTGAGCATAACAATTCATTATTTACAAGAAATATGAGTGACAGCGATTAGTTCAGCTTTACATGAGACTGATTTTATAGTGTCCTTTTTAATATAGGGTGACCATAAATGTGAGGAGATGTTACTTACAGTTGATGAAAGAAATTAAACAATTCTTCTAATTTATTGCTCCATTCTGCAGATCTTAATCATTAATGTAATATATTTATCTTTAAATTGTAATAGGAGCTATCAAATAAATGAACCATAATAACTGAAGGCATAATGCATTGAAATTGCATAAGCTAGACACATTAATATATATATATATATATATATATATATATATATATATATATATATATATATATATATATATATATATATTTATAAACTTCTTAAAGCACCGGTACAATTAATGCAAAAGTGATTAAAAAGAAATTATATGACATGCTAACAAAAACTGCATAAAGTATACCTACTGCAGATTAACTTGGGAAGAGAAAAGAAATCATGTAATGTACAGCTATTCACGAAAGAGTTTATGTTTCTTTTAAAAATTTGGTTAAAAAAAAGTTTGCCTGAAAGGGAGAGAGGGTGGGGGTTGAGAATGTTCTTGTTAATTTATGTCACTTTCGTTTGGTTTTGATTTTGTATTGTCTTTATGTTTTTTGTTCACATAAAAAAGGACGAATGTGCATTGTTAATGTTTCAATTTTCATGTATGATTCCTCAATAAAAAAAACTGTTTAACACAAAAAAGGTCTGCCTTAAATTCCCCAATAAAGTCAACTAAACTGATGTTCAAAGTTCTCTTCCCGCCATAAAAAGGGCATCCTCATATTGTGGGTTTGATGAGGGATACTAGATACAACATGGACAGGATAGTTTGTACCCCTAATTTAATGAGAGAGAAAAAAAAAGCATACCGGTTAGTATCCCTGCTAATTAGTTTTTTTATGTATAAAAAATGTATTGTAGTGCGTAAAAAATAAATAAATAAATAAAAGGATGAATATCCCCTTTCCTCACATTTCACTGTCATTCAACTAACTTTAGTCTGTCACATAAACTCAATGTGAAATCCAAATAAATTAAAGATTTTGGAAGAAACTATTCATTATGTTTCAAGCAATATATCAATTTTAAATTATATTGGGTTTAATATAACGTTGCTGTGGCCTCTTGTTCAAATAAATACGGTTCAAACTATAATAAATCTTTAATTAACCCTTAAAAGAAAATTTGAATGCGCACTGAAATGTGGGTCTTTGAGAAGGGGCCCTCGTACATGCCTCCAAAAAAATCAGTAGGTTATTTTAAAAATTAACTCGCAAAAAAATATAATTTTATGCGATGGTAGAATTCGTTGACTATAAACCCCAAAATTCTGTTTTCTTTCTTCTTTTTTTCAAAATCGAAAAACAACCAAAATACTTGATATTCCTTTTCATCAGGCGTTCTAGGAGGACTCCTATTAAGTGGTGCCGTTTAAGGGTTATGGAATTAACAAAATAGTCCAGAGACGGTCTGGACCAACGCTGGAAAGAGAACCGGTTGACCTCATTCATCGAACTCACTGGACCCCTTTTGCTTCTTATGTCCCTCTGCTGCTCTTACAAAGAATAATATCATTCGTGTCTTTAACCAGTGCTACATAGCTAACTTATTTTGTCGACATAACTCGTTGGGAACGCGATGTGCTCACTGTATGTCGTACCACCACTCCATACGTTCTTATAATCAGTATTTGTTTTAATTTATCAGTCATATCCATCTCCGTGCCTGTGGTTTGGTAATCAATTGGTCGGACTCTGACAGCATCGAGAAGACGGTTGATGTTAGCTTCAGAGCTAACCGTTACTGAGCCAGTCTTAGTGGCTAAAAATAACTGGTGAAACTGGTGGGCTTCGGTCCACGTTTGACTTCCGTCTTTGGCTTTATTTTTTCTGGTGACCTTGCTCAGAGTTTGACGCTCTACATGGTCACTACACAGGGATCGGGACAAGCGGAAGAGCGAGTCGGACCTCGAGGCTGCGAGCCGAGCTGGCCTGATCGGGCTTCGGGTCTCACAGCGGACCGCACTCGGCTACGGCTGATCGGTGGCCGGATGACGTTTTGCTGTGATGGGCTTATCTTGTTATCGGTGGTGATATAAGTAGCCTCGGTTCGATCCAGGGAAAAACCGAGACTTTGCGAAGGGATCAGAGTAAAAGCGACCTATTTCCAACTTTCTGAGACTTTCAGAAGCTGCGCATCATGACGGAGGATCACAATGCAGAAAAGTTCATCAAGGTAAGGAGGTGATCAGTGTCAGCTGCTGTTTGCTCAGATACAGTCATTCATAATGTTTTTGATCATCTATGATTTTTAAATTACTGCAACAACTATACAATAGAAAATACAATACTAAACTGTTTAATACACTAAAAGTAGAAATATAAAAACTCTCCATCTTACTCCTGAGGGCTGCTCCTCCCCCCAGTTTTTCTCTGTCCAGGCATCTGATCCAGCAGTAAAAGTTGAGAAACAGCAGATTCTTGGTGTTTACCTGAGTTGTTGCACATTTACCCAAGCACTGAAGAAGGGTATGGTGGTAATTTATCAACTAGAGAAGAGGTTTAACTCTAAACCACTGACTGAGGCTGGTTTAGATGTTTTTTTACTATAGAAAAACAAACAAACACCACTTTAAACATATTGTTTTATGAAAATAATAGAACTGAATAGTGTCACCCTTTATTTATCTGAGAAACTATTAAAAATATCCCTTTTCCAACCTTCAAAAGCATCATGTTCCTTAACAGACTATGGTTAAAAGCTCAGCCTTCTTGTTATCTGCTGTTATCCTTGCTCTCTCTCTGTTTCATAGCCTAAATAAAAGAGAACATACAGTTTTCCATCTATAACAACATCAATGCAAAAAAAAAAAAAAGTGGAGGGTGTTTATACTCAGAGCCTAACAGCACTAACCTTTGGAGCTTTAACTGATCAGATTAAGGAAAATGGTTGTATTTATTTTTAGCTTTGAAGCGAAAAAACAAAGCAGAAAATCAGGAGGTTCCCCATCAGCTGATTGCTGTTTGCATTTCTTTTCAAAACAGACTGGATACAGTGGTTGTTTTCACTCACAGCAGGGTTAAATGAGTCACAAATATGATAGTTACCAGATTGATGAATTCTCTGGAAGATATGAAAAAAAAAAATCATATATGACTGTATTATGTTGTGTTTGGGATTGTTTAAATAGCATTTCTGTGCAGAACTTGGGTTATTTCCTCAGTTTCCCTGGTTCCTGTGGAACACCACCCTAATCCTTTGTGTTGGCAACAGTGGCTAATCTTTCTGATGCATGTGTGTTTGGCACCTAAGTTGTCATTGTCCACGAACGGTTTGTGTTTAGGATAACACTGGTCAAACGATAAAGTATGTTTAACTATGACACAGCAACCTAGCGGAAAGGAAAAAATGCACAGGACTCTCATTAGGAATGTCAGGAACTTATACTGCATAATATTTGTCTCCTTGAATTTGAAAAGTGACTTGTAAAAGTATTGAGAAATGATTAATACAATCTTTGTGGTCCTGAGCTAAATAATAAGTGTATGGGTGCACCAATCCAAGGTTTTACAAGCTGATGCAGTTTTTCAATTTGATTTCAGGTCTGGTGTGCTGATCCTGATATCCTTTGTTGCTATTTTTTTCTCAAAAAATTTGTTTTAAATGTCTTTTAAGTGGTGAAATGAAACAACTGATTATTACAAGAACACACATTTGGGGAAGTTTACTTGTTGGAGATTGTGGATTTAATTCTAACCAATAACACGTTATTCCTCTTTTGTTTACTATAACAAACTGAGTATTTTTGACTGATCTTTCTCATTTTTACCAAACTCGGTGGACTATATCAAAGAACACATGTTGAGCTGTTTACTTTTCTGTTTTTTTCAACAACATTCATTACAACTTATATTTCTTTTATTTTTATATTGTATATATGGTAACACACTTTTTTTTTTTTTTCTAAAGCTGCAAGTTATAATTGCAACATCACTGCTGAGTATCCCATGAAGATATTTATTATAAAGATTCTGACTTGTTTTTTTGTTCTTTTTGCAGGACGCCTCCATCTTGGATGAGTACATCATCAACTGGACGCAGAAATTGGGAGCTGGAATCAGCGGACCTGTGAGGTGAGCTTTTATTCGTCTCTGTTTAATTGCTTCAGACATTTTAAATTACAGATCTAATCAGTAGTCTATGAAAGTAACCGGTGATTTAACTGCTTTCATTTAGATATATTAGTTTATTTAGGAGATTAAACCTCTGCATGTGCAGATAATCAGGCTGCTTGTAATATGAATTGAGCTTTTAATAGCTAATCTAAATCTTTGTGGTTTGATGAGGGGAAGAGTTGCATGCTGCTTGGCACCTTTTAAGGAAATAATTTTTCTGATCGCTCTAACCAAATGATAAGGATGCTGCTTTATATAAGCAATAAGTAAGTTTTTCACTGGACAAAAAAAAATATGTATGCTGTCCAAAAACAAGAATAAAAACATCTAAACTTTCCACACCGTAACTACTGTTTGCATCGTATTTTTCCTCACCTTGGATGTATTGCTTCATATCATGCTATAAACGTTAATGTTCTTTCAAAAAGGCAAGAAAAGCTCATTAGCTTTTGAGTTGGCGATTCATCAAAGGAGGGGTTGTGTAAGTCCTTCATTTGGCACAATGTTTGTGGCTGTATGCTGTCCTCCCCTCTCCTCTCCTCCTTCAATCCAAACCTTTAGCTGATACAATACTTAAGCGTGCAAATAATCCCTTTGGCCCACATGTTCTGAGTTAAATTTATCTCCCATTGGGATTATTCCTGTATTTTATTCTTTTTTTAAATCCTTAAACTAAAAAAAGTCAGTCCTTTTCTTCACATGAGTGGTTCCTAAGCATTTTATTAGCTTCCTCTGCTTCTATGTAGTTATAAAGGGTGTGAGTCATAAATGATTTACTCCTTCAGCTCATTCTTAGGTTTGAAACCATTGTAAGGTCAAGATCAAAAGAAACAAAGCTGTTATTTCACAAGTGTGTCATCTGAGCATGGAGTGATGAGAAAGCTGAGAAATGGCCCCATCATCTCTGACTAAAAACAGGCTGTGATTCATTCTGCATCGTTTCTGTTTTCCAGCCGATGAAGTGGAGCAGAATGTTTCCTGTTGTAATTCTTAAAGAGGGCAGTGTGAGGCTAAAGGTTGAGGTTTAAAGTGAATTTGTTTTGTTGTCACTTTTTGTTCAGGTTACAACCACATGTTCTGTGTTGTTTCAAAGGCCGTTGTATGGGACAGGCCAACACAGAGTTGTGTGTAATTGTAACCTGGGAGGAAACTTCATTACCTGTAAATGAAAACCTCTGGTTATGCAGTTGGAAAAATAAAACGTGTTTGTCATTAAACCTTTCCCATGCATCTACACTCGATGCAGAGAAACACATTGCCATACCTTAGACGCTGCACTGAGTATCATGATGGACAGATATCGAGCTCCTCCCTAACTACCATGAGAAGGGAGGGACCTGAACCATTCAATTCTGGGGTTTTATTATCCTCAAGGTTCTCCACAGCTTCTATCCTGGTCTGTTTGTTCTCCAATGTTCTCTTAACACGCTTCTGAGGCTTTAATCGAACAGCTGCTTTTTACACTGAGGGGAAATTACACTAAAGACCATTCTTAGGTGACTTTGATTCATATGGCTGTACTAGAATATTATTTCAGGGTATCAGAGGAAAGTAGGTGGAACACGAATGACATGCATGATATTCTTTTTTAAAAGAAATCATTACAACAATCCACCTTACTGTTTATCACTTAAAGCCCTATTTTAAAAAACAAAAAAAACAACCAAAAGACATTAGAGTTTGTAGTAAGCTATGGCCCGCTATTGAAAATTAGAAGAGTATTGAGTCTTTTGGAGAAAAAAAATGTAAACATACCTTTAATACCTTGCATTTAAAAAATAAAATAAAAATCATTTTCAAAAGATAGAAAAGGGAAAGTTTAAGCTTCACAGATTTTTTCCTTTTGGAAATTATTCTGCTTACAATGATGTGAAAGATGAAATGATGGATTGGACGATGACATGATATTTTAAACAGTAAACTACTTTTATTGACATCGTGTTTTCTATTAAGGTTGTTTCATTTGTTTTTAATTTTCTCTGCATATATTGCGTGTTTTGTAGACCCATGCCCAGGTCTGATTATTGTCCAACTCATAGAGGCAATGTCTGACAGCATGAAGTAGTAGTAGAAAGTCAAGACAAAGATATTTGGGCAAAAAGAACATTATCTAAACAGTCAAAAACGGTGGTGGCAGTTTAATGGTCTGAAGCTGCTTTGCTTATTCAGGATCTGAATCATATTTGTTGTGGAGGTGAACATAAATTCTGTGCCCCACTCAGACAAAATAGATTGCCCTCCAATCAGTTTGTGTCTTTAAGCTCAGGAAAACTGGAAGATGATCTAAAACATGGCAGCAAAGCAAACTCTGAAAGAAAAGTTGACAAGAAAGGCAATAAAGTGGCCTAGTTGAAGTGCAGACTTGAGTAATACTAGGATGCAATGATGTTACCTTACAAATCTCCAATTTGGCTAAATGTAAATCTTTTTTTAGGTTTGTCACATTATCCTCTTTATAAATGAACATGAAGTTATTCTGATGCTAAAATTGTTTTGTTAATCTGAATCATTTAAGTAGCAATGGTATAAACAGAAGACACCCTGAGAGAGGGGAAAAGGCTTGTTCTTTAAACTATGGAGGCTCTGCTGTGATACTACAGGTTTCAATGTGGCTGATAAATGTTTAGGTAATGCTGCTCAACGTGTTGGTTGACTCTTCTGTTCTCCTTCCTGTCCAGAGTTTGTGTGAAGAAGTCAACTCAGGAACGCCTGGCCCTGAAAATCCTCATCGATCGCCCCAAGGCCAGAAATGAGGTTTGACCCCCGTCCTTGGTGTTTTTTTTTTTTTTTTTTGTCTTTTCCAGTATTACCATGCTTTGTTCTGTCCTCCTGCCTGTTATCAATCTTAATTAATTCCTGTTTTTCCTTTCCCTGCCACCCAGTCTTCTCGGCTTTGTTGTGTTAATAAGAAGTTCTTTGTTCCTATCAGGGTCTTTCTGCAGCAGACAGTGTGTCTAGCAGCCTTATCATGTCATTTAGCAGCAAACTGTTTTTGATCAAGCAGCTTTGAGAAGAAGTGAAAACAAGCTACGGGGATTTGATAACCAGTGATTAAACTGTAACAGATAACTATCACACGCCAAGCGGCGTTCCTCTTATCCCCTTGTGAGGGAAAATAAAACCATATAAAAGACTAATTCTCCAACAAAGGTGCGTCTTCACATGATGTGTGCCAACCACCCAAACATCGTGCAAATCCTGGAGGTGTACGCCAACACTGTCCAGTTCCCTCACGAGTCCAGTCCAAGGTAACATTAACTTCTCCTGTAGAAGTCATTCTGTGCCTTCTCTATGTGCTTATATCATCTCTTTATCACTTTCTTTCATTTAAAGAGCAAGACTCCTGATCGTTATGGAGATGATGGAGGGTGGCGAGCTCTTCCACAGAATCAGTCAGCACAAGCACTTTACTGAAAAGATGGCCAGTCAAGTCACCAAACAGGTGTGTAAGGTCCTAATACCAGCACCAACTCTGGGCTTTTCAGCAGAGCTAAGCTGTGATAACTGAGTGGAATTTTTTTCCACCTGTAGATCAGCCAAGCGTTGGCTCATTGCCACTCCTTGAATATTGCACATCGTGACCTAAAGCCAGAGAACCTGCTCTTCAAAGATAACTCTCTGGTAAGCTGCATTTCCACAAAAGGTGTTTGGGGATGTCTGACATTAAACTACTATATTAGGTCAATTCGTCAAGTCAGCATACGTACATATGAGGGCTGTAACGGTACACAACAGTCACGGTCCGTTTTTCTTTTGGTACAGTAGATAATGGAAGAAAAAAAAAAATGCATAGACAATAACAGTCTTGTGTTTTTCTTAACAATATTTAGCATCACGGATGTTTTTCTTGTTTTTTTGGCATATTTGAATGAGAAACTTTTTTATTTTCATATATCCTGACTTGAATTAATATATATATATATATATATATATAATGTCAGGAGCGCCTGAACTACATTTAGTCATTCACCCATTCATGCACACACCAATGGTGGCAAACTACAGTATTGTAGCCACAGCTGCCCTGGGGCGCACTTATATGAGCGAGGTTGCCGTACGATAGTGCCACCATCAGTTGGCAATACAGATGAAGGTTCTTGCCCAAGGACGCAATGACACTCAATAAAAAATAAAAAACAAAAAACAATTTTTCATATCGCCATCTAGGCATCTGTCCTAGGCTGCACACTGGACTCACTGGAGAAAGTGGCTGAGAGGAGGGTGCTGTCCAAGCTTACATCCCTCTTGGAAAACACCTTTCAACCTCTGTGCCAGTCTGTAGAGGAGCTGAGCCGCTCCTTTAGTGTGTCCCTGTGCAATAACCTGTTTCTCTATATTTAACACCCAGTGCAATAACTATATATATATATATATATATATATATATATATATACCCATGTAAACACACTGTAATATAACCTGGGATAACGATTCTACTTAAAAAAACAAAAACAAAAAAAGACTATGCATATATCCCATACACCTTTCTTCTTTTGGCACCCTCTTCTTCTCCTTTGACTATTTGAGCTGATGTAACAAGTAAATTTCTCCACTGTGAGATCAATAAAGTCAATCAATCAATCTGGATTTAAGAGCAGCTTTTAACAGAAACAGCTCCTCCTTTCATTTCAGCTCCTCATCACAAAAACTATACATCACTGCAGTTCACTCTTGAATAACAAATGCTTGAACAAATATCATTCAAATATCATTCACCCAAATCCACCAAAAAATGCTATTTTGTGGGAGAAAATGACATAAAAAATTTTATGGGTGGGGGGGTATTTATTTAGTATGTGTGGGCATAGGTGATTTATTTAGCTATTTATTAATTTGTACTATTAAGCAGTTTAAAAAAAATTTGAGCAAGTTCCTGCTTAATATAAATCTGCATGTGTTTATTCATGTGTTGTTTTTATAAATTAAAACTATAAAAAAAAAACGTACATATAAAGGAAAAAGGAAGAGCAAATGAAAGAAGGGACAGGGTACAGCTTACCTGAATGTTTTAACACGTCGGGTCCGGATTTGAATGGAAGATATCTGCAGGAGACGGATCGGGTTCGGTGGTCATCTTAACTGGTTTGGGCAGGTTTGTGAAGCTGGAACTGTGCAGGACTCTGACAGTGCTTCATCTAGCTTTACAAGCTAATGTGCCATAATGTCACAAGTTATTAGAAACAGGATAGCAAGCACGCTGCACCAAGTGGAGGGCAAAGTTCATCGTCCAGAGGGATGGAAAAACACTTAATGAAATGATAAACAAATCCTTCTCCCTACAATTCAGTTATGGGGTGGTTTGAACCGAGAGCAGCGTAACGTTCGGTTTGATACAAAGCCCTAATACATACACTACATTCATTCAAAATGTATGGAAGAAGGTGCGTTTCTAAATAACGTTATCTAAAATGTTTAGAAGTCCGTCTGTCCCTCCTTCTGTATTAAGTCCATCTGCTCATTCATCCATCTGTCTGTTTATCAAACTGATCACTCGCCTATCTGTTCATCAGCCTTTCCCTCCATAAGAAAAAGTCTGAGAGGTCTCTAGAGATCAGCCTCAAAATTGGGAACACTTGTGAAGCACACAAGCCCAGAAACTCCAAACTGCCATCAGTTGTTGTTCAGTTAAAGTTATTTTTGTTTTTCTTTCTAGTGGCTAAAATGTATGTGGATTCTCTAATATTAAAGTAGATACATAGATCTGCTGTATATGAACTGCACTTTCTATGCAAAGCTGCTTCTGGTTCAGAAGGTTTTATTTTCTTTCTCTGCCCCACAGGACGCACCTGTGAAGCTGTGTGACTTTGGCTTTGCCAAAATCGATCAAGGAGACTTGACGACCCCTCAGTTTACCCCTTACTACGTAGCACCTCAGGTAGAAAAAGGGAAAAAGCTAAACAACTTCTCATTTATCTTCTACAGTTCATTTATTTGATGAATGAATGACTCATCATCACTTCTGTTCAGGTACTTGAGGCTCAAAGAAGACACCAGAAAGAAAAGTCTGGAATTATACCTACCTCACCAACTCCTTACACGTATAACAAGGTAAGACTCACTTCAGCTGCAGGCATTCTTCAAGTAAAAATGAGATTAGAACTGATGCTCTGCAGGTCTGACTTAGTACTTAGGTTTTTATAGTTGTGACGGAAAAACTGCTGACTTCATGCTTTACATAAAACATATTTCACATTTCTTTGGGATCCTGCTTCTACCATATCAGGACCTAATTTAGAGCTTTGATGGCATACGGATCATAACCTCAGGCAAAGTGAGCCTTCTTTAGGGTCTAAATCTGGCTTTAATCTAATGTATGAATGTTGATTAAAAGAAGCTTTATTTGATAAGGAAAGGATATTGCTTCAAGTGTTATATTACAAATAGTACAAAAACTAAACTGTATAAAAAGACCAACTATGAAATCTAGTTTGATCGAATCCTCAGAAATAAAGTCACATTTTGTGAGGCACATGGCTCTATTTTCTCAGCCCTGTGTTTAAAAGATGCGTAGAGATGGTTTATATTTAATATGCTGATGTGAAAAACAAAAGCGCAGAAGAAAAACGGGTTGATGGTCTATCTCTGCAGAGCTGTGACTTGTGGTCGCTGGGTGTGATCATCTACATCATGCTGTGCGGCTATCCTCCGTTCTACTCAAAGCATCACAGCCGCACCATCCCTAAGGACATGAGGAAGAAGATTATGACGGGCAGCTTTGATTTCCCAGAAGACGAGTGGAGCCAGATATCTGAGATGGCCAAGGACATTGTACGCAAGTAAGAGTTAGATTTTTTTTTTTAAGGGATTTTTTTAAAGAAATATACATTTATTAAATGTCAAATAGATGAGTCAGGCAGTGGAATTAATTTTTTTTGTGTGTGTGTGTCTATAGGCTTCTAAAGGTAAAGCCTGAGGAAAGGCTGACTATTGAGGGAGTCCTGGCTCACCCCTGGCTGAACTGCACCGAGGCGTTGGATAATGTGCTGCCGTCTGCACAGATGATGATGGACAAGGTGAGCTGGAGGCTGCAGTTCTCGACCATATCTCCAACCGAACCCTTTCTTATTGCCATCAGTGTGAAGGGGGGCTTCACCTGAGCTTTTGTATTATTATTTATGCTCAGTCCTTTTTCCGTCAAGCTTCGTTTTATTTTATATTTCTTTTTTCAAAATATCTCAAGCTCATGCAGATTGGTTGTTGTGGGCTGCATCTTTGGCTTTAGGTAAAGTTTCGTTTTCCCGCTTTAAGGTGGACATCTTTTCAGAATTGCCCTGTGCCCCATCTGTTCATTTTTTTTCATCAGCTTCGACGTTCCTGCTAAAGAACAGCAACCCCATGTAGGCCCAAAACCTATATGGGGTTAAAACCCAAAAAGCTGAACTCTATTTTCTACTTAGATGGCCTTCAGTGGCATTTAATTTTATTGCAGGGTTTAAAGTAAAGGGGACTAGAAGCGGATATATGTCACACATTTCAGTTTTTTTGGTAAAAGTAATTGGAAAGTTACAAGAGCTAAGAGAAGTGAAACACTTATGTTTGAAAAGTGACCCTTGGTATTATTTTGCAGTGTCTTTTAAGTGAGGATGAGACTGTTGCTGTCAGAAGAGTGGCCGAGCAGAAGGTTTGCAGAGAAATCTTTTTCACAGACTTTGTCACTGAAGTCACCTTCAACCATGTCCACTGATAGAAACATAAAGGGGGAAACGGACAGTCACAGCTCTCTCTGTCAGGGTCACGTTAAACGTCGCTTTGAACACATGAAAAAGAAAATGGCTTTCACTGAGGTCTAATGAATCTGATTGTGGATCTGATTTCTCTCTGTCCAGGCGGTTGTTGCAGGCATCCAGCAGGCCCACGCAGAACAGCTCGCCAACATGAGAATTCAGGATCTGAACGTCAGCCTGAAGCCTCTGAACTCCGTCAACAACCCGATCCTCAGAAAGCGGAAACTGCTGGGGTACTGATACACCTGTTCCTACTGGAATACTACTTGAGCTGTAATGATGAAGTGACTCAGTTAGGAAGGGGGGGGGGCTGTTTGCTGAAGTTTTTTCAGGGCTAAATGAATGAGGTGGAAGAGTTCCTGGGCCCCATATTTAAATTGAATGTTTAAAATGATTTAGTATTTTAATTCTGGACCATAAAACAATGGTGAAACACTTGGTGTATTTTGTGCGATTTAACAAAGGGCTGTGCTCATGTCTGCCTCTGGAAACCTGCTTAAGACATAAATAAGTTCATGAATTAAATTAGCTTTCAAGTTTTTATTTAGTTTTTTTTGTGGTTTTAAAGGCCAAGGTAATGCAATTTAGAAATCACCTTGAAAAAAAAGAAAGTGTCCATATCGATCGTCTTCATTCTGGGTGGCTAAATAACCAAAAAGAGAAATAAATCCAAACTGTTTACATTAGATTGTGGTATGAGAATAAGACAAAAGGCCTGAAAAGATTTGGCTCGTTTAGATATTTGTAAAATACAGTGATAGAGGAGTACTCATTTAGGTTAGCTGTGCAGCCCTGTGTTTCAGCCATGGCTTCTACACAAGGTAAAAACCTAAATGGTTATCATAACCGCAGCAGATGTCAACAGGCATTTGTATAGTAAATATAAATGTAATATATTTTTAGCTCATATAAACTTCTTGGAAAATCAGCAGCCAATAGATTAAAGGGGAACACCGTTTTTTTTTTTTTTACATTGGCCACTTGATTTTACGTTATTACATCATGTTCCACTCACCCATATGCGTTTTGTGTCATTTGGAGCCGTTCTGAAGATATTCCATTAGGTTATATCCAAGTAAAGTCTTCCTATGGGCAACGAGTTGAAGGCACAAACTAAACTGTTCATAATTTATTCTTTATGGTACGCCAGCATTCATAACATGTAGCAATCACTGTCCCCCAGACATCCGCGGTTAGATTTTTTATATTTATAGGTTTTAAAAACCAAGCAGAGAGTGTATGACGTCATCCGCACGCCGGACTGGAGTTGTGACAGGCAGCCCGGGCCACAGGCGGCTGCGCTCCACTTCTTCTATTCATTCGGCTAGCTAATCTGAATCGTTCAATTCCATTTGGAGAGAGAGATCATCTGTGGTGGTAGCACTAGATATCTTCCAGGCATGTGAGCAAAACTAGTAGCAGTTCAGGGGACAGGAAGAATGAATGGTAGCCGGCACGCGTGGATGACATCATACACGCGCCGCTTTGTTTTTAAAAAAATGTATAAATATAAAAAATATAACCGCAGATGTCTGGGGGACAGTGATTTGCCTGCATGTTATGAATGCTGGCGTACCATAAAGAATAAATTATGAACAGTTTAGTTTGTGCCTTCAAGTCGTTGCCCATAGGAAGACGTTACTTGGATATAACCTAACGGAATATCTTTAGAACAGCTCCAAATGACACAAAACTAATATGGCTGAGTAGAACATGATGTAATATCGTAAAATCAAGGGCCCAATGTAAAAAAAAAAAATGGCGTTCCCCTTTAACAAAGAGCTTAATGCAATTTAGCTGCTCCAACATAGCAGAATTAGCAAATGTTCAAACATACCTAAAGTATGCTGAGGATTAGCCTGACTGCAACGTAGCTAAACGTATAAAATGCTGATTTATTTAGTAGATGATTTAGATTCTAAGGTAATACATTCCCACATGTCCGACTGGGATTTTGTTTTTACATTCACTTTTCCTTTTATTTTTGATCTTTTAGCCCCAAGCCCACTGATAGTTTCTTCATTCACGACCCAGAGGACGGCGGGGAAGACACCAACGTAGCTCTGGAGAAGCTGAGAGATGTCATAGCACAGTGTATACTACCACAGGCTGGTGAGGAACTAAAAACGCTCAAACACGCATCGCTCTGTGTGATGGAAGACCTTTTCTGTCTGACATTTAAAGGGAAGCTGATGGATACAAATGATTGAAACCTCTCATTATGAGAAATGCATTATAGTTTACATTTGATACTAACTTGGCGAAATGCCTCTTTGTGGCCAGGAGAAAACAGGGATGAGAAGTTGAACGAGGTGATGCATGAAGCCTGGAGGTTCAACAGAGACTGTAAGCTGCTGAGAGACGGCCTGCAGGGTCTCAGCTGGGATGGTCTGTATGCTTCTCCTTTGATTTCTCTAGCAGGGACAGGAAAATCCCTTCTTGCTGACATTCATTTCATTTTTGTTTTTTTGTTTATTGTAGGGCGATCTTTCTCCGATAAGGTTGACCGCTTGAAATTGGCTGAAATTGTGAAACAGGCCATCGAAGAAAAGACGAATCTCCAAGATTCTCATTAGCCAACCCTCACTTTCTATCCCTTTTTTATTGTTTATTATGAATTTTTTAAAATTCATATCTGTAAAGACTCTTATGTCTAATGATGTTCAGTTTTGTTCTGTTATTTTATTTTTATTTTTTGCCTTGATGATTTCACTTGTAAAATCCTGTAATTGACCTATACTGGAAGAGCTACTGTACAGCTGTACATATTTCAGATTTGTTGGTACTATCATTTTAGAAGAAAAAAAAACAATTATAAAGAACATAAAAAAATATATTTTCATTTTTACTAAAACAAAAGAGAAATCTGTGAAAGAAATTATTTTTTGGTAGGGAATTTTTATTAGCTGGTTATCAAAGATGTCGTGTTTTATCCTGATTATTTCCTCTGTTTTTGTTTTTCTTTAATTATACTCTGAAAAGTTTTATTTATTTGAACTAAAAAAATTCCAAGATTTTATATCTTTCTGGTAGCTTGATAGTGACTCTAAATTTTAGAGAAGCTGTCTATGATGTGACCTTTGATCTTCCACTCTGCCTGCAGGTATATAACAGCTATTGTCTCATTTGTTTAGTTTTTCTGTAGACTTCTTTGCTGTTTTTAATATGTAGGAGAAGGAAGAATGGGAAAGTGATGTGAAAGAAAGTGTCATGTACCTTTGTTTTATGAGCTCAGTGGGATTCTAAAGAAAACAATTTCTGAAATAATAATTAGTTGGAAAAAGTTCTGTTAATCCTAATCCACATGAGGCACGGAAGGTTTTGCCTTTTATTGTAAATCAGTAACGTTGCTGACAGAAATGCTCGTGTGTTGCATCACGTTTAATGAGTAAAGGTCAAAATTTTAGGGGGTGTTTGTGCAGACATGAGCCACAGTAAATGAAAAAATCTGAGTTCATCCTCACATTGAGTTGGCCAAGCTGAGGGTAGCAGAAATGAGGTTTTCAGTCCGTCGTCGTACCTCCTACCTGGAGGTAGCAGGGTAGATCCTCCCCTTAAAGTATGGCTGCAGTTATCCAGATGAATTTAGCGTTCTGTAGAGGTCTGGTGGTGTTGAGTTCATTCAGTGGTATGCTGGCTGTTTTTACTGTTTCTTTACTCTGTAGACCAGGCATCCCCAAAGTCGGTCCTGGAGGGCCGCTGTCCTGCAGGTTTTAGAGGTTTCCCTGCTCCAGCACAGCTGATTTACATTGATAGTTGATTAACAGGCATTTGCTGAACTGCAATCATCAGAATCAGCTGTGCTAAGCAGAGAAACCTCTAAAACCTGAAGGACAGCGGCCCTCCAGGACCGACTCTTGGAATGCCTGCTGTAGACCATTCATGTTAGCTGAAGGTGAGCCTTACCAGACATGATAAAACCAAATTACCAGAACTGACACTAAAAGTGCAAAGACCTTTTTTCTGCCACAATTGGTTGTTACTGAAATAAAGCATGAAATCGCTTCATCTGAATGAGGGTTTCAAATATGTTGTGCTCTATCTTCATGTGCTAAGAAAGGGGATTTTTTTTTATGTGGTCAACTAAGAGCCTTTTTAATTCAGAGTTGCCTCGGCGTTTGTCTATTTTTTATTTTTTGTGAAGAAGACGCTACTGAAAACTTAAAACTACTGAAGATCTGTTATTCACACAGCGTTAGAAGTCCAGCTTCGATGTAAAAACACAAAACAAAGAAAATACAAAGTTCCTTATAGTTTCATGGATAACATGAAAAATTTTTTGTGAACAAGAAACAAAAAAAAACAACCTACACTAGCCTGGTAAGGTTTGTACATCCGTTTAATGCTTTGTGGAAGCACATTTTGATTAGATTTGAGTCTTTAACCCTCTCAGGCTCAAATTAAGTTGTAGTTGCAGGAAAAATCTGATATTTGGAGAAAATGATCATATGGGGTAGTAATATACAATTCAGACTTTTTTTTTTTGATAGAGAGACCTTGACATGCAATAAATTCTGGGATGTTGCAGATTTGCAACAGTGGCCTGGAATGGTAAATTAACGCTGAAGACTGAATCTGATATGAATGTTAACTTTATTTGAATGTCACAAACAAAAAATTAAAACAAAATTTAAAAAAAAATTTTCTCTCACAAAATTAGAGACAACTTTTTCTCAACCGACAATTCAAAACCTCTTGAGAAGGCCGTTTCTGTTAAGCTGTTGCTCAAAATATAGGCAAACTAGTAGATAAAGCATGTAGCATCCATTGGTACCTGTTTGGGCACACGTTGCGAATCCACAACATTGAAATCCAGATGCCTCTGGTGGAAAAAAAAGGGCATGTTTCATATCTATACACATTCATGATTCATTTTATGTAGTATTGATTTCAAAATAATGGAAATTGGTAGCAATACTTACATGAAATTGGTGTTTCAGTGACACCAAGGACTCAGCCATGTTGAAAGTGAGTCAGCAGTGCCATATAGTTGTACTTCTGAGTAACAAAAGCTCTTAAAATATGGATGTGGAGTAATTTGCTAAGTGGGATTTGGCTGTTGCAAATCTGCCTGGAGAGGGTCAAGGGTCAGCAATATTTTACTCTCTTTGCAAAAGTTTGTTTTTAAATCGTATGCTCACAGCCATCTTTCTTCAGGTGAATCAACAGATTTTGAGCCCCTCCTGCACCTTACCTAATTTCCAGTTCCATGTGATGAAAAGTAACCCCAAATCATGATGCTGCCACCATTATGTTGGTAAAGTTGTGTTGACGTGCCAGTCTTGCTTATTTAGAACTGTGGCACAAAGAGGATAACTATAATCTGCAACCCTTTCCTTGGAGGCTGAATGGATACAACAGGATTGTCACATGATGAAAATCCTGCAACCTCCATGGCCAGTATTTGTCTCGTCTTTCCATCAGTTTCTCAGGTTTTTCTTGTTTTTTTTTTGTTCACCACCATACAAGAAAAAAATGATGATCCTCTGTAATCAATGACAGGCAAAAGAATTCAAGTGATCATACGCAAAGAAAATTTCTTTGGTACTGCAAAACTTTTGTCCAGTTTAATTTTATTAAAAGTAATGGATGGAAAGTGTGAATCTGAATCAAAAGATGCTTTAATGAAGTAATAGTTTGTGGATGTGCATACTAGTTTAACCAGACTATTGTTACTCTTAGAAATTTGTGGGTTTTCTCCCCCATGTTCCTGTACAGTGGATTTTTTTTTTTTTTTTTTTAAATAAAGTGTAAAGGATAACCCTCAAATTAAATACAGAATGTATATCAATATAAATTTTATCATTGACCTTTTTTTTTTTATAACAATCAGGCTTTTTAACAGAGGTGCATAGACTTTTTGAGATCATTAGATTTCTCTTTTTAGTCTAAAAAGTAATATTTTTTTTTTTACCTGTGAAGATGATCCATTTGAACTGCTTTGATACAAATCTGCATCGTTTGGTTGCCACATTAAGAAAGCAAACAAAGAACCCTAGTTCTTGAAGGGGAAAAAAAAGTAGGGAAATCTGGATTGATGGAGTCAAAGCTTGATCTTTCAAGCTATGTGCAATAAGGCAATTGTTTAATTGTGTACTCAGCTCCACGGATGTCCCCACTAAGGTCCGCCAGTATCACAGTCTAACCATGTGCTTCACTTAAGTCATCTGATATTTATCTAACCCCTATTTTTTGTTGGTTATTTTCAACTTAAAGTTGTGATAAACCTTTTGTTGTTGACTGGGCTGAATTAAATCTTTATGAAACATTTTCTGTGCTGAAGTGGTATGTGATATAACAAAAGACAGGATTGTTTGTTAAAAGAGGCCATTTGTAGAAGGTCTAACAATCTAGATTCCTTTTTCTCAGGTTGTTTTACAGAGTAATATAAAAATTAAAATGTTCTTTTTGATTTTTATTTCAGAATTACCTGTAAAATAAGCAAGCACTTCAATAGCTAAAGATCATCTTTCTTTCAGCTTTTGATTTTGGAATCTTTGAGTGGATTTCAGTGTTTTTTTTTTTTTCCTTTTGCTGTGAAATTTAAAACAAAGTTTACTCAAATTTGATGAAAGCTTATTCTTCAGAGCATATGTAGGAGTTGCAGTTGGAGGTGCAGTAGATCAGTCATATGTTAACCTAATGGTCTCCCCAGCTTTACTAAAAGTGGTTCAAAGAAAGTTGAGCTTTAGCTGGTTGTGAGATAGTTTGGAGATGATTTCAGAGCATTTATTTTAGCCTTAAAATAGAAATGAAAATCCCTTTATTGTCCCAAAGGGAAATTTATGGTGATTACAGCAGAAAAAGATTAGAGAAAAATTGTCACATAAATGTGAACCTTAGAAAAATGTAATAGAATAACAGAATAGTGAAAAGTTATAAAATACTGTACTGTAAAGTGTTTAAACAATATAAAAAAAATGTGCACCTGGAGAATAAATAACCAATATACAGCTATGGACATTTTTACAGTAATGGGTATTTGAAAATAGAAACCTCATAGATGTGCAAAATGACAGCAGCAAGTTATTTAACCGACTAAGGTAGAAACTGCAAAATCAGCATGAATGTAACAACTTCTTGAGGTTTTTGGTAACAGTGGTGGTTATAGTTTTACAGCTGCTGGGAGAAAAGGATCTGTGATAACGCTCCCTGATGCATTTAGGATGCAGCTGTCTGTCAAAACCCAGATATCTGAGAAAGACAAAAGCTGGATTTCATTTAATCACTGCTTTTATTACTAGAGAAGACTAGCATTAATAAAAGAAACCTAAATGAATATTAATGTTTTAGGTTGCAAAGGTAGCCTACAGGCAGTATTTCATTCAAATTCATTAAAGTAGGCCTATGTAACGTTACGTAAAACATGATTCTGTCCATTCTGATCATTTCATTGACCTAACATTTTCATGATAAATTAGCATCTGAGATCAGATTTTTTGAACTATGACTTTAAAAAAGAAGTTTCACAAATGAGACCAAAGAGAGGAAAAGAAAAAAAACTTTGCAGTTGTTTAATAAATATGCTTTAAAAATCTTACCCCACATTTATGCAGCTAAAGCTCAATTTATTGAACTACTTTAGCCTTTTATGCTAGTGAATAATAATGTGTTCATATTTTTTGATGAGGAATAAAGCATTCTTGGATTGTTGTTTTAGTATTTCCGTATGCATTAAAATGATCTTGGTTTATAGGCAGATTATACCTTATCCTCATAAATGTCTGACTGTACTATCTGATACTTTAGAGCATCTGTGCCTCATGACAGTGTTCACATGTTACATGTATATTACATTTAAGTAAAAACCTGTGACACAATGTAATGTTAATCACAATGAAACCCCCGTTGAAATCATGCAGTGTTGCAGAGAAACCATAGCTGCTGTTTGCCCTTTTTTACCTCATTGTTACCAAAAGTCAGTTTGCTTCTTCTGCAAAGCCTGGCCAGACAGACACAGCGTAATTCAATTTGGCTGAGCAGGCTACTCTCTTCAGGACACTATCATGATAACAGGTTATTTAAAGCAATTATTATTTAACTGTTATTTCAATTGAAAATGCAAATGTGGTCTTAAACCACCTAGAAGACATTAAAAACATTAATGACTAGTTCAGACCAGGTTATTAAGAACAGCAAATGGCTGATTAACGCAGACTGTATTGATATATGGTGTTTTTTTTAATTTTATTTAAAAAGATGGGCCTTTTTTTTTATAGAAATTGCAGGACATACAGTTTCTAAGTGACCCTTTGTTTAAGCTAGTCCTTTTAGCGTTTCAGTTATGGCAGGATCTTGCTGTATTTCACTGACATGTTTATACATATGCCCTTTCTTCCTTCATTTTTAAAATGTTGAATCTTTTATTTTTTCCCCGTTTTTACCAATAGATCCTTCTCAATGGGTTGCAGTTTTACTACAAAACAGTAGTATTGCATTTGTGCTTAAATAAAAAGAATAGACTGGATGTTTCAATCTTTATTGTGGTTTTAAGATATAAATGTGAAACATTATCAACCTAGGCAGACCAAAACATGCTTACAGTTATACTCAACCAAAAACACAAATATTCCTCATCATATATTTAAAAGGCACTTTGTTAAATCTGAGAAAAGCAGCAATAATTAGGAAATTTGCTCCAAGAATAGAAATCAAACATCAAAAGGTTCAAAAGAGGAAAAACTTAAATCTCCAACAGATATATCCTTCAGTTACAGTCAACTGAGAAATGGCCACTACCAACAGTATAAGTGTTATAAAAACCCTGCAAAGTAACAGGCTAGTATGGTTTGATTATTGCCAATAAAGGATATTTGAAACCTACCAAATAAAGCCCATCAATAAGTAACATTTCAACTGTAGGTGTTGAAAATGTCATAATTTAACGGAAAGCCTTTAATATAAATGCATGTTTCTTTGGCTTGCCAATGCTCGACAGTTTAAAGGAGCAAGAAGCTGCAACAGTTTAAAGGTTTTGGTCTACAGTGGAGTTTAGGAATGAAAGAAGAGTTTGGAAACAAAGTAGAGGTCATATAAATCTGAATCTGCACTGGCACTTTAATTTCTATTATAAATACATAATTTGTTTGCTTTCAAATGCATCTCTGAAGAGCTTTGGTCACATCTCTTCCACTTCAAACACTGCCTCTCAGCTCATCGTGATGCGCTCCCTATATGGGGAAATGCACTCAGCAAAGTAGAAGAACAGTAAGACTGCTGATATGTGGAGGGCCAAGAGCTGAAGTGTTGGAAGAAAATATTTAATCTAAAACAGAGTTACAGATGGAGATAACCCATTTTAGAATTGCAGAAAAAGACAAAACAACACGAACAAAAAAATAATGTCGAAGTTCCGCGACCTCCAGAGAACCAATGGAAGACAGTTAAGATGGTCTAGCTGAGGCTCAGTCCGAGTCCTCGTCGTCCAAATACTCCTCAGCGTTGCTGTGTGTGCGGGTGACGTCTGGAACAGGAGAAACAGATAGTTCAGGTCTGAAGCTTTTAAAGGAACTTCTCAAATTTCAGTGATTAATGTGCCTGTAGCTCCCCTGAGGTGTTAAGTGGATGAAATTAAAGGCCTTATCCATGTGAACATACACAGTCTATTTCATTTCTGAAAAAGCAGCATTCAATTTTAAGGGAACATATAGGAGGAATCCTGGGGATGCAAATGTTATTCTGCTGTTTTTTTTCTTTAAGCTTTGTTTAGGGTTGGAAACTACCCATACAATTTTTATCAGAACGGTAGAAAACTTTTCTGCTTAAAGCTTAATTTTTCCCTCATAATTTCAAAACCATATCCGTTTTCTGTTCTTATCTATATATATATATATATATATATATATATATATATATAAAAAAAAGCCTTCTGAGTACTTTTATGTTGTACTAACATATTTATCAACTTTTAGAGTTTCATTTTAAACTGTTTCATAAGTAATTAAAGCAATATTAACAAAAATATTCTGAATAACTGTTTTGTGCTTTTGTTAATTCTTCTTTATAGATGGTTTAATACGGATCTTTTTTTAATGAATTTTTGTTTCGCATGTTTTGGTTAATTTTTTTGGTAAATATTTTAGCATGGTTAATTAGTGGCTGTTGGACCGCCTATAAATAGGCTGGGTTTTGATCTGGGAGCGTGGCCCCGCCCTTATGCTCGCTCATAGGCCGCATGAGACCGGTTGTCCTGTTTCCGATTCTTTATTTCTCTTTAGTAGTTTATTTTTGCTGTAGTCCGGTACTAGTAGGGGCTTCGACGGCCCTGTATAGGGTTGTCCCCCTGCTCTACTCTTTAGTTATTTTTGATCGGCTCACCAGGTCCAACTGTCTTTTAATACTTTGGGGGTTTTTTTTTCTCCTGGACACGGAAGCTGAGGATATTTTATTCTGGGGCTTTTTTCTTCTTCTTTTTTCTCTACAGAACATCCCTGCAGCAGTCTTGAGAAAAGAGTTTTGAAAGAGAGAAAAACAGAATAAAAATAAATTATTTTGTATCCTCAGTTTTGTCTGTGTCCTCAAAGATGTTGTGCCTCGTGGACGTAACAATAACTTTTACTTTTAATTACTTACAGAATTCCAAGCGGTGTGAGGTAACGTAGGACGCCTCATTAACAGGTTGTATTTTTATAATCTCTAGTGGGAATTTTCAGTAGGAACGTCTACAGTAGTTTGAAGAATGATATCCCTTACATTTAAACTATTTTTTTTAACATCTTAATTCAGCTTGATGCTTTGATCATGTTTTCCGTTCTCTCAGGCTGTTGTAACTGAGGTCAAGGTTTCTCTTGCCCTTCTACTGCAGTCTGTGCGTCAGCTGCCTGTTTGGTAGGACTTACTGCTTCCTTGCTTCCTCTTGAGAAGTGAAGCACATTGGGCGTTGGTGGCCATCTCCAGAGCCAGTTTATTCTCATTGTTTCTAATGTCTGTCCGTGCATCTGAAGAAACAACAACACATTGATGCTGAGGAAAGCTACACTCCGAGAACATTAAAATGCATAATCATTGTTGATAGTTTCTTTGCAATTATTTGATTTGGGTTTCAATCTACATTCAAATACAGCTAATAAGAGTGTCTATTAAAACAAAGGAGAAACTCACTTTTGTTAAGCAGCATTTCCACAATATCAGAGTAGCCCTTCCAGGCAGCAGCATGCAGTGGTGTGTCTCCAAGTTTATTCTAAAATGCACAAAAGGAATCATTAAAAACACTGACGCAGACACCATCTACAACACTACTTAACTCCCTGAGAGATAAACTGCAGCCATGTCTAAAATTTACATCCTTTATCCATCTGATGTTGGTTGTAAAGTGTTATTGAAAGGCTATTTCTATTAGTTGAATATAATTTGGTTGTGGTTGAGCAATATTTCAGTTGCATGATAATTCAAATCTTAGAGTGTTTACCTTTAGAGAAAATGCATTAAGGCTCCATTTCAGGTAATAAAATAAAATAAAAATAACAAAGAAAAACAACATTTTCTTTCCACTAAGATCAGCTCATTCAAATGCACTCGTTCCTCTCTGGCTTTTAACTCTGCTAGAGATCACTTTTACTATTATTATTTCTTTAAGAGCCTCAACTGTTTTGTTGCTTTGACTGTTTAGCTTAACAGCACTTGGGTCCATACAGTTATTTTTAAAGTGCTTTATAGATAACACTACTGTATTTATCCTTGGATGGATTGAGAGTTAAATTTTTAGCAATGTTACTGCTGTCATTTGAGACACAGTTAACTTAGCTTAGCTTTTATAACATTTCCGTTTTCCCCAAACTGTGTCAAAGTTTCATCTAGGTCTTATTAGCTTACAAAAATGTAATTTGATGTTTTGGTTACAGTTCCTCTGGTTATGATTTGTAATTAACCAAACAATTTCCAGAGCATCCCAGTTCTTCCTGCAAACATTACTATAATCTGAATGAATAACAAACCATTTCTTTCTCTGGGACTATTAGGTTATTTTTTTTGATGCAAGTTTTCTCTGAGGTCTGACTTGTAGAAGAATGAACAATATTAAGATAAAAGAAAAAACATTAGGAACTTTACATAACGTGAAGGAGGGGCATCAAAGCATATGAGGATTGTAGAAAAAAAAATACTAAAAACTACTGTCATTGGTTGTGTTTACAAAGAGACAATGATGGGAATTCTTATCATTCATGTGCTTAATGAATGGAGGAGCGGGTCTAAATACAGTTTGTTAACCTTTCTAGTGAAAGGTATCAAATTAATATTCAGGGCTTATAATTGGTAGGGTTTCCAGCCTAGAAAGGTTTTGATAAATGAGACTGGCTTTTATTAGACCTTTAAAGAGGCAGAATGAGTTTAACAATCCCCTCACCTGTTGGTTGAGCTCCACATTGGGCTGGCTTAGCAACAACTCCACCACATCTGATGGAAAATAGAGAACACGTCTAATGATGTTTCAGATTCATGCAGAAAAAAAAAAAAAAAAAAAAAAAAAAAAAAAACCCCACAAAACTTTTTATTACAATGCAATACGTCGAACAAAACTATAAATTTTCTGCATCCCATTCAGAGACTATTTTCGCCTCTACCTTTGTGTCCTCCGTGGCATCCCCAGTAGAGGGCAGTGTTTCCAGCCTTATCCAGCCCGTTGATTCCAACCTTGTTCTCCAGACATTCCCTCAACCAGCTCATGTTGCCTTCAGTTACACACAAAAAAGACAAATGAGAGGAAAAAAAAACAGACAGTATGCTAATATATAAATAAAATATAGTTAAAAAAAGCTATTTAAAAAGGTTGGGGCGGCTTAAAAATGTATTTAAATACTTAGTCGTACCTCGTTTGGCTGCTTCATGCATTGGATTATCAATGGATTCTGCTTGTTCGGCAACTGAAACACAGGAGAATCAGGACCTCATGTTAGAGCATCCTCTGTTCACCAGATGTGACTTTATTAGGTTAGTTATTTTTGATGATCTCTATTTACTCACCATAGTTACTAGGAATAAGTCCTGTCCTCCCTCTACATGTCCCCTTCCACCAGTTACTGTCACTCTGAAATGAACATAAAAACAAAGTATTTCAACTTTAATAACAGGATAAAAAAAAGAGGACAGTTAATTATTACAGTAATTTAAAAAAAAATTGAGTTGTGAAATAAAGAAGGAGTGTGTTGGATTAAGAGATCGAAGATGGACATGGGATTGACAAAATCATAAAAGAAGAGGAAATTGCAAAGACAGCAGGATTTATTAAATAAAGAGGAAGAGCAACTGCAGAGTCAAAGTTTAAGGGACTTCCAGGAAAGTTTGTAAGAAAGGCAGCAGATTTAATCGGAGCTTTTTACCTACCGTGTCTGAGATGTACAAAATGTCTCCTTCTTCAAAGTACAACTCATCTGGCTGAAAATAAAACAGATACAACTCGTTACTTCAACTTCAGAGAGATTACTCTCACTTCCCAATAAACTTTAACACAAACCTTTTTAAAAAAAAAACTAAAAAAAAAACTTATGCCAACTTACTTTCAGGTAGCAAGGAATGTTTGTTAAAAACTTTAAGCTAAAGCATGCTGACTTGATTTCATTAAGATGTTCACACCAATAGATCCTTAAAACTGTTTCTACATAAATATGATTAATTTTTACAGGTAAAAAAAAAATATATTTTTTATAGCTAAAGACCTGTTTTTTTTATTGATTGCAGAGACTGATGACATTGAAGGTGATTGAGCATTGCTTGATGATACCGAGCTGCTGTCCTCAGGTCACAGACACAGAGAGCTGAAGTGCTAATACACAATTATACAAAAGTGACAACTGAATTAGGGAATCGGTATTTCATTAAGGAAACAGCAAAAAGGATAAATTGTAGTAGGTTTAACATTTGAATTGAAATTGCTGTTGCAGTCGGTTTGTGTTTCCTACCTAGTTCTTTTAATGTTGATAAACTGCTCGCTAGTTTAACTTCTAACTCAATAAGTGGCCTTATTCTAAATGCAGCAGCATAGCAATCTAATCCTGCATTAGACTGATGACAAAAAGACCATATATTCATTCAGGCATTACCAGATTAAAAGAAAAATTATTTTATTTGACATTGAATAAAAAAAAAAAAAAAAAAACTCTTGAACAGGAGGAAAGTTCACCTCCGTCTTGCATTTGTCAATTTGACCCCTAATATTTTTATTTTTAGGATGGATTTTGTCCTGTCAACATAATTCACTGTGCTAGTGACTTCCTTTTCTGACCTTATACTCGTCTCAAGTTTCCTTCTTTAAAATATGCATGCGTACATTGATACGTGTACTTGTGGGTAGAGAGGGGTTTATCACTGCCTCTTAAAAAACCATGAATGACGATAACATTAACGCAAGCCGAGCTCTGAGGGCCACTTCACAAAGTTAACTGAAAACTTTTCTTTTTTTTTTTTAAACCTGAAATCAGGGAAACTTCAGAGTTTTCCGTTTCCTAGAAACAGTTACTCCAGCCTCTGTTTCTGTTACCATAGCAACATTCTCCCTACAGCCAACCTGGTCAGGAGCAGGGTTTCCTCAATAAACCTAGTGTCCTCTGTCTGCATCCTCCTTAAAGCCAATCATGTTTTTTTATTTCCTGATTTAGTGAGGAGAGTTTTGTGCAAACAATGAAAAGAAAATCATCAGTCAGTGAGTCCCATTAGGTGTTAAAACACAAACACGACGAGGATCCAATAAAGAATGCGTTAATTCAGAGATTTAAATACTACAGCTTATATATGTCCTTTCATTTTCAGAAATTATCTTTATTAGTGCTACCTTTTCACCTCACAGTCTATCACATACATCCACAACCTTCCTTCATCTTCACCTGCTGACAGGTGCGCTTCTGCCCCATGAGTTTGCACCAAAATAGATTACTGTACAATCACACAATACCGTTTAGGCAATAAACCAGTTTTCCCAGTAATTTTATCGTGTTTTTAACAGACTTTGGCAGGCCATTTTTATATTTATTAGTTTGCCTGAATATCTATTCCCGTGACCCCAGCGGGACACTCAGCTAAGAGAATCGAGGGGGCGCCGAGAGGGATTAGGAAGAAATGTATTTATGGTATAAATACATATTCAGTAAGCTGAAAACAGCTGAAAACTTTTGTCTAGAAATGTGATTTTGGCCAGGAAGAATCTTATTTTAGTGATCTACCAATGGACCAACATAGAGGAGGTGCTTTAAATAAAAAAATAAAAAAAGATTTAATACATTTTATAAACACCCACATTTTTTTCCCATTTATGCATTAAAATATGCAGTTTAAGTCATGTTAAACAGGCATCTTCTGCTGGCTGTTGCCAGGGTGACTCATCAAATCTGGGCTTCGCTATTAATGGCTTTTCATACTACCAAGTGGACGTACTTAGAGTTGATTGAACTAAGGCGAAGCAGCTTTTATGAAACTGAAAAATCAAGATTTTCCAACCTTATGCTATAACAATTGAGATTTGAGGATTTGAGTCTGAGTTTGTTAAACCTGCTTATTGAAAAGGGCCTCTGATGTTGGAAAAATATCCGGATCTCCAGATATCCAAATTCAAGTACTGAAATGGATCAGAAGATAAAATGTAGATAGGTGCATCTCTAGTTATTAGATGGTGGAAATATGTGTAACTCAAAGATTACAAAATAGATGCAAATTAATAAAAGACCGTTAATTAATGAAAAGAACTTACTGTTCTTGGATCAAAGGTGAACAACGCTCTGAACACCTTGACTTGGCCTGGGCAAAAAAAAAAAAAAGAAAGCAGCTTGTTTAATAAAATATCCAACTATCAAACTGTAGGTTTATACTGGCAGCAGAGCAGTAAACAGAAGATATGCTCCAAAAGAAACAAAGATGAGGTAGAATAAATCACAATGCAATCAATGCAGGTTCACTTATGCAGGTGAGCCAGCTTTAACATGCTGAAATATTATTACATGCAGTGCAAGAGGAAAGACACACAGAGTGGTCATTGTGCAATGCCTTCCCCCTGGGCCTGCAGCTGCCTGGGGTTAGCTGTGCTGCAAGAATGCAACCCGGGTGGTTGTGGTTTTTGCTCGCCAAAGTATCTCAAGAACCCCAGAGAAGCTGATAGAGATATTTGTAAGCAGTCATATTTAGGAACAAAATTACATACACTGTCCAGTTTTGTATGTTGAGAACATAAATGCAAAATTTAGTAAACAGACGAACCACGGAGTTACACACAAACAGAAGTCACCGTTTTAGTCAGAACAAAAACGACTCTCTGCAATAAAACAAAGGACAGATTTTCATCTTCCCTTTTGGTTAGACATGACCCTGTACTGCTTCACTCTGTTGACTTCCTTTGCAAAGTGCCACACCCTGATAAGGTCAACAATATGATTCAAACGGCACAATTTCTGCCCTTCTTTTATACAGCCAATTATAACTGCACACTCTTTACAGGGAGAGCTACAAGCAAACTATTTGTAGTGTAATGAGCATCAAGATGATTTATTTACCAACAAGCATGAATACTAAAGTTTTACTGGAAAACGTTAATTTCTCTATTGTGTTATGATAAAGTTTTGAGTCTATTATGTTATTCTTGTAGTGTAGATGTTTAAAAATCTCTGTTGCTGTTCAGAGTATCTAGAAGTCAGTCTGTTTCTAAGAGGGTGGGGGCTGCCTGTACCACTGCACAACACCAGTTCTGTTCATGTCAAGCTGCTCTGCAGGCTCAGTCATGTTACTTTAAACACACAAATGCCTGAGCTCATGTGGCAAGGTTCTGGCTTCCTTTTAAACCCTTGTGCATTTAGCAGATCTAAGGAAAAGAAGCAGAAAACACACCAAAAACAGAGGTAGAGGAGAAAAAGGAAAGTTTCTGCGATATTTTTACAGCCTGAAAAACAGCTTATATTTAGTATATTTAACTACTTAATTGCTAAATGTGTGTGTGTGTGGGGGGGTGCTCTCCCCACATTGCTGCACTAAACAGCTGTTCAAACTTGCATTAAAAAAATTATAAATACCATGCAACATCTGCATGTCTAGACTTGTTAAAACTTACTAAACATTCACGACACACGTGGCTATGATCGTTAGAAAAATACTACAGCCTTTGTCATTCTATCTATCTATCTATCTATCTATCTATCTATCTATCTATCTATCTATCTACGTTAGTATTTGGGTTCATCTTTATAAAAGATTATTTATGTTTTACATGGTATGCAAAAAAAAAACAATAAATCAAAAGAAGCCCAAATCCTAAAAAGGAACATTAGCAACCAAATACCGACTCCTTACACAGCCAGATACAGCAGAAAACTAGTGAATCCTCAGACATCCTTTTACATCGAAATCAACCTGTCATGTGAACCAGACAAAACAGCATGAAGCAAAGGGGCCACAGGAGATAGGGTGTTCTTATGTCGAGCCATTTGCCACACATCAGTCAATGATAACAGCAAGTATAGCTGCAGTCCCTGATAAGATGCACCTCTAGCAGGACTACTATTTAGGTTAAACCTAAGCAAATATATGATGATGTCATCATTTTGTTAATCCCCCCAAAAAGTTACATCTTTAATCATATAAAATGTTGTTAGGATTTTATTCTGATATAAAGAAAACTAATCATAATAGTAAAAACTCTGCAGGCTATATATTGTTAGAACAAGGATATTTTATAGATCAAGAATTAGTTGCTGGTGGTTTGTTGGTTTTGGTGTTGGCCATAGGTTGTCTCTTCTCATGACATAAAGCATACATGGCTGTGTAACATTTCAGAATCTATACACCTTTTTAACATGGGTCCTAAGGCAGATGGGTCCTAAGTCCTAAGGCTCCTCCCTGCTGTGGAGGAGCAGCAGCTCTACTCCAGTCCTCTAAAGTTATTTTTAAATCCACAGCCTAAACACTATTAATACATATCATGGTTTTAAAAACCTACAGTTTGTAACCCTCCTCCACCTACTGTTGCTGCACACTAATGATCAGATGCCTGAAAGAAAGCGATTACACTTTTCACCTGCTTTTGGGTACTGGGAAACCAAATCTAAAGCTGCAATAACCGCATAAGTCAGAGGCCTAGCCAGAAAATCTTTTATAAGGGTGGCCAATAACCAATGTACACTGAGGGGTGGCCGAAAGCAGATAGGGGCCAGAACCTCAGGGTCACGCTACACTGTTCCAACAGGAACATTAAAGAGCTCAACATCGATATTTTCTAAATAAAGACAAACAATACTTTCCTACATTTATATTGGATGCAATATTTTCAGGTTTGAGTTCTGGAGCAAACATCTTTTCCATCGTCATTACTTACCTGATTTTATCAATAATCATTTTGCACAAAACTGTAAAAAGTACTAATATCTACATAAATTGATTATTTAATTAGTTTTTATTAAAATAGTATTTTTGATTTCACTGAAGACTCCTAAATGACTTGCAGAGACAATTTTTTGTCTTTACCCCTTAAACACAAAATCTAGTTCTGAAAAGAGCATGAATTCTGCACTTATCTTTAATTTTAGTATATTGATGTGCATAATTAATCAGAGTTATTGTTGTCAATTAAATATATCAAAATATTTAAATGTTTTAAATATTCCACTTGAGAGTATTTCTGTTGCCACAATCTGTATTAGAGGGAAAAAAATGGTAGGGGTGGCCAATGATTGGCTAAGGGTGGCCTGGCCCCCCCATCTATCTCTGCCCCTGGCGTAAATCAATTCATTGACCGCAATAACCTGCATTTTCCTTACTGACAGGCTCGGTGCTCCTGTCAATCAGCGAAGAACCAACCAAAGCCTCCTTCCCCCTTTCTATGTAACATTATAACAGAATGACACCAGGAAAAAACACTTGATCTGTTATTTATCTTTATGTAACATATGAGGTGATTTCGACACTAAAATACATCAATAAGAACAAATGCATGGCAGCTAAAATATAACATCTGAGGAGTCCCTGTGACCACAATGTCGCACACATGGGTTTATCATATAGTGCTGCTATATCACATTCAAAATGAAGCAGCATCTGCCTTAAATGTTCTTCCTGTTCATATAGATATTCATATGATAATTTAGCACCAAACAATTGGACAATATTTGTGCTTTTTGTTTTCACGTCCTCCTGGGATGCTAGTGTGCGTCCATTTCTATTTTGTAATGTGTATAAAAGTGATCCAAAGAAAAGCCAGTATGGACTGAATCCTATCATGTCTTTTGCATCATCAGACCCATCCTCTCTAGCTAAAGCCACCTCACATGGAAATAGGGAAGTGACGGTGGCCCAACGGCTCGGTGCTCCTGTCAATCAGCGAAGAACCAACCAAAGCCTCCTTCCCCCTTTCTATGTAACATTATAACAGAATGACACCAGGAAAAATACATAAATCAATGAATTAGGGTTTGCAAGCTTTTCTATTCCGATGCTTTAGAGATTTTGTACCGAGCGAAACCGTCGTCCATTAGGCTAAAACTACCCAACAACACAAGGTGCGGCGTCCACGTACCAAACAGCAGCAAATAAAAAGTTTAAAGTTAAGAAAAAGGTAAATTTAGAGAAAGTCTTACCTGGCTTGGCCGGTTTGGGAGGAGGCTTAGACATAAGTAAGACACGAAGAGAAATTAAGAGTAAAAAAACGACGAGTCGCTTTAAGCAGACACGACGCTGGACTGTGGATCACTATGAAGCTAACGTTGCTAATGAGGAAGTTAGCTAAAGCGGAAAAGTTAGTGGTGCGCATGCGCACAGTAGATGCGAGATAGATAGATAGATAGATAGATAGATAGATAGATAGATAGATAGATAGATAGATAGATAGAAAGATAGATAGATAGAAAAAGGATAAATTAAACATTAATGATTAAATAATCAGTATTACAGAAGTTTATTCATTTATAACTTTTAACATTTAATAGTAAACTTTTGTTACTACTGTTACTACTATACTAATTTCTATTAAAAGTAGTAATAACAGAGAAGAATCATACCTTTTTATCCAACTACAGCAATAATTCATAATATATAATTAAATTAGAATGAAAGGAAAAGTACTTTAAATATGAAATATTACATATGGTCCAATAAATGATAAGTGTTTTTCATTAACAGTAATTTCATTTGAATGTGCTTTACTGGAGACGTCCATGTTTGTCAAAGAACTCTACTACCATCCACCGGTTTGTGATGTCACGGTGTGGAATCGGCTGTTGAGCAAGTTCCACTACTGTATCTGGTGTTTGTCACAACGCGCTATTATCCAAGACATCTTGAAAACATTCTTCTTTAAAATGTTGGCTACATATTACATGTTTTTTCTCTGGACAGATGTTCGATTGAAAATCAACCTTCTTCAAGTTGGCAATCCATTGACGATTCTGTCCGTGGAGGATCATGACTCCTAAAGGTGAAGTAACAAACTTTTTTTCACTTTTACTCAATGTATTATAATGGACAATAAATAAATAAGGTAATTATTACAAAGGCGAATAAATAAAGAAGCTAATTAAAGAGATTCATATATTTATGTCTCACTGTATAATTTTATTTCTACCTACATTTATTAGTTTATTGTATTTTGAGGGGGCAATTAATTGTATTGTTATTTATTTATTGATCATTGATTTATTTCTGTATTAATTTTTAAATATGGCAGAGTTGTTCCTCCATAGTCTAAGTAAGTCATGAATCAAGCACAAAATTGATCTGTATATATTTCTATTTACTGATTGGACAGGACATGTATGACGTCACATATTTAACCAATCAGCAGCGTCCTGAAGCGGAAACGTATGACACACGGTGGAGGACTGTGTTTGTGTAGGTAAACAATGAGCCTGGTAGTTTTTTTTCTCGTATAATTAGAATCACATGTCATCCAGTTTGCGTCAAGTTTGCAGCAAACTGTCTCAAATGAAGACTCTAGTTGTTGGAGTTGGTGGGTAAGTAAATTCTGACCCAGTTGAAAACAAACTACTGCGTAAATATTTTAACTTACGTGAAATATTGCTCTGCAAATACTGCATCGCAAAAACGGTACGTCTGATAACGTAGTTTGATGGGTTTCACGCTGTAAAAATGCTTTAGATGTTTGGCATACCACAGAAAAAAAACAAACAATGAAAAAACAACAACAAAAAAGGTGAAGAAAGTACACATTTCCATTTATCCTAAGCAACAGGACAGCAGCCCAGCAGACTTTGTGATAACCATGAGGCAGTGACGGTTGATAAGACTTGTTTACCCTTTTCGACCCTGATAGAAACCGTCTCACAACTATTCTGCTTGTTTAACCTTTATTGTAAGCAAATGTGTTTTTAATCACAGGATCACCAATGGAGGAAAATCTACCCTGGCTAAATTTCTTCACCAGAAAATACACAACAGCTGCATTATTGCTCAAGATTCCTATTTTAAGGTAATCTTTGAATGCTTTCTTTGAATATTTCTGTCTTTACAGCTTCTGGCTCCACAGATAAGGATTTACACAGATATCTATTCTCCTCAGGATGACCGTTTGGTACCAGTGGACAGAAATGGCTTCAAGCAATATGACAGTAAATTAAACACTTGATCTGTTATTTATCTTGATGTAACATATGAGGCATTTTAGTGATTTCCGGCAACACCCACTTATAAATACATTTTTTTTTTTTACCTAAATGTGTTTAAGCTTAAAAGAGAAAATAATTCCAGCTGTTTTCTATTCAAGCGCTTGATGCTCTTCATATGGACAAGATGATGATAGAGGTTTACTCCTGGAGAAGAGATCCCCATTCTTTCCTGAAGAAGCGGGGTCTGATACCCATTGATTCATCAGTTGATGATGAAGTTTATGTTTTGATTGTGGAGGGTTTCCTGATTTTCAACTACAGGTAACTTAAGGAGGATTAAAGAAAATATATAATTAGATGAGTGATTGTTTAAACTTCTGAATTAATTTTTTTTCTCTCCATAATTTTTTAAGTAGTTGTGTTTTTTTTTTTTTTTTACATTAATTTAATACAAAGGAATGTTTTGTAACGTATCTACTAGTTATTGCTCAAATGAAATCGGCCTGCGTCTCTATTTACCGTCAACAGGAAGACTCTCCTTATAGATTTCTTATTATAGTTTTTATTTTTTTTATTTTTTCCCATTCAGGCCTTTAAATGAGCTGTTTGACAAGAGATATTTTTTGGAAATTCCTTATGAGGCTTGTAAGAAGAGACGAAGGTACTCATTTCTATTTCTTGATATTTTCATTTTTTATTTTTGTATTGTTTTGCTTCTGCATTTTACTCCTGAGTTTATATGAAATGTTCACATGAGAGCTGCTGTGTAAGTAATCTGTCCCTGTTTTTGTCTTGCTTGGTCAGTTCCAGGGTATATTCTCCTCCAGATCCCCCAGGTTACTTTGATGGATATGTGTGGCCAATGTACCTCAGAAACCGCAGAGAGATGGAGGAAATCACCTCAGAAATTGGTTAGATTGCATCCAAAATCCTATGTCCTATAGATTGCAGTGTGATACTGATTAGGCATAGGCATGCTTAAAACATACAACATATTGATTAGCACAGTATGATTTTTGATTTTTAGACTTAAGAAAAATCTAGCTGCAGTCCCTGGATCTTATCTTGCGAGATATTGTGCCTTTTGCTGTTCTGGCCTTCCAAGCTGACATTAGCTGATCATTATGGGGTACCTGCAGGGCTGCAACTAACGATTATTTTGCAAAGTGATTTATCTGTCGATAATTTTTTCAATTAATCAATTAATAATTGGACAGTAGAATGTTCCTTAAACAAGATTTTTTTTTTTCCCGAATTAAACCAGATAAAACTAATACTTTTACACTTAAGGAGTTCTGGATAGAGCATATTGATAGATGAAAGTTTTTTTTTTCTCCTTAAATGCAAAATGTTTAAATATTTTTCTTACAATTTTGATAGAAGTAATGCTTTTAGTGGGCTGCTCTGTCAGCTAAAGGCATGTTTTAAAGTCTCTATACTCCAGTTAAACATTAATCGATTACTAAATTAGTTGACGATTATCTCAATTTTAGATTAATCACGATTATTTCAAGTAATCAGATAAATTGTTTCAGCTCTATGTTCCTGCTCAGACAGCTCACCAATTATAGCTTAAGATTGCATTATGTTAAGAAGAGTGAAAGATGACACTTCAATACATGATTGTGTTTGGAAATATTATGAAACCTGGGGATTCACTGTACCTGTAATGAAGTGAAAAGTTTAGCAGCTTTTTTCAGCCAAAGGTGGGCAGGAGATATTGGTATCCCTCTATGCAAAATAACACTGGTCATCTTTAAAGAACTGTGATAAATGATGAAAACTTGGATCATGTTTTTTTTTTTTTGTAAAAGAAAGTAAAGATAACATTTGCTAGACATTGTGAATACTAAGTATCCCATGCCTTTTGTGATAAGGTTATACTTAGCCTCGGTTAAAGTTCAAACTGCTACACTGTAAAACTGTGTTCTATGTTTTCCCTGTTTTTGCAGTTTATCTGGATGGTTTGAAACCAAAGGAAGAGGTGTTAGGTGTTGTTTATGAAGACATTTGTCAAGCCAGAAACAGACTGCAGGGTAAGGTCACTCCATATGAGCAACATTCCTTTAAAATATCTTAGTTTAGATTAGATTTTTACTAATCTAAACTAGACGTGCAGCTGCTGGTACTCTTGGTGGTTTGAGGCTGAACTGAATCTTTTAATTTTACAAGCCTGTTTCTTCTGACATATTTAGATTACAGCAAGGAGGTCCTTTAGACTTAAAGAATGCACAATATTCTCATGAAAACATGAAGGGAGGCGGTTATTACAAGAAGGGTTTGATTTCTGTAAATTCAAAGGTTTTTTTTTCACTGATTTCTGAGTTTAAAGACAATTTTCTGCATGCAAAAAAACCAAACAGATAATCTGATAGGGATGTTTGTATTTGAGGACTTAGATTTTTTGTGTTAGATTAAAGAAATCTAATGTTTTTACTTTGTGCTTTTTTCTCAGGGCAAAACTGAGTGGATGGACCATTTTCAATTGTTTCTGGAGGCTCTGCTGACCAAAAGGACCAAATTATATGCTTTTAATTGGTGGTGTTTGCAAGTCTTTTGCAGCCTTGGTTGGTGTTGATTTTTGAGGTCAAGTCTCCTTTGATTTCACCTTTAGCACCTTATCCCATTGCTTCCCTACAGGTTATATTCTTATAATTTATAATGATTCCTTTGCTGAGCAATAGTTGTCATTTGGAGTCTCTGTGTGTTCTTTATGCTGCAACGTGTAGAATAATTCAGAACTGAAGCATTTCCATTTTAGGATAACATTATTACAAAAAGTGATATGGAATTGATGTTACTGCATTAAAAGAGAATATATTGTATGTATTTATTTTTTTTTCTCCAAAAGAGTAAACAAAGCTGTTGATGAGGACAAACTGATCTAAGTGTATCTTACTTCCTGTGGCCTGAACTTCACTATTTTACCATCAGTGGGTGCAATTTCTCACTGTTTTCTTGATGCTAAAAAAATCATCATTATATCATATTTGAAACTTGTTTTTATTGACATGATCTACAGAAGATTAAAAACTATACCTATATCAGTGAAAAATAAACAGTTTAAAATGTTTTCCTTTACAGGTCTTGGTTCTGCTCAGAGTGAAACTAAATCTGCAAATTTAAGGGGAAAATAAATCACCCACAGACTGAATTGAAACCCACTTATGATAACTTGAACCCTTATGAAAACAGAACCAACTATATACAGTAAATATAACAGCAATTTTAGATATCTAGTAAGTTACTAAGACACTAAAAAGCCAAGTAAAGAAAATGTTGACCAATTTACACACATTTTTACTACTGATGCAAGAAGTGGCTAATTAAAACATTTGATTATCAAGAAATTTTTTTTTTAACCGTAATACTTTTGTGATTCTTCACTTAAGGTCAATTTCACTTATTTTTTACCCCTTCCAATCTTAATGCTGGTTTCTGTAAAATAAACTAATATCTCCAATTTTTCTTGTCACTCATTTTATTTTAAAGCAAGTTATTGAAAAATGTAGCTAAAGAGGAAAATTATAGATATAGACAATCAGCACGGTTAACATGATGCTTCATTTATCAAAATGGGGAAGGAGTTATTAGTATTCAGCAGTGAGACTTTTGACAAAAATACTCTGACCACGAAGGTGCTCTATAATCTTTTTTGATATTAGTTCCTTAGCAAATTAAGCCCATTTTCTTAAAAAAATGCAAGGCTCCAATGTTAGAGGTTATTTCTTCTGTGGCTCCTATTTTAAGAGTAAGAATTTACATTTAAAATGTTCTGAAGCAGCAAATCTCAGATCTGAGCCACAAAATTAAATTTGTGTTCAAGTCAATTACATTTATTTATATAACAACAATTCACAACACATAATCTCATAGCACTTTCCAGAGATGATTCAATAAAATGATACAGAAATATTGGTTAAATATTTTCAATGTAGGAAACTCAGCTGATTGCTGATTGTGATTACTCACAATGAGTATGCACACAGCGACTGCAAAGAGGAAAAAAATAAATTTTACCAGGAAGAAGCCTCCATCAGAACAGTCAGCCTTCTATTGAGGCTGACTGGAAGACAGTAGCAGACACAAAGTGATGTTTATGAAAACGTATTTCTATTTATTAAATGCAAGAATGATAAAAGGGAGACTTGTTTTTTACTTATTTGGAACTTAAACTATTTGACTACATTTATTACTACATATTCCATGATTTTTGGTCTTTAGAAAATATTGAGAAGATCCCAAATTAAGATTTTCACAGCTGTGTAAGCAACTGATTTGCCTATTTAACTTTTTGGGATACACTTTTCAGACACCTCAAGGTTTCATCTTCTGCTCAAACAAATAAAAGCATAATCAGCAAAAAATATAAATTGTCATACTGTTAAGGAAGCAGAAGGGTTAGACAAATTACGGTAATTTGTTTCAGTGCAAAATATGCTAATCAACCACAGAAGGAGGAAACGACCAAAAATCCAGACAGCAGCAGGAATGGACCGAGATACTTTTTTTTATAAATTCACAATGTTTTTATGGAAAATTTTAAGATTTTACACTTTCATAAAAGAGGAAAGATTCAGCCTAGTTTAACTCCAAACAGCAAGACTTAAATTGAGACATTTATTTTTTATTTATGTGTTACTATTTATACCAGATCACTATTTACTGAATTGTGAAACTTTGGCAGTGGAATTCTTTCACAAACACAATTTGTAAAATGCTAAGGAACTAGCTAATAAAATATTTCATAAATCAATATGCTGCTAATAATTAACAATTTATAACAGATTATCTGTTCTCTGATTTTTATTTTTTTATCTGAATGTGTTTTTACAGTCTATGTGTGAAAGTATGAGCTATAGTTGCAAAGAACATATGGTCCTGAGGAAAGAAACAAAAATGGATGACAGTTAAAATTGACAATGTGTTACAGAAACAGTGATGATGACAAAAGGACCTGTTAAGGGGAAGACTGGTGCCTTCCTCTTAATAATCGACTTCCAATTAGGTCGATTAGTAAAAGGAAGAGCGGTGGTCTTAGAGTACCAGTATATCAGGTGAACACTGGAGTGAAATATGAGCAATAATGTGGGAAAACTATAGACATAATATTCCTAAAACATTCAATTAAATGTATTTAATTTATTCAGAGCGATCTTAAAACACTATTTACACAGCAACTAGAACAATGTCAGACATGCCTGTGCTATTTTCAGTCATCCAGGTCATGACAACCACAAAACAAGCTTAAATCTGAGGCCACCAGACTTTTGCTCTTTTTTTCTTAAAACATTTCAGCACCTATCCAGAAGTCTTTGTTAGTTCTGTTGGCTTACACTAGAACAATCTGTATTTGGAGCTCTGATGATTTTAAGCACCTGGAGGCCCTTCCTCCTAAGCAAGTTGCAATGTGTTTTTTTGTACAGGTTTTGTGTTTGGCAATTTGAATCCCGAGTGTAGCTGTATAACCTCTTCAGAATGAGTTCCAGGACCAAGCTTTCAATGTTTGAAAGCTGAAACCGCGCTGTGCACATTGAGGACAAGGGGAATCTTAAACAAGGATTTTTTTTTTCTTGGTGGATCATCAAAATAAGTGGTCCTCTTCAACCTTAACTTCAAAAATCTTCCTCCACAGCCAATGAACAGATACCTTTTTTTTTAGAACAAGAAAACATCGTTGAGGAAATTATATTTGCATGTTTGGTAATTATAATAAGTTGAGATACTTTCAATAAAGTCACAGATTTCCCAAAATGTTTGAGCAACTGTATTGGAAAAAGTTTGGTGTTTTACAGACTATTAGGGTAATCACATGAACAGAGTCTGTCCAAAGGCTCAGCTGTCAACCCCCTGCTTTCATTTTCACATGCACATTTTTTTCTGACACCACGTTACTGAATCTCACTGAGACTTGTGAACATACAGTTGCCTTCCATAGTGCATACACAAGCTCTGAAAACCTTTATTTCAACACTTATGTAAGACACATCAAGCTCAACCACTTACCGAACATCAATGGATAAAACTTTTTCCAGAAACTCCATCCCATGCAGCAGGAGATTTTGTGTTTACCTCAGCATTGAACAAGCCCAACCAGTGTGTGCAGTAAAACAGTCATCACATGCAAATCTGGAGATTCCTCACTTCCTCTTCCTGACTATATCTTCCTCAACAGAAATGTATATAAGTCTGTAGTCACTGTTTTTACAGACTAGATCCGCTGGCAGCATTCTAGGACTCATTTTGCTGAAATCTCACAAAGGAATATGGCTGGTGGAGAATTTCCATTATACCTCTGCTTGTTTTTTGCTTGCTTTATCTGTTGCTATGAGGCCATGCCTGCTAAAGTCTTCCAGCAGGCTTTAAACGACAGACCAGTGATCGGTAAGAAACTCTCTTTGGGACTTTTGCATGAAATCAATCAGAAATCACTCTGCTGCTGTAATGGTTGATCGTTTTTGTGTTTTTTTTTTTTGTTTTTTTTTTGCCACACAGGTGTTTTAACTCAAATAGTGTCAGATGATGTCATGAAACCCTTTGGGAAGACATACATACCTGACTCCTATGTTAACTACATTGAGTCTGGGGGAAGCAGGGTGATGCCAATCAGGTGGGTTGAAGGTTATGGTGCTTTTGTTTTCTTTTTTTGTTTCTTTTTTGATTTTTAAGATAAAAACAAGACTTGGAGAGATAATATTTTTTACACCAAGATGATTCCCCTTAAGATTGTTTAACTCTGAGCTGCACTGGCAACATGTGCAAGGTTTACTGTCCTCCCACTAATGGTTACTGAAGATGCGTAAGAGCCCCTTGCAATAATAAAAAAAAGCCAAAATGCATGGATAAATTAGTGAAGAAATACTCTGATTTTGCCAGATTTTGCAGCAAGAAACTTCCTCAAATATTTGATTCTGTTTTTCATGACACTTTAAGCATTTCTCTCCACTCCTCTCAGCACAATTGTTTGCTTCAGCTGCAACTGAGGGCTTTTTTTGAGAATGAATGACCTGTTAAAAGGTAAACCGCAGCACTAATAGGACTTCGTTTCAGACTTTAGACTAGGCTGCTCCAAATCATGTAGCTTTTATATCTGTAGCAAACAGAGGATGGCCTGCTTTTCTTCATTCCTGCTAAATAACCCTAGTGTGCGTGAGCTTAAAGTCTGAATGTTCATCTATGATATTTCATACTAGAAAGCAAAATGAAAGTTTCCATCAATGAGCCATCCAGGCCTGGAAAACTGCTGTGTTGGCTTTACACAAGATAAAAGAAGGGTCAACTTTGTAACCTCTTTGTAATGGGCCTTTTATTACAATTATAAACATTAAATCACTCCTGATAGTACTTTTTTTTTTTTTTTTTTACAGATTGACTCTTTCCAATGAAGAGTATGAAAGCATCTTTAAGAAGATAAATGGGTGAGTCCAAGTCTATATATTAATAATCATGCAGGAAAGTTTCAGCTTGTAGCTGTATAAGCTTAAGGCTTATAAGGTTACAGGAAAAAAAATAATTTTTATTTTCTCTATGGTGTTAAGCTTGTTTTTAATAGGTGGAAGTGCAAATTTGAACACCTCAGACTTTGCCAGAGTGGCTCAGATTTTCTATAAACTGGCTCTAACGGTTTGTACGCTTCAATTTTGATCTTCTCCATATATGGATATCCTTTGTTTAATCATTGCTGCATGTGGTTTGTGCTTCAGATTCTGTTTTTATTATGTTCTTGCTGTTGCTGTTTCTAGTCTTCCCTCTTATTTTACATGTTTCTTCATTTAATTGTCCAATATTCATCCTTGTTATGACCAGCGTGTCTTCTTTAATACTTTTTGACTCGGTCGTTTAATCAGTTTTATTTAGTTTTTCAGATGATTTTGATCATTCATATTAAAAGCCTGGTGGATTTAACCGATCTTATCAATCCATTGCATGCTTCTTAAGGCTTTGTTACACACTATGTGTTTTTTTTTCCGCCTCTAAATCACTGTTTTTATCCTCATTCTTTTTTTAATTGGTTATTTGTGATTCTTTTTTTTTTTCTGTCTATTATGCAATTAATTTGAACTCTCGTTATCTTCCCACACCTCTAGCTGGGTAATATATCTGTCTCTTCTCTGAGCCCACAAACAAAATAGAAACAATATCTTTGAAACTTTAAAAGGTTATGCACTGTTCACATGTTTTGCTTTTTTTTATTAGGAGAAGTAAAATGAGTGTGCTTGTTCCAGGCCAATGATGCTGGGGACTTCTTCCCCATCTGGGGTACGTGCATGGGCATGCAGCTGCTCACTGTCCTGGTGGCTGGTGAAAATCTGCTCTCAAATACTACAGCAGAGAATGTGGCTCTGCCCCTCAACCTAACCACAGGTACAAACCTTCTGTTTCATCATTGGCATCTTTCAGTGGCCTGATTTGTTGTTAAAATGAAGGAAAAATAAATGTAGGTAGAGCAAACTTTTGTTTTAGAGTTTAGCTATATATTTTGGTCACACACAACTGTACATCCAAGGACATGGTGTCAGAAGGGTATTTTTCAAATCCAATGGCTTGTATTTCTACTCTATGGTCAATTTTAGCTACCTGCTAAACAAACGGCTTGTTTTAGTGAGATATTTTAATTCTAGCCAGTCTGTTTTCTTACAACTGCTATTTCTTCTCCACAATGAACATAAAGCCATTCTCATGTATCTAATAATGTATATGCTGCCATTCCACAGAGGCCCACTCCAGCAGGATGTTCCAAGGTTTTCCTAAAGAGCTCATAAAGGCTTTGGCAGAAGAACCTCTGACTGGCAATTTTCATCATTTCGGGCTTACAGTAAAGGTATGTTTTTGTTTTTTCCTTCCTCTTTTTGACTTTTCCCCCTAACACATAAATGGAGTTTAAAAGCAGATTATATTTTACTGTAAAGCACCAATCTGAGTTATATGATATTGCATCATGTTGGAGACTTATATTTTACTCGAAGAAATTTTAATCAGTATTTTCCAAGTATAGAAGAAGATTTTCTTTCAAAAATCAGAGCTGGGTACCTCAGCTGTATTCACAGTAAAGAAGGTGTATTTTTGTGCTTTAAAAGAGAGTTAAGCTTGAGACTTTTCACAATAACTATGATGTTGACCTTTAGAAGAGAAACATAAACAAATAATAATGACATTAGAATATGGTTACTTTACAAAATGCTTACTCCCATTGCATTTTTCTATACAGTCTTCTTTAGATGTCATAAACTTCAATGTCGTGTATTTTGTTTGGTTTTTTTTTATGTAACAGACCAACACAAAGTAATGCACACATATATATACTGTATATATATATATATATATATATATATATATATATATATATATATTTATATGATACACAACAAGGAAAGGTCTATTCACAAGTCTGGTCATATCGATGTGGGAAAAAAAAGCCTTTGATCAAACAGACGTTAAACTGTTTAACAACACAATACAGTGTATGTCAGAAAACTAACACTGTTCACCACTCTGAACACACCATCCCAAATAGTTAAACAGTTAGGGGAGTTTCTTAGAGTGGATGAATGGAGCTAAATCCTTTTAAATCCTCTCTAAAAGCACAATTCTTCTCCCTGGCTTTTAATCAAGTCTAAGCGGACATTTGGCAAAATTTTATCTTAAATTTTATTTTATTTTAAAATGTATCTTTTTTAAATTGAAACATTTATCCTTTTATATTTTATCTCTGTTCAATTTTTCTTTTTGCATTGTGTTTATGTATTTTAGCTTTCAGTTTTTATCTTATGCTCTGCAACTGTGATTTCTGTACCTCTGTAAACACCTGTTTAAACAGGTGTTTACAGTATTTTTGCTGTTTTGTTTTACTTCTTCTCTTTTAATGCACTTTTTCCTGCCTCTCTTTCTCTCTCCCCTTAGTTATCCCCTCTTTCTTTCTCCTCTCCCTTTCAGTCTCTGTTCGTTGTATGTGATTTTACTCCCTGAATAATTTTCAATAAACTTTCATATATAAGTATTAAGTGGAACCTTATGGCAAGAGTCATAATGGTCTGCTTGTGAAAGCGAAGCTGTTGGGCTATCATCCAACTCTGGGACATCTTTTCCCAGAGCTATATTGGCAAAACAAGACACATAAAAATATTAAAATAAAGAAATTTAGATCCTGGAACAAACATACTTATACCAAGACTATAGCTGAAACTATTATCCTAAACATACAGCCAGAGTTAATAGAAATACTTGTTAGATGTACAAAGCATGTGGAGACACACTCATAAAAACTTCAAGCTCTAACTACTTTTTGTATCTCTGCTTCTGTCTCCTTGAACCCCAGATGGCCACTAACACTGAACCTTGTTCTGTTGGAGGTTTCTTCCTGTTAAAAGGGAGTTCTTCCTCTCCACTGTCGCTACAAGCATGCTCAGTGTGAGGGATTGCATTGGAGTCAATGACTCGATGCAATTAACTGGTTTTCCTTAGATAGAAAACTTTGTATCAATTTGACTGTATGATCTGGTTGAACTGTAAAGTGCCTTGAGATGACTTGTCGTGAACTGGGGCTATATAAATAATGTTAATTCATTAAAAGATGTTTCTACAAGTATTGACTGAAAAGTTTGCCCCATGTTTCAGATTTATTATTTTCCTTCAACCTCACAAACTACTTTGTGTTGTTTCATCACATAAAATACCACTAAAGTATACTGATGGTAGATGTAATGATGAAAATGAGGATGACTACTTTGACAAGAACCTGAGAGAAGACCTTAAATATCCAATCCTGCTGAATGAATGATGCTCTTCCTCCAGGCTTTCCAGGAAAATGAGGAACTGAGCAGTTTCTTCTCCGTGCTCTCCACGAACATCGCTCTAAATGGAGAATACTTTGTCTCCACCATTGAAGGTTATTAAAATATTTTTGTGTGAAAATAACAAACCAAACGTTTTGCTTTTGAGCACTTGAGTGGTGATCATGACCTCCTTTTTACTCTCCCTGTCCTGTAAGGTAAAAGGTATCCATTCTACGGAGTGCAGTGGCACCCAGAGGTGAACCGCTTTCAGTGGGACAGAAGACTGAACATTCCTCACTCCACTCATGCGGTTCAGTTATCATCCCAGCTGGCCGAGTTTTTTATCAATGAAGGTGAAGCATTATTGAGCTTTACTGGTCCATTAGACTGAGTTGGAGTATTTCAGATGAAAAAACATAATGCAGAGGAATTTGGACAAACATTGGTTTATTATTGTTAGTTAATGCAAAAATCTCTCATAAGTAAACTTTATAAATGACTTTAATGATCTCTGCTTTTTTTTTTTTTTAGGACGGAGGAGTTTACATCACTTTGACAGTCCTGAGGAAGAAGATTCCTCAATGATCTACAAGTTCACGCCTGTGTACACTTCAAACTTTACTGCCTACGAGCAGATTTATTTCTTCTGAGGTTTCAGAATAGCTGTTGAAGGCTGACGGACAGGGCCCAAAAATACTGAGGTATTACTGAGAGTCAGTCACTCCTAAGTAGATTCAGCAGAGTTCTCCCTAGAACATGTTTTTAAATCTGTCAATTTTCAGAATCTTAAACAAAATCATTCTGACTTTTGAATAGGTTAGGCGCTGCATTTCTCTGTTCCCCTTCCCTGCCAGACACTTCAGGCACTATACACTTGATTTTTATGTCATCTTTCTTTTGAAGCTTCTATCATAGTGAATATAAATCTATTACAAAAGACATTCCAGAATAATTGAAATAAGTTGCTTCATATCTACTTCAGTATTTAAAATAGACACCCAAGCCCTATTACACTATAATGTTGATAATAGTGCCTAATCTGTTCTTTCTTACTATGACAAGGTTTATACATATTTCTAATATTAACTTACACAGTACTTCAAGTATCATGCAATAAACATTTGACTTTTAAAACACATACAGTTCCAGCACAGTATTTTCCTCTTCTAGTACCTGCTATCCCTCTATCTCTCTTCATTGCTCCTCTTGCTGCTTGGCAGAGGAGCTTGATTTGGCCTTTTGCTCCCTGTTCTGTTTTCTCTTTAGTAAAGAATATCAACACAGTAAAATAATGAAATGATAGAAATTAAAACAATATTCATTTCAGCATCATATTTCAAGGAGTTTATTTAGTCATTTCAACATGGTAACATTAAATGAAATAAAATTTTATTTGTTTTGCAGGTTTGGGAGCAGCCCAATCTTAAAGTATGTAATAGTAAATATAGCTATAAATAAGCTGAAATATAAATATTAAATAAAAAAAATAAAATATGCACATTTAAACAATTATATAAAATAAATAAATATATGAGTCTACAACATTACAGCAGTTGTAAATAAAAATTGAGCATTTTGAGGGTTTTTGAAGGACCATCATAGTGACTCTTGAAAAAAGGGTAAGTTACCAAAGAAAATTACTTATTATTTTGAAAATTAACCGTATGGTTTATTTTGCTTCTGCACACGACTTCTGTTGTGCGCAATCTGCTTTGTGCCGGCTTATAAAACAGGTTCAGCATCCAAATACTGAGAAATCAACGCTTAATAAAGGTTTTATTTTCAGTTCAAGATGTCGCCAACATATCAGTTGCATAATGAATGTGAATTCAACTGCTGGAAATTCACTGACGATCGCTACGGACAGAATTAAATAAACTTTAGTTTGTTCACTGTCTGAGTAGAATATACGGTAGCAAAGACCCTTAACCCCACACTGCTCCCCGGGTGCCCCACAATGACTTATCATCTGTAATGTTAGTATATGGATTGGAGACATTACCTATTGTATTTTTGTTGTCTGTTTATTGTTTAACCAAACAAACCATACTTACCTCTATTTTAGATGGGAGCTGCTTGTGAACTATGTCCACATGGGGTGGCCAATGATTGGCTATGTGTGGACCAGGGGTCTCCCATCTACCTCTGTTCCTGGATAACAAACGTTTGCTTAACAAAAAAAAAAAAAAGAAAAAAGGACTAAATTGGACATAAACATGATGTTCTATTAGGACCAGGTTAGAGATTTTTTTTATTCCCGAGACTAAAGTTATAAAATAATGATAACAAACGTTTGCTTAACAAAAACAAACAAACAAACAAAAAAAGAACTAAATTGGACATATAGATTATGTTGTATTAGGACCAGGTTAGAGATTTTTTTTTTATTCTCGAGAATAAAGTTATAAAAGTCATAAAATAATCACAATAATGTCATAAAATTAGGAGAATAAGGTAATAAAATTACAAGAATTTAGTCCGAAAGTTACAAGAATAAAGTCATAATACTATGAGAATAAAGTTGTAAAATTATCAGAATAAAGTTGTAAAATTATGAGAATAAAGTCGTTACATTAAGAGAATAAAGTAATAAATTTACAAGAATAAAGTTGGAAAAGTACAAGAGTAAAGTCATAAAATTATGAGGATAACGTAATTTAATGACAACAAAGTCATAGAATAATGCCAATAAAGTCTTAAAACTACAAGAATAAAGTCGTAACATTACGAGAATAAAGTCATAAAATTACAAGAATAGGGTCTCAACATTATGAGAATAAAATGATAAAATTACGCGAATAAAGTCGGAAAATTACTAGAAAAAAGGCATGAAATTATGAGAATAAAGTTCTAAAATTATGAGAATAAAGTTGTAACATTACAAGAAAAAAGATTACGAGAATTAATTCATAAAATTACAAGAATAGGGTTGCAACATTATGAGAATAAAATGATAAAATTACAAGAAAAATCTGCAGAATCTGCTGGTCGGAGCTCGAAGCTTCTGAAATGTGTTGTGCTATGATGACTTCATTTTTGTTATTTTACAACTTAATTCTCATAATAAATATTCCAACTTTATTCTCGTAATGTTACTACTTTAATCTTGTAATATTACGACTTTATTCTTGAAATAACAATAAATAAATCTCTAGCTGGTCCTAATACTCCGTAGCATCTAAATGATTTTTAGGCAAAATTTTTGTTCTGTTGGTGGCCCTATTGTGCCCTCGGCCCCCTGGTTCAGTAGTTCGCCCCTGAAAGCCAGCCCCCTAACAGTAACGCACAGACAGGCGGGCTGCTGATTGGTCTCCCCGCCCGTCGGTGGCGTCCATCGGGGCGGGAGCAGAAAAACAGAACCATTGCTGTGACTTTCTCTGCTCAGACAGACGCTGCCACTGCCACTGGGTCACTGCCATGCTGGCTTTTAATAAAGGAAGACTCACAGTAGCTAGGGCGAAATGACAAAATAGCTAATAAAAATAAAGTAAATCTCCGTTTCTGCTTTTCCTGATTCTGCAGCGATGATCCATCGTTGTATGGCAGGCCGTTTTGACATTTATTAAAAACGCTCTCCGTATGTTTCCCTCCTCGGAGGACCGCTCATCAGGTGCTATTGTCTGCTTCACCTTTCACCCAGCTGCTCTGCTGTCAGCCCCGGCTTGTCTGCGCTTCTATCCGCACCAGCGTCTGCGGTTTGTTGGTAAACACGAACCCGGCGGCAGGGACTCCCTCTGGTGCATTGATGCACCCGTTTCAGTGGTGTAACGGTGAGCATGCATTTATATTAACATCTCTGTCTGGCCTTATGTTGTGACTGGGAGACCTTATCATTTTTCAAACAGGGTGACGTACCATTGATTATATTTCATTTGCATATATGTCCTAATATGAGTAAATTACTGGTTATTATGACTTCCAACATCCAGGATGTTTACAGTTTTAAATAAACTATGAATCCATAATGATAGTAATTCATATTCTAACAATGACAAGTTTTTTTTTTTTGTCATTTTGCACAGGAATTGCAGCTGTAGCAGTTTAAATTCTTTATGGGCCTGTAGTTTATTCAATTTAAAAACCCTACTTTATGTATTTATGACTATATGATTTACTGACTTAAAAAAATATATTTAGGATAAAAATATTTAATTTCTTTCACCAACCAAAAAATTGAAAGCTTATTCATCCATTATGTGATTAGAAAAAAATATATACCTGATCATGAAATGGTAATTTTAAGCTTTTTTTTTATACTACTTTGTGATCAAAGCATGTTATAAACTGTTTATTTTCAGGTTGTTATGCCAACAAGTGGTTCTATAATTAAAGATGAAATAGTTTTTTCTTAGCTTAGTAGGATGCATAGCTTTTTAATTAGTGCAAGCCTTTATATTCATCTGTTGTTGTTTCAGCAGGGATCCACACAAAGCCAGTCTTTGTGCTCACTTTGCAACATCTCAGGGAAATCTTGTTAACACTGACTTGCTCTAACTATGACCTATCTATTTCAGCAATTGGCTTGGGGCACTCATGTCTGAATGGTGGTTAAGTTTGCAAAACTTCTTATCCCAGTTTTAAGTCTGCCCCCCCTCCTCTAGAGTCACAAACAGCTAAAAAGAGCCTTTTTTTTGCAACAAATGCTTCGGTGCCTTGCTGTGACAGCTAGAGCTTGTGCAGATGATGGATTGGAGGTCTTTTCCCTTTAACTTTGAATGTTTGAATGCAGCTGCCTTGTCTGTGGATTGCTGGTTGGTACTGAGACAAAAGACAATTCCCCCCTTTGTGCGGCTTAACTCCCCAGCTATTCAAAGCACACTCACAAACACAGAGAGCAGCACATGCAGGAAAATGAAGCAGTGTCGGGCAGTTTGAGCTCAACGTTATACTAGTGGGTTCAGATATCAAAATGTATAAATTTTTTGTGGTAGAACCTTGAATTAATATATATGAAAAAAATCTTATAATACCAAAAAAAGTTCTATTCTTTGCTCTTATTGGTGCATCTTTAGTTATTAGCATTATCTTAAAATATTTAGACTTAGACTAAGACCAAAAAGTATAAATAGCCATCATATGTCGAACATTTTTTTTATTTTCCTCTGAATTTAAAACTCCAGCTCCTTAAAAATCTTTTTTTCTTTTATGTCTTATAATCTTATAATCTAAAGTAATAATACTGTCTCCTTAAATGTTATTCTTTAAAGAGCAGAACATCAACAGGGGTCATATTATCCGATATCGTTTTTCCAGATTTCTGATTACTCCCCTGCTTACTATGTAAGAAGAAAATGTATTCTAAAAACTTAAGTACAAAAACAATCTTTGTTTCTTAATGAGTCCATCTGTGTGGTTAGGTAACCAGCTGGAAATCTACTGCTTTACAGAGCTTCTTCTCCTGGATCGACAACTGTATTTTTTATATTTGTGGTTAATTGTATTGTCCCTGTTTTCTTAGCACCTGTATTTTGTTTAGATGTTTTTTTTGTCAGGATCAGTCTAGTTTAATCTCATGTTGGTGCTGTACTTATATTCTTGTATTTTATTGCTTTTCTAACATCATGGCTGCAAGACTACAGATGGAAAATATCCTTTAGCTAATTCTTGCTTTTTTTAACTCATACATTATCATGTCATGTGTTTTATTAAATTGTATTGTCTGTCTCATTTCAAATCAAATAAGAACAGAGTTACACTGATTAGAGTAAAGAGTGTGTCTCCTTTAGGTGTTACCCCATGACTTTGGGTGGTTTGCGTCATATTTCCAATCTGTGCTGTCTGGGATATAAAAAACAAAAAAAAGTGTATGTTTTTTCATCTTGCTCATCACCTTTGCAAAACAGAAGGGGGATCATTTGTAGTATTTTATTCCCTGCAAAGCTGTTGTCAATCTGCCATAATATAATTTTAAACAGTGCGTTTAGCAGTGCTGAACCTTTATTTATTTGATAATTACAATACATTGGTAGCTGTGAACTCCCCATTCCTTAGCATGTTATTGACTATCAATTTTTTTTATTATTATTCATCACAGAAGTAATCCTTTCAATGCATTTGAAAATGAAATCCTGCTAAATCTTTGAGACCACCACAGACTGGCTGGAGATTTTTCCCCTTCGTATAAAATGCTGAATATTTGATGTGGAGTTCTGTCTTCAGCTCAGGCAGCCGCAGA